CGGCGATCTTCCTCCTCCTCCTCCTCCTCCTCCTCCTCCTCCTCCTCCTCCTCCTCCTCCTCCTCCTCCTCCTCCTCCTCCTTCTCATCCGCCGGCTTGGTTAGTCAGAGCAGCTCCTCCCTGTCGTCCTCCGGCAGCACGTCGAGCCAGACCTTTGGGAGGTTGGCAACGCGGTGCCATTCCCCGCTATTTGCGAGAAGCATCACCGCTTCCCGGATCGACGCGCCTTTCGCGTACTTCGCAGCCGAAAAAATCGGCTTGTCGAGAGCGGCGTTCATGCGGTCCATGATCTTGATCGCACCGCTGAGGAGTTGGGCACCAGTTGGCGGCTTCGGGATCAGCTTCAGCATCTTCTTCGCAGGCGTGGTTGACATGTTTAAGTTAAGGCGGGGAGGTTCAGTCGAGATCTGCGGGGACAGGAAAGGCGAAATTCGGTCCCATTTATAGGCATGCGCGCACCTAATTCCAGCGCATGCCCCACAACCAAAGATGGATTAACAACCTTTCCTCGAGCTGCCCAGATCAGTTCATGCTGACGGAAAATATTTACCGTGTTTCTTTTATATGTTCGCAATGAAGTTCAACACGAGCTAGAAACCATGTGCTGAAGCTGAGTCCCAATGAGAATGACTGGTACACATCCGAGTGAAGTGGTGTAACAGCTTATACACCTGTTGATCTGTACTCGCTAAGATGGATTGCTCCTTGTCGTCAGAATGGAAGGGCAAACTATGTCAATACCCTGGGAGGCTCGCTTAGAGTAATGTAGCACATATATCACGATATCACTTTGTCATTTCACACTCGCATCAACTCTAAAGAGGTCCCTGCATGTTCTTCGACTGATAGAGCTCTTCCAAGTATTTGATATCCTCTTCGGTGAGGGAGACGCCAACAGGTATAGCTTCCTCAAGACGACCAGGCTGTTATGTGTCAAATCACAAACATAATGCAAGAACTGAAACGTCACGCACAGAGCTCATTCCAACAATGGGACTGTCAACTTTTGTCAGTGCCCAAGCAATGGCAATCTGAGCCATGGAAACGTTCTTCGTGTTGGCGAGCCTCTCGACCCTAGAAATGATCTCACGGTCCGTCGTATTGTACACGCGCTTCAGAACTGAGGTCTCTTCACGAGAAGTCTTCTCGTGATCATGTTTGGATGGATCGAGAGGACGAGCAAGAGTACCCTGACTCAGGGGACCATATGGAATAAGCCCGATACCCTTGTACTTGCAGTACGGGATCATCTCCCGTTCCTCTTCACGATACAGAAGATTGAAGTGGTTTTGCATGGAGACGAACTCCGTCCAGCCGTTTTTCTCTAAAGCACTCCATTAGTAAAGCAGAGGCACGCGTTACCAGTATACGCACCAGCTACTTGGTTGTACAGGCTGAACTGCCAGGCATACATGCTGCTTGCCCCGATATATCGTACCTTGCCTGAGCGGACGAGGTCATTCAAAGCGGACATCGTCTCCTATGAATGGACTTCAATATGTATGACAGGAATGGCATCTCCAGTATACCTCAGGTGGGGTGTTGCGATCAAAGCGGTGGATTTGAAGTAAATCGATGTAATCTGTTTCAAGCCGCCTTAAAGAGGAGTGGACGGCATTAAAGATGGCGCCTCGAGACAACCCAGACTGATTGACATAGTCACGCTCGTTGGCCAGCAGAGGATTGGTGATTGTGTTTGTTCCGAGCTGCTCGCCAACAAGAAAAAAGCACTTGGACATGATGACAAGCTTCTCCCGAGGAATGTTGTACTGGAAAACACCTCAGAACAGTAAAATCGTGCTATTGTGCACATGCGAACCTTCTTGATGAACTTGGCGATGATCCTCTCGGACATCCCATTGGAGTACCTACGTATTAAGGTGAATACAATAGATATGAGCCTTTATATGACGAAGGACTCACACATTAGCAGTGTCCAAGGTTGTGACACCACGGTCCCACGCAGCCTTCAGAAGCTCGATAGCCTTATCTTCATCAATGACCCAGTCCTGGCACGACCATGTGGGTGTCTCGTTAGTAAATAGGATGGAAATGACATACCTGCCACTCATGCGAGCCAAAGCTATAGGAGACCGTGTGAGTAACGGTTGTTGGATATGACAGAACATGCGCACCTCATGCATCCAACGATAGGTACGCTCACGCGCAGCCCAGCCTTTCCCAGACGAACATATTGAACGGTGGGTTTCTCTCCCATTTTATTCACTGACATGACTGCTTCTCTTACTTGATTTGCGATGGCAAGGAACCGATGTTGACAGTGTATGGTCGATGCTGGTAAATGATTGAAGGCGTCGTTGGAGTAAGCTAGGTCAATTTGAATGACCCAGCGGAGGGGGTCATTACTCGGTCTTATATATCGTCGTCTTCACCGTCCACGTCCTTGTCGGAAATATCACCATGACTGAGCGAGTGGATTGTGAAGATCAGTGGTAAGGCCGATTGGAGGTTGGCCAATGAGACGCGACTGTGGGGTTCTCGGGCACGTTCTCCATGACATGGGGTCTTGTAGGAGCACCACACTTCAAGCGTGGGTACTGTACTGTAATATCCAGCCCCACAACATGGCATCGGCGTTAATGAGCCACGATACCAGATATTGCAGGATCCATGACTTGGTCAAGTTGACTACTACGATAAAATACTTCGTGCATGGCAGATCTACAGTATCTACGGTCTAATAGTCCTGTTGCACCAACCCGGAAACTGTCTGGTAATGCCTGAAGAACCCCTCGAGGTATTTCACACCAAACCCAGGATCCTTGGCTCCAGTCATCGCTCGGATTGAATGCATTGACATCTGGCAGAGACTAAGATCGATCGCTGGGACACCCAGTCGTTCTGACAACATGGGACCAACGGTACCTCCGGAACGGGAGTCATTTCTGATCTGGAAGACTGTATGCACAAGTCAGTTTGAACTGTGTACCACGACCATATCCCAACGTACGCTGGGTTTCTACTCCACTAAGTTCTGCAACTGTGCGTGCAAAGGCAATCGCAGGAGCAACAGTAGTCATGTGCCCATTCGGGTCGCAGGCGATAACAACTCCCATGTTAAGCATCGGGGCGGCGCCGTTCAAGTAAATGCCGTCAAAGTCGGGATTGAACGCATGAGTAACATCGGCTGAAATCATGAATGAGTTTGCCGCGGTGGTGCCATACAAGTTCTGGGATGTATCAGAGGATGGTAACAGAAATGGTCGAGGTACTTACAGCAGTATACGGAGTGATATCCTCGCCTTTAGCGCCCACCTGTGCTTCCACAATGCGCTCCATGACAGTCTGCATGAAATTGCTCCTCGCTCCATGTCTGAGTGCACTCCCAACTTCCTCCATGTCGAAGCAACCAACCACATTGACAATACCACTCTGCCCCATAAAGGCGGAATCTGAAGTGGCATTGATCAAGCCAGTTATAGCAGCGAACGAGCAGAGCTTGTCGTCAATGCGAGGCGCAGAGATGAATTCGGAGTCGAAACCAAGCAGACAGGAAGGCGTTTTATCGAATAGCTCCAAGTCGAAATCCACAATGTCCACTACAGACACGCCAAGTTCTTTCGCCACTGCCTTCAAAAGACGAGAAGAATGTTGTTTGCCCATGGTTGTAGGAACGACCTCTTCGGCGTCGGGAGAGGTCATGCCTACCAAGGGAACCATGTTGGTCTCGTAGTTGAATGGGCCTTTTGCTGGATCACCGAAGTGGGCAGCCAAACTAGGGATGCGAGCAACTGTAATGCTAGAGTTAGGGGTATTCGAGGGTGAGCAGAGAGAGCGCACCAGGCTTGGACAGACAGACGAGTCTCTGTACAACCTTTCCATCTGCACCTTTTATAAGCACCCGACCACCTAGACCAAGGTCACGGTCCCACCAGCTTAGACGAAATCAAATAATGTCGTGGAAGATAACAAAAAGAACGCACGTTGAGAAGCTCCCATCAAAGGACTGGCCAGCGCCACCACCAGCATACGGAGCAACGGCTATGCGATCGAACCCATCCTTATTGGCACGAGACACCGGCTTGACCTTCATGCAGAGGGCATCGATGTGTGAGGCAATCATAGCAAATCCATTTCCGGGAGAGTACTGCTCGCCAATGGCAAAGGCAATGATGCTGGAAGTGTTCCTAGTTACGAAGTATTTACCGCCTGCCTTGAGTTTCGGAATCCAATTCTGTTGTGCAATGAGTTCGGCTCTCAAGGATGCGCAGAACGAATTCTCACCTCCTTCTCCTTCAGCTCGATGTAGCCAACCTGCGTGAGCTCGCGCTGGAAGAACTCGCAAGCGTGATAGGTGGTCACGCATTCGTCGATGAATGCACAGAACTCCTCAGCGTATGGTGGGACAGCATCCTCGTCCAGTGACAGGACATCATCCTCGCGAAAGTCGTTCTTAGGCTGACCGCCTCCCATGATGCTCTGGTGTCGTTGGAGATGCGAATGGAAAGGAGACAGTGGGGGTTATAAGTAAGGGCCGCGCGTCGTTGCTGGACGTGTCTTGCGATGCATGGCGAGAGATAAGTTAGGGATTCATATGTTGGACGCGCGTGGCGGGTTTGAAGCGGACTCGCGATCGCATGCTCCAACGATAGCGATCCAGCACAACATTCGCCCCGCCTTATGTTTCTCAATCACTGGCCAGCACACACTGAAGTCGGGTTTGTGAACCGGTATAACAAGGGTTTGAAGCAGGTCATAGTACCTGGGGTTAAACTTGCTCGTGTTCGACGACCGTCTAACAGTGAGCATCTGCTTATCACCCCAGCCACATTGGCTGAACTTCCACACAAATTCATTTCATCGCGTTGTCATCTTCTTCTTCTTGCCCTTGTAAGGAATAACGCTTGCAGAAAGCTGCGACTCAAGTACACTCGTGATGGTCATGAGTTTCTCCGAGCCGACTCCGTAGAGAAGAGAGAGAGATCGGGTGGCGATGAGTATGATGGGCGCTCTTATGTTGACCCTTCTCCACACGGTCCGTCCGGGCCGTACTGTTTTAGGCAGGAGGGCGTTGTGCCCAAGCCTACTCCCTGGACAGCGACATATTTCATTTCCTGTTCACCTTGTCTGCTTCAGGTTTTCTTTCTCGAGCATGTCCCAACAGGAAGAGTTCGTTGGTGCGATTGATTGCGGTACAACGTGAGCAAATCTGCCTCCTCACGGAATAGACTAGGGCTCATCTTCTGCCAGATCCGCACGCTTCCTCGTCTTTAATGACGTTGCGGAAGTCATCGCGGAGGCACAGGAAGAATTTCCACAATACTACCCGCACCCTGGGTACGTCGAATCGGCCACGAGTCGTGTCGATGCTTACAGCGCCGCCAGATGGCATGAACATGAGCCCGACGAAATACAAGAGGTCGTCGAACGTTGCGTAGAGGAGGCGGTAGAGAACCTAGAGGCCAAAGGTCATACTGCAAAGTCAATCAAGGCGATTGGTAAGCCCAGCCTATCTCGATTGCCTTCCAGTCCTCACTGTATGCCAGGTATAACGAATCAGCGGGAAACCACCGTTGCATGGGATCGTATCACTGGGAAAGCGCTTTGCAAAGCCATCGTTTGGGATGATTCCAGAACCAGAGGCGTCATCCATACCCTGGAGAGGCGTCTCAAGGAGAAGGGTATTAGAGTTCATGATGATCACCACATCAACTCAGTGGATGACCTTGTCACCATGTGAGTAGAGGATTAAGTGAACTCGGCCCTCCAGCTTAACGTCCCCGAAGCACTGGCACGCCTTTATCGACCTATTTCTCTGCTGTGAAGTTGACATGGATGATGGAGCACCACGAGGAAGTCAAGAAAGCTCATGAGGAGGATCGGCTGCTGTTCGGCACGGTTGACAGTTGGCTCGTCTATGTGTGTTTTCACCGCGCATTTGTGGTTGTGAGACCTCATGTGTGCATGATAGAACTTGACCGGTGGCGTGAAGTCTGGCATCCACATCATTGATGTGACCAATGCTTCCCGAACTTTACTCTTTGACATCAGGAAATTACAATGGTCACCTGCGTTGCTGGAATTCTTTGGTTTCAAAGAGAATATCCTGCCGAGGATTGTGTCTTCATCCGAGGTATACGCGGAGATGGCAGATGGCCCGCTCAAAGGTGTACCAATTGCCGGGATCGTCGGGGACCAGCAGGCAGCCCTGGTGGGCAACAAGTGCCTCGAGCCAGGACAAGCCAAGAACACGTACGGTACAGGCGCATTCCTGCTGTGGAATACGGGAGAGGAGGTTGTGAAGAGCGATCACGGTTTGATCACCACTGTGGGTACAACGGAAGATCTTATGTGTTGAATGTTGATCGTATACGCAGGTTGCATATCAACCAGGACCAAATGCGAAACCGATATATGCGTTAGAAGGTAGTAGTAAGTAATACAGCTTCCGTATCGTTAGAATGCTGATTGCTTTCTAGTCTCAACGTGCGGCAGCTCAATCAAGTGGTACGCGGCTGTTGCCTTCTTTCCTCCATCTTCATACTTATTCGAACAGGTTACGAGATTCTATGAGGCTGATTGAGAAGGCTTCTGATATGGACAAACTGGCACGCAAAGTAGAGGACACCGGCGGCGTGTACTTTGTTCCAGCCTTTTCTGGTCTTCTGGCTCCCTACTGGGACAGCGCTGCCGGCGGGCTCCTTATCGGTGCGTCAGGATTCATCGACTTGTGACAGTCGCTGATTGGCCGATGACAGGGTTGTCCGCCTATACCACACCTGAACACATTGCCCGAGCGACCCTGGAAGCCATTGCGTACCAGACCAAGGCTGTTCTGGAAGCCATGGCTCAAGATCATGGAGCGGATCTGGAACATCTGAAGGTCGATGGAGGGGTAACCAATTCGGAAATGGCCATGCAGATCCAGGCGGACATCGGTGGATTTGAAGTCATCAGGCCGTTGATGAGAGAGTGGGTTTAGGGGTTGAAGCACGCCCAATACGGTCTGACCCTCCTGTAGATCCACTGCTCTTGGATCTGCACTGTTGGCTGGGTCAGCGGTTGGACTCTTTGGTTGGGATGTACGGCGGCCAGAGACATTGAACAGAGTGAATACCCAAGGCAACCAGACCTTTAACCCAAAGATCAGCACCGAGGAGAGGGCACGGATGTGGGTTGCATGGAACCGTGCTGTGGAGCGCAGCAGAGGATGGGAAGGCGACGACGAGTAGACAAAAATTGAAGATCGAAATGTAGCACTATACCACTTACCCACACCAATAATAGTTTAATAGCGCCGCCGACGCTGGACCATGTTCATTGGGACCATGTTCATTGGGACACACGTATCTCACAACCTAACGAACGACATGAAGATGAAATCAAGCAAGAATATGGAGGGCTTCTTATCTACCGGAAATTACGAAGATAAACAACAACAGCCAAATAGAATATGCAAATAATGACGCTCAAGCAGCGCGAGCAGCACCGGGGTGCTCGACCTCGCGATCGATGGTGACAGTGACGCCGGGGTAGGTGGGGTTGTAGGGGTTAAGGGTGTCCTCAGCAGTCTTCGTCTCAAGGACTGAGCGGCTGTCTGTAATGGATGCCTTGCCGTCATCCTGCCAGTCACGCTCGGCCCTGGAGCGCATCTCTTCCAGAGTGAAGGTCTGGTTGTTCCGGCCAGTACCAGCGTTGGAGATGTTGACAACGTTGGTCTCCTTGTTGCGGGAGAAGCTGACGCCGGAGGGACCGGAGCGGTTGCCGGAGGTGGAACCCTGCGACTGGCCGGCGTATGAGCCACCTTCAGCAAGGGAGCCGCGGACGGAGAGGATGACACGCAGGGACATGGTGGTGGTGAGCACGGCGCACATGCTAGAAGATGTTCAGCAATTGGTTGAAACAATTACCGGAACTAACCGACCTTGTAACAATAGTCTTAATTGTGTCCGCGCTGTCGGTAGGCTGTGCAATGATCCAGAATAGGAAATTGATCATATTCACAATCCAAATAGCCTGATGCCGTTATGAGACAAATGAAAGACCATTGAAAACGGATAACGTACACCGTACAGATTCAGGCCGTCGCGGAGAATGAGCTTCCAGAGACCAATCGCCTTGGAACGCCGCGAGCGGAGGGAGCGGTGGATCGCGAGGACCAGCTAGATTGCACCCGAAGTTTCAGTTTCAGCCATGTAACAAGTAATGGCAAGGTTGCATACGCAGACAGTGTAGAATGCGGTTGGGACAGCCCAATAGAGCGCAACGAAGCTTTGGCGAGGACCAGCGATGCAACCCTGACCTACATCCAAGGGCATCACTGAGAAGGTTCAATGAGTCAACCGTCGCAAAACCGTCGGTATGATGTGGCTACATACCTTGGTAGAAACCACAGCAGACAGCATCGGCAACGACCTGGATCGCCAGGAGAGCACTGAGGCCGAACTTGACCATTCGGTTTTTGTCATAGATTGCACTAAGGCGAATGCACAGGGTTACTATCTCCAGAATCAGGCATTGCTCTCGCTTGGTTTAGAAGATGCGACAAACGGGAGCACAGGCCCATGAGAATGGCAGTAGTCACGGGCTCAAACAGATAGAACTTTTGGCACATCTGTATGGATTGTCAGGTGATCTGATGGTTGTGATTTGGTATGATCTGCTCACGTCGGGCGTCCACTGACTGAAGAATGCGACGGCAACGATCGTGAACTCGATTGGCATGAGGTAACGGAGGATTTGGAAGATGATCTTCAAGGGAGGCCACTCTCCTGTCTTCATGAGACGCCATGTGCGTGGTGAGAGGACGAGTGTGTCCCATGCTGCGACGGTGAGGGTGCAGACGAAGAAGTACTTGTGCGCAGACAAGTGAGCGGGAAGGTCGAGGGAAGGGGGGAGTATGGTGGACATGATGATGGTGTGGGGAAAGGGAGAGGAGGATGCAAGTGTCGGAATGAGAGGGATTATATGGTTGGAGAGAGAAGAAGAAGAGGTTGGAAGGGTGGGAAGGATGCGGGACAGAGCCTTCGGCCAAAGGGGAGGAAGGGCCACACCATACTGATGGTGAATGCCTCCTGATGGGACCCCGGTCACTCCTTCATATGCAACTAAAGCATGGAATGCAAAACCTCAGGGACAGCCCTTCCTTCGACACCATCTCACGCCTTGCTCCCGTATGACAACTCTATACAAATACTCTCTTCCCTTATTTCTACAATTCAAAGACAGTGGAAATTCATACTTTTCCACCCTTTTACGTGTGGAGCTAGATCCCATTCATACAACCAGCCCCCTTCATATTGTCAGCGTCCTTCTGCTTTTGGGGTCTTACAACTCATCGGTGATTGCACATGTGAGCGCCGCCGACGTTCGCGCGTATCATCCTCCTTCGTTCCCTGGTTGGTCGATCCGATACCAGTACTGCCCTCCTCTTCTGATCCTTTAATTGTTCCAATGCGGTCACCATTCTCGCTACATTTAGGCTGCTGCTCGGGTATACAGAAAGACCTAGATGGAAAATCCACACCCAAGTGGATCTGGCCCACCCTCGTGCGTACCAATACAGTAAGACCCTTACTCACTGACAACACAGACCCTTTCGGCCCAGGTACTTCCGCATGGACCTAGTAACGCTTACCATGGGCCAGAAAATACATTATTTTAACGTGAGCAGCAAAGAAAAAATATTCCTGGAGATCGGTCGACGGTAACTGGAGCGAGCGCCGAGCCCATCTGCCGGGATGACCGCCGCTGGGTTGTAGCGTGACAAACCAACTTCTTTACCACACAGCTTTTCTGATGGAGATCTTCTACGGCGAATCAATGGTTGCGCTCTTGCCGATCGAACTGGCCATCTGAGGATAACATAACACTTGGCGATGCTGGCACGCCTAATGCATTGCCTCGCCAGCTTTAGCTAGTCAGGCAGAACTGCAATCAGCGTTGTTACTAGATAACAGAATTATCGATGTTAGCTGTACAGTCGCTATGGCGGACCCCAATACCATCGAATTTCTCCTCTTTCGATGTCTGCCCTGAAAGAGACATTCTTGCGTAATGTCCAATTTTCTTCTGATCCTGGTATTACATATTGCGGCATTCCACTCAGGGGCACGCGACCTCGCCTGAGAGCAAGGTTCAACCTATCAATGCGGAGACACGTCAAGGGTGTCTTTGCGATAACACGACGAAGTTAGGCAAAAGATGGCAACATGACTTGTTTGGCATGGGGGGCAGATTTGATCGTTAATTGGACGAATGGCGCCGGAGACAAAGGACAGTGGATGAGTCCGGGGGGGGTATCCTGCAAGTCGACAAGGAGGAAGATGATTAGGCCATAGGTGAGATTGACGATTCACCCTAGTCCTGGACAACACGTCAAATGGTGATTGACCACTTTCAAGGATTCCGGGACAGTCGCAAAATTGCATGTGCAAGCATATTGCATATATGCAGTTTTAGATGATATCGTAGTGCACAAGCTCCCAAGGAAAGCATGACAAGGTACTCACGACCACGCCAAGTACCGACACGACCACCGAAGCTCATCTACTCCTCATCCTCCTCCTCAGCGGCCTCGCCTTCCTCCTCCGCGTTCTCTTCAGCCTCTTCTTCTTCTTCCTCCTCCTCCCTCATTGTCTCAACGACAGAGGTGGCAATTCGGTCGAGATCCCTCTGCCCATCCTGGGAGATGCGACGGCCACCATCAGGGGCCTTCTCCAAGACACCAATCTTTTCCAGCGACTGGCAAACCTTACGCTGGATGGAGGCGGATGCATCGGCGTGATGCGAAGGACGGTTACCGCGGCGGTTGCGGCCACCGTGGAGCTTGGTTAAAGCACCAATACCGACATGCTTGCGCAGGTAAATGTGCCGTGCGACGGCGGCTGAAAGGATTGTTAGCTTTGGACGGTACCCCTCCCATTTCGGGAACACGCACCAGCGCGGACGTAGTACCAGTCAGGGTCATACGGTGCTTGCTCCTTGAACGCACCGGTCTTGACAATATCAGCCCATGTCGGCACCTCAAGCTTGCCGGAGCGCTTTAGATGAGAAGAGTAGGCGGTGATGAACGCGTCAGCGCTGAGAGCAAGTCAGCAATGCTTGCAGAACATAGGCCGGAGATGAATATGATGCGAACCTGATATCTCGTACGCCAGGCATTTTTGTTGAGGATAGAGAGGACCGACAGAGACCACTACGATGTGTATATTGGGCAGCACACGGTGCGGAGGCAGAAAGTGAGAGGGCCAAGTGCTGTACAGTTCCAGACCGGGGGGACTTTAGGGCAAGACCCTGCCTACTCCACGTGAGCGGTGTCTAAGTGGCTGTGCCGGGTAAGGGACAATTCGATGGAAGCAAACGCCACACCTCCAAGCCAAACTGGCCTCGACTCTAACGCGTTAGGCGCGTTCACTCCAGCGCTGTGTACTTTTCCATACACCTTCCCATCATGGAACCACAAGGTCGTCAGACTCTCAAATCAAGGCTGGCCGGTCTAGCAGGCGCGGCTCAGTCGTCATTCTCTTCTCTCGCTGCTTTATCTTCTCTTACTGGCGAACAAAGGCGTCCCATGCCGTGGAACCGTCCTGCGCACCCTGACGAGAGCATATTGCCCGAGTATGATCCTCAGAAGCTAGAAGAAATTATGGAGGGGCTTATCACCCAAGCTGGGGTGGACTACGAGTACGTCATATGAGAATGCCCTAATTGACTTGATGCTGATACGTGGGACAGGACAAGACCGATGTAACAGTCCATTTATACGTATCCGCTTCCTCTGTTTCTCACTTTGGACAGGGTTGTGATGACAGCTGCTGCCATGCCCGATCCACAAGAAGTTTCGTACGACGTATTGCTAGCGTGAGTCTTGTATTCTTGGACAAGGAGACATCCGTTCTCACCTCCGATTAGTTGTGTTCTATCAACTCTCGACTTATACGGTAGGCGCCACCAAATAACTGCTTCTTGAACGATCATTCAGTCACCGTGCAGTGGAGTCGGACTACACGGTTGTGTTTTTTGCTGGTGGATCTAAATATAATCCGGGATGGAATTGGGTGTGGAAGGCGTACAGGAGTCTCAGTCGCAAGTGCGTGCACTTTGACTTTGCTCCGTTACCCAACTTGAACGTTGTTCAGGTATCGAAAGAATCTGAAGAAACTTGTTCGTACTAATTCATCTTGTTAAGCATGAACGAACTGACAAGACTGTAGTATATTGTTCACTCAAGCTTGTTCTCGAAGAGTACGTCCTGTACAAATGTTCACCAATTGATCCTGATTGGTCACAGTATTGGTATCAATGGCCGGAGCCATCATCAGCCCCAAATTCTTTCGTAAGATTCAATACGTGAAGACACTGTCTGAACTCGCGCACTATATTCCCATTACGCAAATCAACATCGCGCCTGAGGTATACAAGGAGAACCTCAAACATGAGAAGACGATCACGTTGCCAGAAGAACTGCAACGTGCCGCTGTGTTCCGTGTGCCCCTCGACGAGTTAATTGGGCCCAAGACGAGCGGCTTGGGTATTCCACGTCCACTTCGCGATTGCGCTGAGTATATCCGGTCATCGGGTGAGTTTCACTCGTCATGTTTCTGGTTTGCATCCGCTGAGATGTTTCCCAGGCCTGGACGTCGAGGGTCTGTTCCGCCGATCTCCAAACTCGGTACTCTTGCGCCAAGCGCAGGATGCGTATGATCGCGGACACCCTGTCACTTTGTCATCCTTCGGGGACCCACACCTTGCTGCCGTGTTGTTCAAGATCTTCTTTCACGAGCTTCCTGAGCCGCTTTTCGCAGAGTCAACATATTCGATCATTCGGAGATGCCCGCCACCATCAGACGATCCGGAAGATACTGCTGCCATCACATACATCCGAGAAGAGATCCTGGCTTCATTGTCGGAGAATGCCTCCTACGTGCTCGCTTTCGCACTGCGTATGTCCGTCTTCCAGCACGAGATTAACATGTAGCTGACTTCCACAGACCTAATGCATGATGTGTCGTTACATTCTGGGAAGAATCGGATGGACGCCACCAATTTGGCGCTATGCTTGAGCCCGAATCTGGTCCGAAGTCGCAATCCTGGTATCGATGTGCAAATGTGTCAAATGCCAGGCCCCAGTGTTCATTCGCCACCTGGCACACCGACCCCAAAGTCACCTGCAGGCACATCGTCGTCAACGCTTGGCCTCGTTCTAAAGATCTGCATTGAACGCTATTTCGAAATCTTCGACGAGTATGATCTTGATGCATCCACTTTGACGACTTCCCGCTCCTCACACTCAGCGCCACAAAGCCAGCCCTCTACCGTTGTCATGCATGACAATGATGACGATATCGATGATGCAGATCTGATCATGACCGTCGAGACGTCACCAAGTATGAAGACAACTGTGCAGCGCAAGTTCATTCCAGGACACAGGCGAAACGAAACCAAGGATTCAGAAGTCAGTCTTGGTTCGTTATTATCGGATAATGAAGCGACGATCGACGGACATGCTGTTAATCTTGCCATGGCGAAAGGAGCTTCCGGTTCCGGCCGTCGCAGTCCCCACAACACTCTTGGGAGGAGTACGAGTCAGAAATCGACTGTGTCTGGCGTGCAGACCACCGGCACGGTAGCCTCGGGTTTCTTTACACCGCCGTCACACCCTTCCTCTCCGAAGAAAGATGCACAGGAGAAGATGTGAAAGGACGCAACTAGCTTTACATGACATAGTTAACAGCTCTTCCCTTATGTTTTGGATTTGTCTTGTCGGATACCTTCCGGTGATTCTGGGCACGTTACTTGGATCATACCCCTGCCTCCTGTACTATACCACGAACGAATGTGTCCCCAATGAGGGAAATGGTCATTAATACAATTGGTATGGGAACCAACGGTCTGTACATGACGGGATGAAGTGCATCTACTCTTCTGCCTCAAGGTCACCGTACGGCCGCGCCTTGAAATAGCTGACATCGAAAAAGTGTACCCTGACAAAGCCATCCTCGCCGCCAGACGAATAGCTCCGGCCATCAGGGTGGACAGCAATGCTAAACATGGATCAGCTGTTGCACAATCCACCACATGCGACTACTAACGTATTGATAGGACCGAAGTGACCACGAACGCGCCCAACCTCCTCCTCGAAGACTTTGTGCCAGAACCGGGTTTCGAACTTGCCTTGACGTAGCGATGTGGTCGTCACACTCATTGCATCTTGTCCACCTCCCAAAAGAACATATGGCCGTAGAGGTGCAATAGCTGCGCTGTTCAGCGGCGTCTCAGTAGTATAGGTCTTGAGCACGGCAAGCGTTCGGCTATCGTGAAGCTGACCTCGACTGTCAAATCACCTATGCCTCATGACATGAACCCAAGCTCACCCTAGCACTCTTGTCCTTGCTGCTCGTAACGAAATAACTGCGATCCGGAGCAAGCTGCAGGTCAGTCACAGGCTCGTGATGTGCCTTTTCGTTTGCGCGAAGCTCTTCACCGGTCTTGGCGTCGAAAATGGCAACCTTGCCGGATTCGTGACCAGTGATGATGTGCTTGCTATCCCACCCGAAGGAGGCCAATGTAGCTTTCGTACCGATAGGGTGGAAGAGTGATATCGGTTCTGGGTCCTCTAGAGGACGTTTAGTAACTGGCACGTACGAGCAGCTGGAGGTAACACACGGATCCGCCCATCATGCCTGTTGATCTTGAAAACGCGAATAGCACCCTGGGCAACCGCACGCTGCTCCGTTACACACACGATGAGCTCTCCATCTTCACTAAATGCTACACGCTTAACAGCAGTCAAGAACTCCCATGTATAGAGACATTGCCCTGTTTCTACGTCCCAGAGCTTCATCATGTTGTCGGCGGATCCTGTGACGAGGAATTTTGTTTGGTCTGTCATTTGACCGAGTCAGTCGGATTGTGCACAGGAAGGTGCAACATGCGTACAGTCCACATCCAGTGTCCACACAGTTCCGTTGTGTCCCCCATATGTTCCCAGCCGCTCCCCGTTGTGCGAATACCAGGCGTTCACTGTATCATCCTTCGAGCAAGAGAACAACAGATCGCCCTCGGCGTTGTACTTGACTTGCGTTAACGAACGCTCGTGACCTTGAAGAAGAATAGGCCTCTATTATGTGTGCATTAGAATACTGCAATGACACCTTGCTTGTAAACCTCACCATTTTGGTAGGGATTGTGGAGTGCGTAAATCTATCGGTGCAGACGAAAGTATGAAGCGCGCGAAAATTTGCTTCCGGCTTTTGCCTCGTGAGTCTGACTGTCGCATCGATCCTCGACCTGAAGTACCGCTGCTCCTTGTATTTGGACTTCACCTCAACTCTAGACTAATGTGTGAATGACCCTTCAACGAAGATGCGACAGTAAGAGTTCGAGGAGTTAACCAACACTTCATTTGGCTTGTTTCGCTATCCCACACCAGTCTTCCATCTGCGCTGATCGATGAATCAAACGACCACTAAATGTGAAGAGGATATTTCTCTACTCCAAGCCGTGGACCCATTCTAAACCATCTCTTTCATGTACTCAGAATCTCGAGAAGCTAGGTATGCATTACCACAGCCCGTGATTCGGCGCATGTCGCCGGTACGGTGCGAAACGCCGGACCACTCGGCAGGCCCGATTCCATGTATCACCAAACCAGCGGGAGTTGCGAGTGTATGAAGATCGAAAGTGCATTCTCATGAGACAAAGAGATGTGCCCCATGCTGTGGTTTGCGCTTTCCCGGTGCTTACAAACCTCTATTCCCTCTGTGTCGTTCACGCCAAAAATGACCTTGACAGAACGTGCTCAGTAACATTTGGCGCTGAACAAGTCTTCGTCTCTGCGAATTTTCCGGTGTGTCGCTATGAATCCCATCGTTGTTGTAGTGCACGTGCGCGCCGAGTCTGGAAGGTGGATGGACCGGGAAGAGGGACCAATGACGGCCCGCCACGGACCGGACCACTGCATCAGTGCATGAGTTGGATCCACTCCTTGGACAGCCCTTTTGCATCGAATGGCACCAAATAACCTTGCTCTCAACCGTCAGCACCGGCCAGCAATTCTCAATCCCACCGCTGAAGGTGCAGGGACCACCGAAATTTGTCATTCATTCAAAGGGCGTACACGGTCAACGCCTTTCGCCTCCAAGGCTTGACCAACACCGACCGCCTCGCAGCGGACCCTCCACCATGTTCCGTCGCGCGCTCACCCGCAGGGTGGCCATCGTAGGCACAGCGATCCCCGTAGCGGGTTATGCCTACTGGAGGTGGAGTCAACCCCCAAAGCCCATCATGGATGACAATCGTCCCCCACCTCTCTGGACCCCACCGTCGCGTAAGCAGATGTTGGATGGGCTCAAGGCAGCGGGACGTGATGGCGAGGAACTCGATCTGTTGATTATTGGAGGAGGTGCGACGGGTGCTGGTGTGGCTGTTGACGCTGCCAGCCGTGGGCTGAAAGTTGGAATGGTGGAGCGAGACGACTTCAGTTCTGGTGAGTGAGCTGGCTTAGAAGTGCGAGGTGTAACTGACCGTCCTTTTGCAGGTACTTCGTCAAAATCTACCAAATTGGTGCACGGTGGCGTACGCTATTTGCAGAAAGCTGTCATGGAACTCGACTATGAGCAGTACAAGCTTGTCAAGGAAGCTTTGCGCGAGCGTCGGGTCTTCCTGTCAACGGCACCTTACCTCAGCAATATGCTTCCAATCATGTTGCCGCTTTACCAGTGCGTGATATGCTCTCCTTGCAGCAAGCACTTGCTAAAGGCATATTCAGATGGTGGCAGCTGCCGTACTATTACGCTGGTTGCAAGATGTACGACTTTCTGGCTGGTGGCGAGAACATGGCGAGCTCGTATATCATGCTCAAGGAGCGTGCCTTAGAGGCATTCCCTATGCTGAAACCCGACAACTTGGTCGGTGCAATTGTCTACTATGATGGACAACACAACGACTCGCGAATGAATATGGCGCTTGTCATGACGGCAGTTCACTACGGAGCCATGGTCGCCAACCACACAGAGGTTGTCAAGGTAAACAAGACCGTATCGCCGGATGGCAGCGAGCCGAAGGTCACTGGTGCTCGTATTCGGGATAACATGACTGGCGAAGAATGGGACGTAAAGGCAAAGGGTGTCATCAATGCAACCGGCCCATTCGCCGACGGTGTTCGCCAACTCGACGATCCCACGGTCAAGCCAATCGTTGCTCCCTCCGGCGGTGTGCACGTAACTCTTCCGAACTACTACTCTCCGCGCACCATGGGTATGCTCGACCCTCACACTTCTGATGGACGCGTCATCTTCTTCCTCCCTTGGCAGGGCAACACCATCGCCGGTACGACTGACAGCCCTGTTCCGGTGGAGCACGAGCCTAAGCCGAAGGAAGAGGAGATCGAGTGGATCTTGGACGAGGTCCGGCGTTACCTTTCACCTGATATACAGGTCCGCAGAGGTGATGTGCTCTCCGCCTGGGCAGGTATCCGTCCACTTGTGAGAGACCCAGCTGCAAAGAACACTGAGTCTCTCGTTCGCAACCATATGATCAATGTCTCTCCTTCCGGTCTGCTCACCGTCGCTGGAGGTAAATGGACCACGTACCGAGAAATGGCCGAAGAGACTGTCGACACGGCTGTCAAGGCGTTTGATTTGAAACCGGCTTCTCCGTGCAAAACCCAAGCCGTCCGCCTTGTTGGCGGCCACGGCTGGACAGACACGATGTTCATCAGGCTGATTCAACAGGTATGTGTTGTGTACACTGTTCCTAATAATTCATTAACCATATCTACAGTATGGACTTGAAACTGAGGTTGCGCAGCACTTGGCGAGCACCTACGGCGACCGCGCATGGACTGTCTGCTCTTTAGCAGAGCCAACTGGCTTGCATTGGCCCCTCCACGGACACCGCATCTGCGACCTGTATCCCTATATCGACGCTGAAATCCTCTACGGAGTGCGGTACGAGTATGCCCTGACTGCTGTCGACTTCATTGCTCGCCGTACTCGTTTGTCCTTCCTGAATGCGCAGGCCGCGCTCGACTCTCTCCCGACCGTTATCAGCGTTATGGGCGACGAGCTCGGCTGGGGTGTCAAGAGGCGCAGGCAAGAATGGATTGCCGCACGGAATTTCTTAGATAGCATGGGTCTATCCGAAAGCGAAGCATCCAGGACTCCGCCTCCACTGATCGGCGGTCCTACGTGGCTACAGCATATTACCAAGCTATTCCCCTGGTCCTCAACGGGCTCTACGTCTGGTGGGAAGTACTCCCGCGCCACCTTCTCCGCCGAGGAGCTCGATCGCCTGAAAAAGGTGTACGATACTCGCGAAGATAAAATCAAACCTCTTGAGAAAGAAGACCTGCACAAGGTCTTAGAGGCCATGGGTTTCAAGGACATCCAGCCCGCCACGATGGAAACGCTAGTACCAGAGCTGACGATCAGGAAGGGCAGAGCACTGCAGTGGGAAGATTTCTTGGATGTGAGTACTTGAAACTTCCCTAGTTCTGCTCTTTACTCACGTGTCGGTATAGGCATGTGCGAACTTGAAAGAGTTGTCATTCCGTGAGGGTACGCCTTCTCATCTTGCTTCCGAGCAGAGGAAGAACATACCCGTCGAAAAGTCCGGTGGTGGTGTGTAAGGGGAAGGATGACCGTTAGTAACACAGTAATATGACTAGATGCGATACGGAAGGGCCACTTGAGCGATTCCATTGTATTTTGGATTGCATTGTTATTAGTACACTAGTTGACCTTTTCCGAATGATCAATAACTCCGCACCCTAGGCATATGTCCCTCGGCTCCGGCGGTGTAGTGGAAGAGAGTGAATTCTGAGTGGCGGGACGGACACAGAAATTTCGGCACCCAAAGACAGCAAAACCGACTTATCGTGTGCACAACTCTTTCCGGCGTCTCCACCGTCTCTCGCCAAAATGTCGGCACCTACGCATCTATTATTCGAGTCTGCCGGAGGATATGCCCTCTTCGAAACGAAGATGTTCGAGGAGATTGGTATGCAGACGAAGCAAGTGCAAGACTCGATTGAAGACTTGCACAAGTTCGGGAAACTTGTGCAGCTGAAGAGCTTTGCTGCTTTCAAAAATGCGGCAAATGCTCTGGAGAACATTAACGATGTTACGGAAGGTGCGTGATTGGTATGCCGACCTCTGTATGTGTTTGCTAACTCGATACATTAGGCATTGTCAATGAGCACCTGAAGAATCTACTGGAACTCAACCTGAGCAAGTCGTCGAAAAAAACACCAGTGGTTCTGGGTGTCTCCGACCGTACACTTGGAAGCGCCATCACGACAGATCTCAACATCAAGACTGACTGGTCTGAACGATCTCTGGAACTAATACGAGGAATTCGTCTGCATGCAGAGAAGCTGCTGAAGGACTTCCAGGAAGGCGATCTGCTGAAGGCTCAGCTCGGTCTCGGTCACTCCTATTCTCGCGCCAAGCTAAAATTCAATGTCAACCGATCCGACAACATGATCATATGTTCTATTGCAACCCTCGACCAACTCGACAAGGATGTCAATACGTTTGCCATGCGCGTGAGGGAGTGGTATGGGTGGCACTTCCCTGAGCTAGTGAAGATCGTCCCAGACAACTTCCAATATGCACGTGCTGCAAAGTTCATTGGCGACAAATCTCAACTGAAGGAGGAGGCGATACCGGAGTTGACTGAGATTCTGGAGGGTGACGAGACGAGGGCCAAGAATGTTGTCGATGCTGCTCGCCTGTCCATGGGCACCGATATCTCACCAATCGACCTCCTTAATATCTCAGCATTCGCCGATCGCGTGATTTCACTTGCTAACTATCGCAAAGCACTCACTGCATACCTGACGGAGAAGATGAACCTGGTTGCACCCTCTCTCACAAGCTTGATTGGAGAGCGGATAGGCGCACGTCTAATTTCTCATGCTGGCTCTCTTACCAACTTGAGCAAGTACCCTGCCAGCACTGTCCAAATTCTCGGAGCCGAGAAAGCGCTTTTCCGTGCGCTGAAGACCAAGGGCAACACACCGAAGTACGGGCTTATCTTCCACTCTGGTTTCATTGGGCGCGCCGGAAACAAGTACAAGGGTAGAATATCGCGATTCCTTGCCAATAAGTGCTCCATTGCCGCCCGTATAGATTGCTTCAGTGATAGTCCCACACCGAAATTCGGCGAGGCACTGAAGAATCAAGTCGAGGAACGGTTGGCCTTCTTTGAGACAGGTGTTGCACCGCATAAGAACGCAGATGCCATGAAGAAAGTGTTGGAGGATCTCGAGAACGAGGAGCATGATGAAGACGATGAGGATATGGTGAATGCAATTCAAGTGTTAGTCGTACCCGCTGTTGTGACAGCGGACAGCACCGAGAAGAAGAAGGAAAAGCGCAAGTCTGACGTGGTTGATGTGAGCACTATCTATTCACATCGTACCATGCATCACGGCTGACCATAATCGCAGGATGATGCGGAACCACCAGTTGCGAAAAAGTTGAAGAAAGACAAAACAGAGGATGTTGGAAAGAAAGAGAAGAAGAAAGAGAAGAAGGCCAAGGTTGGTTGCTCCGTGCCAGGGATCTGTTCTCAGACTAACAATTGATGCAGGCTGACGTTACGTCTACCCCAATAAAGGCTGCCGACCCGGATTCCAGCCCGAAGAAGCCGAAGAAGTCCAAGGAGGAGAAGGAGGCGAAGAAAAAGCGAAAGAGTGAAGCGGCAGCGTGATAGTCGGCCGATTCTTGGAGGTGCAGTGCCCATGTTCACGATGGCTCCTTGTAATCGATGTATTCTTGCCTATTGTTTGCTTTCTAATACCACTGTCTCGCATTGCCGTGTCCACCTGCTCATCCACTGGGGTAATTTTCTCACTTAGCCCGGCTTCGACTTATATTTTCTATTCGGCGGCTGGTGCACTGGTTGTGCCACGAGTAGAAGTGCTCAACCCTCGCGACGAACACACGTTCTAGGCTAGGAGGCTGCGGACTCAATTTATTAGTCCTTAATCAACTTGCCTTGACGTAGGCCCCTAGAACACAACACGCCGTTCATCTTTGCCTCTCTTCCTCAACAACGACCACCTGAACAATGTCTGTCTCCTCAAAAGCTGTCGTCCTCATCGGTGAGGACGCATATATTTACCCCTCAAGCATTATTGACATGTGTACCAGGCGGTCCCTCCAAGGGTACCCGGATGCGGCCGCTCACCCTGGACACCCCAAAGCCGCTCTTTCCCATTGCCGGGCGACCCCTCATGTGGCACCACATTCGCGCTCTTTCCATGGTCGCTGGATTGACTGAGGTCTTTCTGATTGGCTTTTACGAGGACGCCGTCTTTGCGCCATTCCTCAAGGATGTATCGCGTGAATTCAAGAACCTTTCCGTCAAGTGAGCAGCAGTCAACTCCATTCACTCGTGCGGGGCCCTGATCCTATTCAATCAGGTACATGAGGGAATATCAAGCCCTTGGCACTGCCGGCGGTCTCTACCACTTCCGTGATACGATTCTGCGGGGAAACCCTGGTCAGATCTTCGTTTTGCACGTCGACATCTGCTGCTCTTTTCCCTTGAAGGAGCTCCGCGATTTCCACGGTACCCACCGTGGTCTTGTCTCAATGCTCGGAGTACGAGTGCCGACGGAGACTGCACTGAAGTACGGTTGCATCGTTCCTGACCCCAGGACAAAGCAAGTTCTGCACTACGTGGAGAAACCGGAAGGCTTCATCTCGGACCTCATCAACGGTGGTGTCTACCTCCTCGAAGCCCAGGGCTTCTTTGAGGCGATTCGCGTAGCGATGGTGCGCAAATCACAACAACAAGCCGAAGACCCCTACATGTACCAGGACGACCTCCTCCGCCTAGAACAGGACGTCATTGTTCCGCTATGCGACACGAAAAAGGTGTTTGTCTACGAGACGCCCGACTTTTGGAGGCAAATCAAGTCAGCTGGTTCTGCATTGCCTGCCACTGCGCTCTACCTGAACCAATATCACACAACGAATCCGGAGATGCTGGCAAAGCCCACCCCTAGCGGGCCAGAAATTGTAGAACCCGTGCATATTGATGCAACCGCTCAGGTTGATCCAAGCGCCAAGATCGGGCCTTCTGTGAGCATCGGCCCTGGCGTTGTCATTGGTGCTGGTGTTCGTGTCAAGGAGAGCATAATTCTAGACAATGTGACCGTCGAAGTACGTACTTTCCCTGCTTCTTCGTCTTAACCACTTAGCCTCTCATAGAAAAACGCAATTGTTAGCAACTCCATTATTGCTGCTGACTGCCGCATCGGGCCCTGGGCCCGCATCGAAGGCGAGCCTCTGAAGCCAACTTCTGTTGAGGACAGCTCGACGAAGGAGACCATAACCATTCTCGCGAACAATGTCAATGTTGCAAGGGACGTGCTTGTGCGATGGTGAGTTGTCTGCTTGCATGTTGTATACGTTGCTAAAGCCACTTTTTAAGCTGCATCGTTCTCCCGCAGAAGACGCTTACCAGCAACTGCCACAATGAAGTCCTTCTCTAATTTTCTCTCCCCAGCCTGGCGCTGTGCAAGAGGGCCCAGTTCAGGAGAGCCGTCATAGTCAGGACACTCGCTGCAATGGCTTTCGCCAATCCCTACTCCCCTAATCCGCACATGATACCCAAATGCATAGATTATGCAAGTACGCCCCTAATTTGTTAGATTGACATGAATGCGTTACAATGGATACCTGATTGTTTGATACAACAGCGACAGGATTGGTCAGTGCTAATCGAGCGGGCATGATTACTCAGCCTCTTCCCACAAATGGCATATCGGAAGCCCTAAACGTCTGATCAGAATGTTGAGAGATATCGGAAGGGGATTCCCACGAACATGATGTTCATTGTCAATACTGTCACATTCAGTGGCAGATTAGAAATATAAACAACAGCATCTGCCACATGGCGTGGGTCGTATACATTCTCAGATTTGACAGAACCATCGGCTTGCGGTACACCGTATTGCATTCTCCCGCCCAGCGATGTGTCCGCGTTACCGATATCGATCTGCGTGCAAACGATATTGTACTTCCTCCCGTCTAACGAAGTGCACTTGGTAAGGCCAAGTATTGCATGCTTGGACATGGTATACGGGGAGGAATCTGGTACACATGAACATGTGTCAATAATGGAGACGCGATGCTCACTTGGGCGCGGTGCATAAGCACTGATACTCCCATTATTGATTATCCTTCCTCCCCTTGGCACCTGCCCTTTCATCATCCTCACTGCCTCCTGTGTGCAGAGCCATGCGCCCGTCAAGTTGACGTTGATGACCTGCTGGAACTGAGCAAGAGTCAGGTCTTCTATTGGCAGTGGAGGTGCCCCGGTGCCAGCATTGTTAAACAGCACATCCAGACGACCTGCAGCTACCTGTAAGCGCTTGTCCTCGAGGTGAGAGCGCAGCGATGCGCACCGAACTGCTGTGCAATGGCAGCGAATAGATTCTTCACCTCTTCTTCCTGTGCGATATCACAGACCAAAGCCAATACTTGTCCTCCATATTTCTGACAGTCTGAAGCGGCTTCATATAGTTCTTCGCGTCGCCGAGCTGCCAGGACCACGGACCATCCGGCTTTGGCGAGTGCAATGGCTGATACCTTTCCGATACCTTGCAATTGGACAATGTATCAGGGCGGACAGACCTGAGAAATCCGAGAAGCGTACCAGACGAGGCACCCGTGATTAATGCGACCTTTGCAGGTGCAGATCCTGTAGCGGCTGTCGCTCTTCCAGCCATAGTCTCATCCGCGTTGGTCACTTCAGCACTCGCCATGATATATGTGGTGACCAGCGACTTATGGAAATGACACTAGATCGTGAAAAGCAGTACTAACGACCTTTCGAATGGAACGTACCCTTAAAGCTATCAGTAATTGATTCGCCTAAGTTCGCAAGAATCGCTGGAGATTAATATAGTGTCAGAGAGCGTCAGTGCGAAGTCATGGCCCGGCACAAAGGCCCGATGTCCCTGTCATCTTCCCCACGCGACCGGACCTTCGGAACGACAATCCCCCGCAATATTCTTCCTCTTGGCAGCCCCCCAAGCTTCCGTAACATCTTCATCGTCCACTCACTCGTAATTACGGTGGGGCGGCTATCTTGTACACGTGTAGGGTGTATCAACATTGCGAACGAAGAGATGCTAAATTGTTCCCAAAAGGATCGAGCCAAGTCAGCACCGGACAACAACGCCCGCAAGATGCCATTATTCAACTTTATGAGACGGCATGCTCCATCATCAGTTTGCGGACCGGTCAAACCGTGGCAGGAGATCGTCCCTATTGTGGCACAAGCAGAAGCCGCGGTTCCTTTGCCCGAATTCGCATTCGATTCGAACGGAACTTCGCCAAACGTCATCACTGATGTGCTCCCCGACCCGACATCGTATTTGCAACGCGCATCAGCGTTTATTCTCGCCTACTTGGAATCCGCAAAAGATCCGCCGAAACCGAAAGTCACTTTAAAGTTATCGAGGGAGAATGGAATTGCTGTAACTTCGGGCGGGGAGATGACACTCTTCATTCCGTATTTCGCGAATCACAGCAAGAATCACACCCCAGACGAAGTTCTACATGAAGTTCTGGGAGTCATCCTACATGAGCTTGTTCATGTTTACCAGCATGACGGGCATCATACTGTTCCCGGAGGAGTGATCGAAGGCATCGCCGACTTCCACCGGTTACGGGCAAACCTTGGTCCGCCGCATTGGAAACGCGCAAGGGGCGGTAAATGGGATGCCGGCTACGAACGGACGGCCTATTTTCTGAACTGGATCGAGGGATCCAATATTGGTTTCGTTCGAGAGCTGAATGCAATGTCAAAAGAGACATTCAATCTCAGCATTTTTCGAACACTGACGGGCCGTAACGTGGAGCAACTTTGGGAAGCATATCAACGGTCAATTCCATCGTGTGTGGAAGAACTTGCCCGTCCTGCTGTGCCGACAGAAGTTGCGAGCACAGAAGTACCAATGCAGTAGACAACAATCATTGATATCCTGCCACGGCACCGACAGACACGGATTGTAATAGACATACATGATCACCATAGGAAGAGTTTATCAAGACATTCATACATATCGCATCTCAATAGTCCACCGCTCCTCCCTCGTGATCTTCATTATAGCTATTACTCTGCCTTTGCTCAAAGCGGTCGAATATACCAGCCCTTGGTCCCGATAAGCAAGGACGCGAGAGGGCATCTGCATCATCATCCCAGCGGTTCTCGGCAAGACAAAATCCGTCCTCGAAGCGCTGTCGTCGCTCAAGATCGTCTTGAGAATCGGACCAGTTGTCTTCCTCCTCTTGTTCTTCAGGGTAGTCGTTTTGGTAGTAGTTTTCATCTAGCGAAGACGGCGTTAGCCTGATGAATCAGACGTCAGACAGTGCAACCTGCCATTGGAATCTTCATCAACCTCGCTATCTTCCTCCTCTCCGCTCGTGTACTCTTCATTCTCATCAAATACGGCTGACATTCCAGTCCTGCATTTCAATTAGCAGCTGAAGTCGGTAAAGGTTTGATCAGACACAGACAGTGAGGCAACTTGACCCTGATTCATCATCTGCATCATCTGCATCTGCGCTGCCTTCTCGCGCGAAAAATAGAAGAGATCGTAAACATATTCATCCTCCGCCGGGGCAGGAATAGCTCGTCCAGCAATCGCTTTATCAATTGCCTCCTTCACTGTCAGTGAAGTCGCTGCTCCACCTGCGACTGTCGCTTTCTGAGGCACTGCTGATGGCCGTCCGGGTCGTTTAAGTGGCTTCTCGGGTTCAAGATCGCCATGCACTGTGAGATACATTGGTTAGTCACAGACCTACCTTTGGTACGGATTCGGCATACCCCTCAGGAACTTTTCCACCATGTCATGAAACATGTCCATCTCCCTCTGGTCGACCTCGTTCTGCCCAGCTGTATTCACCGATCCCCCTTTTGGCTTCGTGTCCTCTGAATCCTCCTTCTCACTTTCATTCTCATTCACAGGAACCAGTTCCGCTTCAAGATATTGAAGGGGAAGGGTTGTTCGTGGTTCCTCAGCGATGGTAGCGGGAATGCTGCGCTTGACTTCAGGTGGTCCCGACGTTCTTGGAAGTTTGATTCCTGAGGACTTGCGACGTGGAAGGATACGGTAGGCACGTTGGACTGGTCCGCTCTCGGATTCTGGTGCAACCACGGGACCCGAGGTAGCGCCGGTACTGCCTGGTTCATCTTCAGGGTTGCGTTTCTCCAGCAGATTAATGCGTTTCTGCAAGCACTCAGTAAACAGGCGCGATTTTGCGCATTAGTGCATACATGAAGTTCATCCGCCCCTTGACCTTTCTGCGCCGCCATCCAACTATTCGCATCCATCGTCTCTGCGAAAATGAACATTCCCGACTGGGCCTCGTTAACTTTGCGTTTCTTGTTCTTCCTTTCTAGACTGGGAGAAGGTGGCCCGCTGGCTGCACCATACACTGTAAACCCATGAGCGAGAAACTCAAAAACAGAGGGGTTGGCTACTCACCTAGAGCTTTCAGCGGGGGCTGGTCGCGGTGTCGCTTGATGCCCACAACCATGAGTGACGGGTTGGACGTGCCAGGAGCGGCGGTCATCGCTGGCTTCGCTATGGGTTTGGTCGCCATCCTTCAGAGTTGTTGAATACGGGATATGAAAAATGACTAGTAAATGATGAAGGGGCGAGTGAGAATGAGATGGCGCCGGACAATGACGGGCAAGGTGAGCAGTCCAAGACGGCGTCGAATATTTCACGCGACCTGCTTCGTCATCAGAAAGGGACTTTGTTTGTTGAGTTGTTCCGACCTTTCCGAGTCGACCACCACATATCAACAATCTTCAAGCAACACTTTGTTCTTGCTACATGAATCCAATCTAATATCACCCCCTATTGATGATCCATTCGTGTCTACTTCGACTCATATACACCAGATATCGCCCTCAAAATGCTCCTCACTGGTACCAATCATCTCTTCTCAGACAAGGCACGCGTCTTTCAAGAAGGTACGCTTGCAGTCAACCCTTATACAACAAGGATACACACCTCATTCATGAAGATATACTCTCCTTCACGAATTGCCAGAGGGCAAAGTTTTCACGGGCGGTCGGAGCCGCAAGTCCGACGGGTGCCGAACTTTCAGAAGCTCACACAACACCGCCACCAACCCGATCAGTTGACGTGCCTTGCGGGGTACCCATAACTCCGGTCTCCCACACTTAGGACGATCACCTCCACCTGCTGGCTGAAGTGGAGAACACCCTTTGTGTTTCCCAACCAGAGGCATGAGACGTGCTGCAGGGTTCTTCCTGCAGGATTTGAATGAATGGCCTGGTCCTGTGAGCGGTTGCCTGGGTATGAAAGGACGACGAGCACGGGTGGAGGTGCATGACCAACAAGGCTATAACGCTTGCGATTCGTAGGAACGGCGTGGGGCAGGAGCCTGCATCAGTCTCCCAACAGCAAGGTCATGTCCACTACCACTCAGCCCCCAGTGCAGTACGTCCGCCTCGGCAACTCTGGCCTGCGGGTCTCCCTCCCCATCGTGGGGTGCATGTCCTTCGGCAGCTCGCAGTGGAGCGATTGGGTCCTTGATGAGGACAAGGCTCTGCCCCTGCTCAAGGCTGCTTGGGACCGTGGCGTCACGACGCTTGACACAGCGAATGTGTACTCTAATGGAGAGAGCGAAAAGATCATTGCCAAGTTCATCAAGACGGTGCGGGAGGCTTTTCACTCGTTGTTCGGTGCTGACGATGAGGTAATTCAGTACAATATCCCTCGCTCCAAGCTGGTCATCCTGACCAAGTGTTACGGGATCGTCGCCGAGGGCCAGCCTGGATTTTTCACCGCTACGAAGCAGTACCTGCGTGACACACGCGAGTTTGTGAACCAAGCTGGTCTATCCCGTGCAGCGATCTTCAACGCTGTTGAAGCCTGTCTGCGCCGCCTGGAGACGGACTACATTGATCTGTACCAGATCCACCGGTATGATCCGAACACGCCTGCGGAGGAGACGATGTGTGCTCTGAATGACCTCGTGCGATCGGGCAAGGTGCGCTATATTGGTGCGAGCAGCATGTACGCGTGGCAGTTCGCAGAGTACAACCATGTGGCGGAGAAGAACGGGTGGACTCAATTCGTGAGCATGCAGAACCACTACTCGCTCCTGTATCGGGAGGAGGAGAGGGAGATGATCCCGTACTGCAAGGCTAAGGGCATTGGTCTGATCCCCTGGGCGCCGCTCGCTGAGGGCAACCTGGCGAGGCCTGTGGCGAAGGAAGCACATGATGCGGAGAAGACGAGCCGTACGGACACGGCTGTGTTCAAGAAGTCTGTGACGGAGACGGACAAGCGTATCATCGCCCGTGTTGAGGAGCTCGCCAAGAAGTACAACGTAAGCACATCTGTGTGTCCATTCAGGAATGCGGGCTGACTCTTGCACAGGTCAAGATGGCACAGATTGCGATCGCCTGGATCAATACAAAGGTGTCGTCCCCGATCATCGGAATGAGCTCGCCCTCCAGGCTCGAGGACGCTATTCCGGTGACGACGTTCAAGCTGACGAGCGAGGATATTAAGTACCTGGAAGAGCTGTACACACCTGTGGCCATCCAGGGCCATGCGTGAGTAATGACGTGGACCCTGTAGAATTGGTATGATGAATAAAAACATGCCGAGGCCGCCACTACTCAGTTTCCTGACGTGTGATATGTATGAGTGGACTGCCTTTGCGACTGAATCCAGGTTGGCGTGTCAGGCAGGAATTAGAACCATGAGTGCCAGCGGAGTAAGAAGGGGCGAGGGTAACAGATGATCGCAGCATAGAACCCTGCTACGATAGACAAGAGGTCCACGTTGGATCCCCATAAGTCAACCTTAGCGCGCGTCATGGGCGTGCCGAGAGATCCGGGCCATGCTCGGATGCATATCGTGAACATAAAAGGCCTGCTGGCTGTGAACTGGCTAGATTCTCTTCGTTTAGCGAGGGAAGATGATATGTTGAGCAAATCTATTGTTGGAGCCGTCCACAGAAACAGGAAAGAGTTGGAGTTTCCATGTCGAATCCGTCCCCTAAGGCTGATTAGTCATGGGGCTGACACGTCTCATCTGACTCCGTGCTAATCACATGGTGAAGGTGAATCACATGCAGAGCGGTGTCGGGCGAACACAAACGCGGAAATAGGCAGCGCTGTTGCCGCAGCTCTCATCACGACCACCACCATCACCACTATCCTACACAGCTTATCATAATTCGACAGTACATTCACTCCCGGTTACAACCTGGACAATGGCATCCGCAGCCACCACTTCACGCCAGTCAGCACTACACCTCTCAGTCCCGCTCCCTCCTCTGCGCCCATCATGGTCAGAAGAGAACGTATCACTCAACTTGGGAATAGACGAGGATGAATCTCCTTCACCCTTCTCTGGGGCGCGCACACCCGTCACTCCCCTACCTCAAGTCATGGATGGTCGTGACGCGTGGGCGCGATTCTCTCTTAGGGACGACGACGACGCCGAGAGCGTTGTTGGTGAAGGAGACTTTGATTGCCATATCTGGTGCGTGCATCCTCCACTCCCACTCCCACTCCCTCATGCTTACCGCTGATGCGTAGCCTGCGGACCGCCACCAACCCGTGCGTGACCCGCTGCGGACATCTCTTTTGTAACGACGACCTCGAACAATGGCTGCGAATACATCCGCGTTGTCCCGTTTGCTCATCCTTCATCTCCCTACAACACGACGTCGTTAAAATCTTTGGACGAGGGCGTGAACGGCGACGCAGGTCCTCTGCTTCAGATGCGAGCACCGCACCAGAGACGAGGAAAAGCAAGCCACCTACTGCGCCCTCCAGCGCGGCTTCCCTCCCTTCTCCACCAGCAACGCCCTCCCCTGTCCGTCCACCTGCGCTCTTGCCCGATCCAGCGACAAACCTGTTCTCCGCCTCTTCAGTCCGAAGAAGAGCAGAACCCAAAGACCGGCCTTTTTCCCAACCGCCCCATCCGCTGCTCATTGACCACCTCCTGCGACACCAGTTCGCCCGCCTCCTCTCTCTCGTCGCCCTTGTTTTCTTCCTCCTGCTCATCGGGCGGCTTCAGTGAGAACGTGTATTCTCTGGAGAAGCTTCTCCGCTTTTTGGCACAATGAGAGCTCAACCCCTATCTCTCTGCATGCCGCAGTCGACCGCAGTCACGGTCGATCTTCTGCCCCAAGTATCATGATGTATATCACGGCACGACACACGAGGCCGCGCAAAGCACCCAGCACTATCAAATATCACCTATCACCTATCTCACGACGTTTTCTGGTTACCCAGATGTGCCTTTGTTCTTGTTCTGTTCCGGCCGGTATCCTGTTGTGTTTGTGTCCTCTTATGTCGAGACTGTAATTTTACATAGCCATGTTGTGACAAGAATAAGATTATGGATGGAAGCACCGGATGACGTTCGTGGGCGAGCTAGCTTGTGTCTTTGGTTTCATGTCACAATAAAGTTGTGTCTCGTGACCCCTAAGCAACGCTGTTCGGTTGACAGGCGACTACAGTCTCGTTCAAGTCGGACCCGTACTTCAAAGTTGGTATTTTTCATGTGAAGTTAAAGACTTGATTTCATACAGCCACGTTGCTCTTACTTGAAGCTATACAATCCGCATACGAAAGGAAACTGCAAGGGACAACCAATTGCTCATAATTGGTCTTCTTAGTATTTTGCATCTTTTCTGCCTCGCCTAAGTCAGGTTTCACATAGTTGCTCCAGCCACGGGGAAAGTGACAGTTCAATGAATCAACTCCAATCTTTCAATCGCGACGCCATCATTTGTTAAGGTTGTGTATCCATCATCCCTCTACATCACGTCGCACCTCACGGATTTCCCTCCCCTGCAGTCAGTTGGGGATGGGAGCATGGTCCTCAGTTTGAAATATGACTCTTCGATGTGCCAATAAACGGATAGTCGCTGTTATTAACGACTCTCTGATGCAAAGATTGCATATCCCTGAACCATCTGGGCATCCTGGAAATCACGTACCAACCGGCCGTGCTGGACACTTTAAGAACAATTATCACGTCTCGGCAATCGCTAGCCTAGTAGTCTTCGAAGTAGAATCAGAGTCGTGTTTAATCGCGCGATCGTGCATAAGAAAAGACGATCAGCTTAGAGGAATGTTCAAACACTTCAACATGCTGGCAAATTTATATACAACATGACTCGAATTGTCGGTGCAGGAGTGAGAGTGCAGACCCTACTGACGTAGCGGAGACTGAATAGGATTCAGACCAGGCAGTTCACTCACTTTCACCACGGGGTCTTCCGGACCTCGTCATATTACCAAACCACCGCGTATAAATACTCCTCATGGCTCTGCCACCATCTCCTAGCCCACCGGGCACACCAAACGGATACATGTCTGACTACAGCCTTCCAGATGACAACGGTCATCGTACACTGGCCAGCGAGAATGAACAAAACGGTCGATCCAACGGCTCGACACCTCGTCCAGAGAGTGGATATTTTAGCTTCCAGGAGGAACGAACGATGAAGTCGGTATGCCCTGTAGGACACGTAAAGAGGACGGTGTTAATCGATTTACGCTAGATCGAGAGCATGAAGCTCGCTCATGGCACCCACGATCCCATCGCAGCCACTCCGCACACCACTCCCCGAGCGAGAGCGAACACAGTGCGAGGGAACATTCCACCCGGGTTGGAGTTGACACCTGCAAGTCTGGAGAAGCCTGAACCCGTTCAGGAGGCTCAGCAACCAATTTTACCCACCCTCCATATAGGAAGTTACGCCTCTGTTGATGGGATGATGAAGCAGGCAGCCCCTGAGGCGGATGGCGCTGATGCTGAAGACGAAGCCGGTGCGCTGCATGCTTTCGATTCCGAGGTTGCAATCGTCCTCATCGGTTCACTGCAGATGCGTTCATTACACCCGAACTTCTTGCCCTTTACGAATCCTTTTCAAAATGCCTGGATCTCAGAGACAAATACATGAACTACTCCATGCAACGTCTGGGCGACAATCCCCAGCACTACGATGGGTATTTCACCCCCCTACCCCCCGATCTCTGTGACGTGAATGGTGTTCGTGAGGATGCCACCCTTCCCTCTGACTACCCATTGCATTTCCCTGCCGACCCCTCACTGGAGCCTTTGGCCCAGGGACCGAACTTGTCCACGCCTTGGCGCCTATACCCCAAGCCCCCATCCCCGCATTGGCACTGGTATGCAAGGGCAGCGCCGAGTGGAGTATCCAATGGTGCACCGGAAGAGGAGGAGGAATTCGATTTCGAAAAATGCGGCATACCGGGGGAGCACGAGTGGATGTTTGAGATGGACGATAAAGGAGTGTATCAAGTATATGGAACGGATGGTATGCTTTATACCTCATACTTGCAAGGTTTGTCTGAATGCCCTGGTAGACCGTCAAAAGCCCCTGTTTAGGGTGCCGGACATCCGCGAATACTTCATGGATCTCGACGCACTACTAGTAGTCATGACCGACGGACCGGCTAAGAGCTTCGCATTCCGCCGCTTGCGCTATTTGTCGAGCAAGTGGACGATGTATACTCTTCTCAATGAGTATCAGGAGACAGCGGATATGAAGGTGCGTCGTAAAAGCTTGAAGAGGTTGACAAGTATCGACCTGGCTACAGAGAGTGCCTCATAGGGACTTTTATAACTTGCGCAAGGTTGATACCCACGTCCATCATTCGAGCAGTATGAACCAAAAGCACTTGCTGCGTTTCATCAAGTCGAAGATGAAGCGAACACCCAACGTAGGCGTGGTATAACTGCTATTCGTAGGCGCGCTCATGCTTGTCTTGTATAGGACACTGTAATCTTCCGCGACGGTCGTGAATTGACATTGGCCCAAGTGTTCGAATCCTTGAACCTTACTGCTTACGACCTCTCCATCGACACCCTGGACATGCATGCACACCAGGACACCTTCCATCGATTTGACAAGTTTAACCTGAAGTACAATCCACTTGGGGAGAGCAGACTCCGCGAGATCTTTCTCAAGACAGATAACTACATCAAAGGACGTTACCTTGCTGAACTGACGAAGGGTGGGTTTGTCTGTGTTCGTTGTTATCTATGATCTTGTCCCTAATAAGAAGCGCAGAGCTGATGACGGATCTTGAGCAATCTAAATACCAGAACTGCGAATGGCGGATCAGTATCTATGGCCGTTCCCCGGACGAGTGGGACAAGCTCGCTAAATGGGTCATCAACAACAAACTCTATTCTCATAACGTCCGCTGGTTGATTCAAGTACCACGGCTGTATGACGTATACAAGGCCAGCGGGCTTCTCAGCAACTTCCAGCAAATCTTGGAGAGTGCGTTATTGTGTTATATGACCAGGTGTGGTATTCACGACAGTTAAGATCTATTCAAGCCCTTGTTTGAGGTCACAAAAGATCCTCGCAGTCATCCAGAACTTCATGTCTTCCTGCAGCGTGTTGTCGGCATCGATAGTGTGGATGACGAGTCCAAGACAGAAAGACGCATATATCGAAAGTTCCCATACCCCAAGGTCTGGGACACGAAGCAGAACCCTCCCTACAACTACTGGTAAGCCGGGTTCATCGTACATGGCCGTGTTCTCATGATCTGCAGGCTGTATTACTTATACGCAAATATGTGCGCACTGAATCAATGGCGCAGATTGCGTGGCTTCAGTACGTGTTCCATCCACCCATCAGTCCTCTGCTAACAAATTCACTCAGATACTTTTGTCCTCCGTCCTCATTGTGGTGAAGCCGGCGACCCCGATCACCTCGCGTCCGCTTTCATGCTTGCTCATAGTATTTCCCACGGCATTCTTCTGCGCAAAGTCCCCGTGCTACAGTACCTGTTCTACCTGAAACAGATTGGCCTTGCCATGAGCCCACTGAGCAACAATGCCCTTTTCTTGACTTACGAGCGGAATCCGTTCCCGGAATATTTCAAGACGGGGCTGAACGTCAGTATAAGTACTGATGACCCCCTGCAGTTCCACTTCACCAAGGAACCTCTCTTGGAAGAATACAGTGTGGCGGCTCACGTGCGTTCTCCCACTTTCTTTGGAAGCGAGACTGACCTTCCCCTTTGGTTACAGATTTACAAATTCTCTCAAGCTTCTCTAGCTGAGCTAGCGCGGAACAGCGTGATCCAGTCCGGGTTCGAGATGCAGATCAAGCGCCACTGGCTCGGGCACCAATGGTTCCTTCCGGGCGCATTGGGCAATGATATCAACAAGACAAACGTCCCCAACATCAGGCTGCGGTACAGGCACGACACGCTCATGGAAGAGCTGCAGATGCTCAGCCAAGGTAAGAAGACGCTTGTGGTGAGCAGGGGACATGATGGACCAGTGCAGCCGTTGACACCTGATACCGTTGCTGCCAAGGCGATGTCGATCCCAATGAATTCGACGGGGAAACATTAGATGCTTGAAGGAGTATGGGGCGCCAGAAAGGACTCATTTAGACTTATCCAAATAGAAATCCAGCCGTAATGATGTGTATAATGAAGGTTTGCATGACTCCTCTCATCAACGGGCTCCGTCCCACTCACCACGCATGCGATTTGAAAATGTTTATTAGTTTTTATGCTTTAGTATGCGTGAAGGACACGGTACTACACAATTGTAAGAGTTTCAGAGACAAAAGGAGAAAGAAAGGAATCTATTATCCACAGTCCGCTCGTAAGTGACATCAAGGAAACCTACACTTCCATGATCGGTTTCTTAGGTTTCTCCTGGGTGGGTGAGATCGCCTCCTGGATCTGCTCGCGCTCAGCCAAGGTAGCAGTGTCGTCGTCATCGTCATAAGTAGCGAAAGACGAGTATTTGCGGATGGCCGCACCCTTGAAGTAGAACACGTAGGGGATGGCACAGCACGCCAGGCCGATGAAGCCCAGCAGGCTGGAGGCCCACTGATAGCCTAGCCGGTGGTACATCTGTATGGTGAATAGGACGGCGCATGCACCCCAGATAGACCGGATGAAGGTCTTTGCCGCGAGAGCCGAGGCTGCTTGCCGCTGGTATGAGTCGACGAGGTAATTGTTGCACGCGTTGTAGAGGAAGATGAAGCCGAACCCGACTGGGAACCCTCCGATCGCTGGACCAATCCAGTGAAGTCGGGGGTAGGACGTCCAGGCAAAGATGAATAGTCCGACGGGGATGAGCCAGCAGAAGATCATCATTGGGATTAGCCGGACTTCGGGGGGTGGCCGGCCAAAGTGCTTTTTTACGAGGTGCAGGTAGTGCTTGTTGATTATTGGGGAGCAAACCGCGGAGGCGACTACACCAATCGCAAGGGGTATAAACATGAGACCAGTGATGGACGCGGAGTAGCCTTTGCCTTCCTGGTAGACGACGGGATAGCTGTAAATGGTAATCAGCCTGTGAAACCTCGAATCAAGGGGGGGGGGGAGGACATACGCAACGAAGAACATGTACAGAAGACCGTAGAGGACAGACATGTAGATACTGAGGAAGAAGACAATCGGCTCGAGGAACAGGAGCTGGAACGGCCTAAGCAGGAAAAGGCGCAAACGTTCTCCAGTCGGACGGGGATCGATCATCTGCTCAGTCACGAACCTGTCGTCCCCAGTCTCCTTACGGAGCTTCTTCGCCCGTTGGTATAGCAGGGAAGCGGCGTACGTCTCTGGAACTGTGAACGTAAGGAGTAACCAGGCTACCGCAGCTAAGATGAGCTGGATCCAGTAGAGCCAGCGCCAGCCTCGGTGGTCGGAGAGGAAACCTCCTACCAGGGGGCCGATAGCTGGGCCGAGGAAAGGAGCGGCGGAGAACGCGGCCATGGGCACGCCGCGTTCCTCGTTCTTCCACAGATCGGCAAGCGTGCCGCCGACAAGTGTCATAGGGGCTGAGAAGGCGATGCCGTCGATGGCTCGGGTTACAAGCAGGGTCTGGATGTTCTTGGCCACGGCGCCGGGGATGGTGAATATCACTGCTAGAGCGAGGGTGAAGACGTAGACCGGGCGACGCCCGTACATCTCCGAGAGGGGAGCGAACACCAGCGGCCCAACACCAAATCCGATGACGAAGACAGTGATGCTCAACAGGGACACTTCGTAGCTGACTCCGAACTCGTCTGCGGGACCTTGCAGATCAGCGGTGATGACCGAACTGGCAAACGCAACTGCAAAGCAGGTAAAAGCAACGACCATCGTGCACCACCACTTGAACGCCTTGGACCAGTTCTTCGGGTTTTCAGGGTCGTCAGTCTTGAAAGTGACGAGCTCGACTGTCCTAAGCTGGCCGGAGACGTGACTGGGGATCGTGCGGAGGATCTCACCACCCGGGGTCTCCTTCGTGAACTCTGCTAAGGCCTGGAGAGCAGCGGAGGAAGCGACAGTCCGGATAGGCGCGCTGAGAACGTCGTCGGGCGAGACAGAGCGGGGAAGAGGCTCAGGCTTGGGGTGGTGCATCGATAGCCTTCGCTCGCCTACTCTGTGCTCGCCCAGCATCACCGTCTGGTGCCGGACGGGATGGGGATGGGCGAGTGTTGGCGCATCGGAGTGGAAGGAGAGCCTGCGGGCTGCTGATGCCGGGAGCGAGCAGGATGGAGTGAGAGTATGCGGATGGGAGGTAGAGGAAGACATTCTGCTGGGGAGATGTCTAGAGGGCAGTGGGAAGGCGAGGATTGAGAGGCCGGACACTGAAAAGACAGGCAAGGGGAGACCCGCTGCGAGAAACTAGTGTTTGGGGGAAATTTGAGAGTGGGAGCAGGGAGGTGGGATAGCGGGAGAGATGAGGGGACGAGGTGGGAAAAAGAAAAGAGATCCGAGTCGTTGTTCGTTTCCCTTCCTCCTGAGGGGTATATATGTCCTACGGCCGGTCACGAGCTGCACCTCCGCGGAAGAATTTGATAGCAGAGTAGAGCATGAGGACAGAGCACCGAAGACCCGGCGAGTTGACCTTGGTTCGGACTGTCGGAGAAGAGCCGGTCGGGAGGGCCATCACGCATTCCAGACCAGCAGGCGAAGGAGCTGAAACATGAAGAAAGAGGCCCGATCGAGTCAGATGAAGAGCACGGGAACTATACAAGGCCTATCATTGGTAGTTGGCTATCAAGTGGTCGTAAGAAAGAAGAAATTACGGGAGGAGGATGAGTGATGACGGTGTTGAGGCTGGGAGGAGCAAGCACAGAGTTGAGGCGCCAATTTGCCAGCCGGGTATCGCCTAGGGTCCAACGGGCGCTTCTCTCCCGGTTAATTTGGAAATAAAAGTACTAGTACTTAGTTCCGCCAGTCAGCAAACTTCCGCTTGCACCCGAGTGGCTGGGCACTTAATATGAATATGCCATAAAAGGAATCAGAAAAGGAAAAAGACTCGGTGACCGTCCCTAAGAAGCAGGCGCTCGTCAGCGTAATTATCCTGCCAAGCACCTAACAAAGACCCTTTGACTGTGCATTGTCTACTCATCCTTATCATCGAAGGCGTCGAAGCCAAGGAGCAGCCGATTCTGGAAGTTACTACCTCATACTCGTTCTGCCTTTTCCTGCAGGTATCGTGACAGAGAGACGCCCCTCGCTCCACTGCAAAGTTATTCCCCGTTCCCGTCGTAGCACCAGCTCTGGAGTCTCCTCATCCTCAAACGAACTCCTCGGATAAACGGCTCGGGGCGACTCGGGACCCTGCCAGGGGATCGGTCTGGGCCCAACTAGAACACCGCCACCGAACACACTAGTGAGCGAGCTTACGTAGTCAGGGTCTGGCCGGAGACGAATTTCCTGACGATCGGAGCGAGATCGGCGTACGGATCCTCCCGACCTAACTTTGGAGTGCTGTTTTCCATACGTGGACTAACGTTCGGTGTTCCCGATCTCGATTGAGAGACATTATTATTCTACCGAGGCTTATCATCATATAGCAACGGCATTCCATCCATTCACACCTCATTGTGCACAATATCCTCGAATCGGTATCATGTCGGCCGAGCAAGAAGCAAGTCAGATCCTCCTAGTACACCACCGTCCATATCTCCCCGGTATCCTCCTATCCCGTCTCGCACTCACATCTCCCTCCACCTCCACGAGCACCAACCCATCCACTTCCCAACCTCTACAGCCAGATGCAGAAAATAGCGTCCCATGGCTACTCAGTAACAAATACTTCACAGCGCCAGTGTACTTCCAGCTCCAACCCCTCGCTCTCCCTCCTGCGGCCCCGCTCTTCCCCCCAGAAGTAGACGACACCCGTGCCAGAGCTGTCATCTGGCTTTTCTCCAAGTCCGAGGTGCGTCTCCCCTTGTTCACGAGATGGCTGATGATTCATATAATTGGGTTATGGGTAGCATGATCCCGCGTTGTTCGACAAGCTCCTACCGGCGTTCGACGCCCACGGAGCAGAAGTAAGGCTCGCGATTGGCCTTACCCCCTCCAGCGGTGAACCAGGTTCAGCAGCTGCGCCGGTCACTGGGCAAGGGATTGACCCCGGACGGGGAGGCGTGCGAGGGAAGGAGGCAGACGAGCTGGAACAGTATTTTCTGGAAAGGGAGTTCGAGTTCGTTGATGCGGATGCCGAGGCGGAGCTTCCTGAGGACGGACTGCACTATGGTACGCTATGTCGGGTATATATGTGGGAAAGCGTTGATTGCCTGATCTTCGATGCATAGATGTTGTCGGGTTGCCGAGGGTGCTCGAGAGCCTGGGCACCGTCATGTGGCCATCGATGGTCGCTAACCCGAATGCGAATGCCAGAAAGTTGGATCTATCGCTGTTTTCCGAAGAGCTGGAGGAGGAGGAAGAGGAAGACCCGGAACTGGAGGCAAAGGTCGAGCAGACGCTGAAGACGCTAAAGGAGATGACAGTGGGTACGGATACGTTCGAAGGTAGGCTGGCGCTGGCGGAGTTCCAGCAGGAGGCGAGAAACGAAAGGGAGGCGCTGGAGGCATGGTTGGATGCGGATGACGAACCCGGGGAGGTGATCACTTCCTCTTCTGAGAAAAAGGAAGAGGAGCGACCGCTTGCTGGGGAGGAGTTCGGCGAGCTCGTCAGTGCTTCTAGTGAGGGGGACGAGTGGGTCAAGCTGGAAGAAGCAGAAGCCGACGAGGAACCGGGCTGGGCAGCATTGGAGGAGGGAGATGACGGCCTACCTACAGAATCGGAGATCGTCCGTGCTCAGCTGGAGATCTTTGGTCCTCCCCCTCCCTCTGTTCCTCCTTCCTCTGGCACAACGGCTCCCCTTGGCTCGGAAGGAGAGGCGTTCGACCTCACCTCTGCTCTGGGGGCGCTGCAGAGTATGCGAGAGGAGATTAGGGGAATGAAGGATGATAGGGAGAGGCATCGGGCTGCAGCGAAGGTCGCACTTGGGCTGGTGAGGGGGTTGGGCTTGGACGAAGGAGAGGTCGAGGATATCATGAGGCATGGATGACGGTGCCACGGGGTGTTGGACGTGCGCGAGGGTATTAAGACAAGGAATGTAACGTCATGCATCTTATTTCATAGTCAGACTATCGATGTACCTATTGTATACGAAGAAACGATTACACTGTGATCCTCCTCACGCCTTGGCCGGAGCCTCGCCCGTCTCCCCCCTCGCCGCCTTCCCAGCAGGCGTCTCATCCCTAACGCCCGACTCTGAAAAATTCAAGATCCCGCCTTCTTGCAACTGCTGGACGATCTTCTCCGCAGGCTCAACCTCCATCCCCTCAAGCACCTTGTTGACGTTCTCCAAGCTCCCGCTCTGCAGCGCCTTCCGGAGTTTCTTAGGGAACCCCTGCCAGATATCCCACCGCTTTTGCAGCCACATCCGGACTTCTTCCACATCCGGCCTCTCTCCCTCTTCGAGCCCTTCATAGTTCACTTCCAGCGCTTGACCAGGAGGCGGCGGCGGCCCGTCAGGGATGTTAAACGAGATTGAGTTGACGCCGGACTCGACTTGCAGCTGAATCGTCTCCTTCCCCTGGGAGGCAGAAGCGCGGTTTGCAGCTACGCGTTGCTTCATCAGCCCATACGTGTCGTTGACGTCTTTCATAAACACTGCTTGGGCATTCTGGTGCCCGCTTGCCATCCTGTATCCATGTAAGCGTCGTTGGCCGCAATAGGAAACTGGGAGACGTACCGGCGGAAAAACACTGCAATCCCGTCCTTGCCCAGCTTCTCACAGTACTGAAGGAGCAACGCCTGATGGACACAGGACTTTGCATACTTGGTGTCGTTCCTCATCTCCGCTAGGTATGCAGCGCCGAACAGTGCATCCAGGGCTCCAGCGGCGAGGACACTGTTGTTCTCCTGCAAGAAATGGTAGGATTCGTCATATTTTCCCACTCCAATACGTGAGAACTTGAGCAACGCGGGGCTCAGAGCGGGCAGCTCGTCGTCGTCGTCATCGTCTTCATCATCGTCCTCGCCGGGCTCATCGGCTTCGTACCCGCTCTTCTCCTCCTGGTTGGGGACGGGCGTCGGGGCGTCTTTAGGAGTAGCAATAGGGGCCATAGGCTTGGGACTGTTGAGCGTCTCGAACGACGTTTCGGTCGTTTTGTGCGTCTTCTTATGCTTAGGCGCGGCTTGAGACGGCGCTATCTCGACGTCTTCAACCTTGTGGGGCAGATACTGCGCACACCGAGTCAGCGTCCGTTCCATCCGAACATCCTAGACGTACATGACTGTCAAACCCTTCATGAATGTCGTCGCTCGTGATTTTAGCATGCGCTTCCTCGTTCAGCGCCTGCAGCTCCTCCTCGCACTCCTTCACTCTCTTCCCCAGCTCCGCCTCATGCACATTAAGCTCTTTCACAAGCGCCGTCTCCAGGCTCTGTTCGTCCTTCACATCAGTGCCTTTCTCCCGCACGTCCTCCCACACTTTGTACAGCAGCGACTCCATCATCTGATCATAAGACGGTGCCTTCGGTGCACCGGGATAAGGTGCAGGACCGTCAGGTGACGGCTGCTTCTTGAGCCGTTCGGTGAGGGAGGAGAACTCCTTCGGCCCGTTGGTAGATACTGCGCTGATGAGGGCTGAGATACGCGGGAGGATGATGTTGGACGTCTTGATCTCCTCGCCCAGTTGGGCGATCTTGTGCTTGCGCGCTTCGCGCTTCTCGTGGATGTCGCGTTGTTTCCATCTGCTCGGGAGATGAATACAACATAAGCATGCAGGAGAAGTGTTGCATACCGAATAAGAGACTTCTTGTCGACGTTAGGATGTCCCTCGATGTCAGAGTCGTCCGACAACTGCATGTCCCCATAAGCGCCCAGATGCGCTCATTGGACGACTTGCTTACCTCCAGTTTGTCCCACTTGGAGTAGTTCAGAGGCATTTTGTACTCTGTTGCTGTTTGAAGGAACGAAGGGTATCTGGTGATGTTGGTCTTGTGGTTCGGAGTTACGAAGTCGAAGGTGCTAGCAAGTACCCTTTATGACAGTGTGCGCATGGACACACGGTAAACCCGTTTCATCGGGCAAATGTTCCTGTAACAAGAAAAGAGCATGAACCAAGTCAATATCGTGCGGAGAGTACTAATGATGGATATCGAGTACAATAAACAGCATTAAAATGCACTAATTCGACCTCATAGCAGCACGGCGACTCTTCCCAGGTCTCTGACTTCCGCCCCTACCACGTCCACCTCTGCCACCCCCTCTGCCACCTCTGCCACCTCTCATACCCCCCCTGCCTCTCCCACGTCCCGCACCAAAATCGTCCGTGCTCTCCCGGGTATTCTGCTTGCTCCTCCTCCCCCCTCCAGCCCCAAGGCGGAACTTATTATCCCTCTGCTCCCTGCTAATCCCCGGTTTACCCCTCCCCCTCCCCCGCTTCGCCGGGTGATCAGCAAGCGCGTCCTCCAGGGCGATATCAAACTCCTCATCAGCCATCCCCCCATCTCCATCAAGCGCCCCCTTCCGCTTCCTTTTCAAACTCTTCAACCGCTCCCCAACGTCTTTCTTTTCCCTCTCGCGCTCTTTGAGCTTCTCGACCTGCACCTGTTTCCCAAACTTCTTCAGATCTCGCTGTCGTTTTTTCTCTTCGGACTTTTTGATCCCCGCGCGCTCGTCGACCAGCTTGGACCGGACACGCTCCATGTGCGCATCACTTTTCACCATCTCGGCATAGTAGTCGTTAGGCCGTGTAAAGGGTAAACTGAACTTGACCGCGAGGTCACGCGAGTGCTCCACGCCCCATAGTGCTTGTTTATAGCTAGTTATATTAGCATACGCAGGAGGACCAACCCAGGGGAAAGCTCACAATTGCAGCTCCCGATCTAGGTCATCGTCCGGGTCCTTGACCTCATCCTCCATCTTATGCGGGTAGGTAACAGCAAGCGTCTCAGTCCAGTCCATGTCCTTGAGCTCGATAGTTTCTCTTAGCCGGCGCATCGCTGGCTACAACGGGCAACGAGATGAGAATGACATTATTTGATGAGTTTGAAGAAATGATGACGCACCTGGTTGTCGATCGTGACCTTTTGCTTGGGGACCGCGTCCTCGTCCACTTCGCCGTCGACGTCGTCTAGCGCGATCTCCTCTTCTTCTTCCTCTTCATCATCATCATCGTCGTCGTCATCTTCTTCCATGTCATTCGCATCCTCATCCACTTCGCCATCATCCTGGTCTTGCTCGACATCCACCAACTCGGGCGCCTCGTCATCCTCATCCTCCTCCTCCCCGTCAAGCTCGTCTTCGTCCTCCTCCCCATCAGCAAGAGCCCCAAGCTCCCTCTTAGCGATCTCATCCAGCCCATCATCCCCCAGAGCCTTAACAAGTCTCTCCATCCCCTTTAGGTCATCTTCGTCTTCCATCTCCTCCTCCTCCTCCTCCTCCTCCTCCTCCTCGTCGTTGTCCTGGTCGTGCTCTTCCTCAGCGGGTGCATTATCAACCGCTCCTTCCTCTGTCTCTTCTAAGGCAGTAGGAACAAACTCCTCATCCTCGTAGTCCTCGTCTGGTTCGACAGGAGAACTAGCCAATAAAAAAGTCGAACCCTTCACGATCTTCCCCTTCCCCCCCCTTGCTCGCAGTCCATCTTTTCCCGCCTTCCCCTTGCCCTCTTTCCCAGCCTTCGCAACCTTAGCTGGTTTTTGATTTTGCTTTCGGTCTTCTTGCGGACGAGGCATGGTTCGCCAACTGCTTTCTTTTTGCCACAGAGCGTGCGGTGAGCCTCAGGAAAAGTCGGTTCAGGGCAATTTCATTTTCTCTCTGCACGTGATTTTTGCTCCCGCCAGGGAGGCATCGCCACTGACGAGCAGACCCTGGAGAAGTCAAAGTCAGCAGAAGTCTGCCGTGCTTGCTTCAACATTGTACATCTCCCCCTCATAAAATATCCACCATGCCTCGCGCAGAAGTCGGCACTCCGTAAGCCCCCTCCCTTCGCGCCTAACCCCCCACTCACCCCTCACAGGAAATACCTCGCCAACAAGATGAAGTCCAAAGGGCTGCAACGACTCCGTTGGTACTGCCAAGTCTGTAGCAAACAATGTCGAGACGAGAACGCGTTCAAGATGCACGCCTCTAGCGAGGGACACATGCGGCAGATGCTCGTGATCGGACAGAACGCCAATAGGCATATCGCCGATTACTCCAGTCAGATGCAGCACGATTTTGTCCAATTGCTCTCGAGGAGACACGGGACGAACCGGGTCAAGGCGAATAATGTTTATCAGGAGTATATCCAGGATAAGGAGCATGTGCATATGAACGCTACACGCTGGGTGACGTTGTCGGAGTTTGTGAAGCATCTGGGGAGAGCAGGGATTGCTAGAGTGGAGGAGACGGATAAGGGCTGGTTCATTGCTTGGGTGGATAATAGCCCTAAGGCACTGGCGAAGGCGGAAGCGAATATGAAGAAGGAAAGGGAGGAGATGGATTCTGAGCAGAGGGAGAGGAAGTTTTTGCAGTTGCAGATCGAGAGGGCCAAGGAGGAGAGTGGGGAAGGGAGTGGGAGCGGAGAGGGGAAGGAGCTGAAGAGAGCGGAAGGGGAAACGGTGAGGCTTTCACTTGGTGTTAAGCCTCCAGAAGGGGAAACGCCTGCAGCGCCTGCCCCTGCAGCGACAGCGACAGCGCCGGTCGCGCCAGTCAAGTTCAACGTGTTTAAGAAACCGCTGCTGGGTGGGAATGCGCTCAAGGGAACGTTGAAGAGTGCGCCTGTGACTGTGCCTGTGCAGGGGGAGAAACGGAAGATGGAGGAGATGAGTGTTGCTGAGAGGTTGATGTTGGAGGATATGGATCGGAAGAAACGGAGGGTTTGATGGGTGTGGATGTGGACGTTGTGGGTTTGATGTGGGTGTGGGTTGTGTAGATCAGTGTATAGTGCTTGTTACAGACAGGATGTACAATGTATGACTTGATGTAGAGATGAAAGGGGATTGGTCGTCCTTGTAGCTAAAAGGGGATGGACGTAATTGTAAGTGAATGTCATCAATGTCATCTGATGGTTGATGAAGGGAGCTGATTGGAATGATGTGATGATGATCAGCGATGGATAGGGGGATGAGTGAGTGAAATGAGTAAAGGGGTTGAATTGAGTAAAGTGAATCACATGGGTCATAGTGGGACATGGGTATTAGTCGACACTCAGGGTGGCTAACTCTTATTCACACCTCTACACTCTACCACCATGGGATCTGCTGCATCATCTCCCAGGCGCACAACTTCACCTCCTCCTTTCACATCCGCAGACTTACACAACACCGTACTCCCACAACAATCACCAACAACACAGAGACATCATGCTCACACTCTTCATTCACCTCCTCAACCAGCTCAACCTAGGCCTATCCCACCTACGACTGCTCACCCTTCCGGTCTAGGACCAGACGGTCTCCCAATCACAGACATGCGTACTCTAGCAGGTTCAGACTCCCCTTCTCCAGGTTATCGTACAGACCCAAGGAGGAAAAAGAGTCTTGAATTACCCGACCTCGCTTCACTCGCCCTTACCCCAGTTAGCGTACCCCCGCCTTCTGCTCCAAGGCCGAAAGAGAAGTACTCTGAACTCACGTACGGGTACCCCCCGGGAGCGAGTAACGTCACTACTCCTCCATCGGGGAGGAAACGGAAAGACCAGCCACACACGCATGAGAAACGCCGTGCAAGTGCACCGGCTACAACCCCACCCGTCGTAAAGGAGGAAGATGTCCCCCGTCCGCCGAGCCCGGGAATGGGACTCATCTTCTCCCATTTACCGACGGGGTTGCCAGAGCCGGAGGAGGAGGAAGAGCTGGGAGGGAAGGGGAGGGAGGTGACGTTCCGCTGGGAAGGAGCGGGGAGGGAGGTGCTCCTCGCTGGGAGCTTTTTGGCAGATTGGCAGGGTAGGGAGAGGCTTATTTGGGAGTACGCACACCCCTATCCTACCCCATACTCCATACTAAGCCCTACTCAGCGCATCCCAGAACGCGCACACATACACCCTCCCCCTCCGTTCAGGACTGCACAGGTTCAAGTACATAATCGACGGCGACTGGCGCTGTTCCACCTCATACGAGACCGCTACTGACCCAGCGGGGAACCTTATCAACACCCTCTCCGTACCCTTTCTCCCTCCGCCCTCGCCGGCCCCGTCCGTTCCAGGGACGAAAGCGAAAGTGGGACTCGTTAGCCCTGCACCGCTGGTTATCCAGACACTCCCTAGCCCAGACTCCCGCACTCCCGCGAACGTGAACGTGAACGCGAATACGAGCCGCCAGCCCACCCCCACTCACCCACTACGTCAGTCCGTCTCGGCCGAAGACGCCCTCGGCGGGAGGTGGGACTCCAACCCCCGGTGCGACATCGTCACGGACGCCTATTCCCCACTCTGGACCACAGTCCCCCCTCCTATCCTCCAGTCCCTCTTTTCCTCCTCTTCGGGCCGCGCACCGGCCCTCCCCCCTCCTCCCGCTCTGCCCAGACATCTAGAACGGGTGATACTGAACGCTGCAGATCGACCTGGAGGCCAAGCGGACGGGGAAGATAACTCGATCCTCCCTTTGCCGAATCATGTAGTTTTGAACCATCTGACCGCGAGCGCTATTAGAGGGGGGGTGATGGCTGTGGGGATTACGGGACGGTATGGGAGTAAGGTGAGTCTTTTGATTTGGGGGTTTTGGGGCGAGGGAACTGATGGTTTGGGGGTAGTTGGTGACGACTATTTATTATCGGCCGGTGGAACTGTAGGCCACGTGGGGGAGGAGGGGAGGGGAGGGGTGAGAGGGAGAGGAGGGAGGCGGGAGAGGGAGGGGAGGGAAGAGGGGGAGGCTGAGTGGAGTAGTGTGAGGCGGGGGGGGGAACAGGGGAGGGAAAGTACGAGGGAAGGACGCGGAAGGGAAGGCAAGACGGTAGTAGGGGGAGGCAGTGGCGGCGAGAGATGCTGACGAGAGGAAAAAAGAGAAAGCCTCTGCGTCTCTGCGTCTTTGCGTCGATGTGTTGCGTTCATCTTAACCCTGGATACCCTGGATACCCTGGATCTTGCCGGATCTTGCCTGCGTCTGGCTTGGATCGAGTGTGCGGCGGACAACGATGCTGCTGGTGCTGGTGCTGGTGCTGGTGCTGGTCCTGGCGTGGGCTCGGATGGCGGCGAGTGGGCTGGCGGGCTGGCGAGTTAGCGGGCTAGCGGGCTGGGTCGACTTTCGCAAGGGATGTGCGAGCGGCTGGGGCGTTTGGTACTCGAGCGCTCGAGCACTGGGTCACTCAAGCTCAGGCACTCAAGCACTCGGGCACTCGGGCACTCTGGCACTCAAGCACGAGCACTCAAGCACTCGGGCACTCAGACACTCAGACACTCAGGCACGACCGAGCATGTTAGGTCTCAGGCACTCCGGCACGAAGGAGCACTTTAGGTATCAGCTCTGAGAGGACCTGCACCTGTCAGAGCCGTGCATTTCACAGGAACACGCAATCAGGGCAGCGCTCCAAGTCCCAAGTCCCAAGTCTCCAATCCCAAATGAGAGGGATAGGCACGCCTGAGCAACGGATTCGCCTACGTAGACGTACGCTGAAACCGTACCTGGGTGGACGCGCGATTTTGCCTTGCTTAGAGGGAAGCACGCAGAATGGAGCATGAAGTTCTCGGCATGCGTCTGATGCTGTCCTGTCCTGTCCTGTCCTGTCTTACTCACTCAACGACACCGGAAAGCACCAACACTACGCCGCGCCACGCCAATCGACCCAGGAGCGTAACATCCCCCTCGAACTCGGGGAGTCAAGTCTCGAACTCCAAGAGCAACAGCAAACGCAAGGTCGAACATCCCAGACAAACACGACCTGCTTTCAAGTAAACGTTGGTCGACTATTCCCTTCTCACGGCTTTCCGGTCCGGTTCCCGGTTCCCTGTCTCCCTCCTGCTCCTGTTCACCTTTCCGGTCTCGAGAACGAACGAACAATCTTTTTCCTCTTTACCTCTTCCTGCTTCCTTTCCCCCTCTCTCTTGCTCTTGCTCTTCCTCTCTTCTCTCGCAATAGATGTTTAACGGTTGGAAATCGTCTGGGCTCGTCTTGATCCACCCTCCTATTCCTAACTTCCTCCTCTTCCTCCACTATCCATTATCCTCTAACACCTGATCCTCTCCTCTCCTGCTCCTGCTACATCTTCCCCTCCACCATTTGATACTTAGGCGCTTCCGACTCCTTCTCCCTCTCCCTCTCCCTTGTCTTGTCGAAATTCTGAAACTGGCTGTATCTGTTAGCTTGAATAGATGGGAAATCTCGATTTTTTATCCTTTTTTTCTTGTTGGGGGACGGGTGGGGGCGTTGTTCATGGATGAGAGAAAAGCGTACTATGGATTATTACCCACTATCCAAACGTATGACACGATAGTGACAAAACTACCAAACCCGCCGAGGTCAACTACCACCCCACCGCGCGGCGGTCAATCATCGATCCTCTTCTTACCCAGGACCTTCCTCTTAGCTCCCTCAGCAGCAGACCCCTTCCCCGCCCGCTGAAGCTTCGTCTGCAACCGCTGGACAGACCCGCCTTTCTTACTCTTCTTGTCTACTTTCTCTACTGGCTTAGGGTTAGAGAGCGCAGCGGGGAGGACGGGCTCTGACTCTGTCTCCTGGTCGGGTTTCTTGCTCTTCTTTATCTTCTCGGGTTTGGACTCGGCTGCAGCGGGCATGGCAGGTTCGGATTTCTTGCTCTTCTTACTCTTCTCAGGTTTTGGAACTTCGGCCACATGCGCACTGGCCTGGGGTTTCTTTGCAGATTTTGGTTTCCCGCTGGAGACGAGCGAGAGGGGCTCGAGGTCGGCTTCTTCTTGCACTGTTTTGCGCGGCTTTTTCGTGTCGGTCTTTTTTGGTTTGGGCGGGGCCGGGGGCTCTGTTTCTGCTTCCTCAGCTTCGGCCGCATCATCATCATCATCCTCATCGTTCCCAAAACCAGTGAACTCCTCATCATCCTCCTCTTCATCCTCAACAACCTCCGCCTTCTTAGCCGCCTTCTTGGGTTTCTTTGTCCCACCCTCTTCCGCCGCCGTCTCCTCGGCCTTCCGTTTCTTTCCCTTCTCCTTCTTCTCCTTCTCCAACGCTTTCTTCTCTAGGACTTCCTGCCTCGCCGCATCCAAGCTCGGAACGCTAAACCTCTCCTCTACGCTGCAGCTCCAAACAGGGAGAGCCGTGCTCCGTCCAGTCTTGAGACTCAGGCTCAGGACGTTCTCCCACTCCCCTTCGATGTGCTTCACGATCGCTGGCAATGCACTCGTGAGGTTGGCAACGATCTGCTCCGGGGTGTGCGAGACGGTGCCGAGCTTGATCGATACGCATGTTCCGGCGTTCTGGTGCATGTAGGTGGAGGAGACGGCACGTGCGAGCTCTTTTTTCAGGTCTTTGGCAGTCAGGTCAACCGGTACAGGTTGTCTAATTACGGGTTAGAAGGGGTTGGAGGAGGGGGGAGGGGAGAGAAGACGCACTTTTTAGCATCGAAGAACATCTTGCCCAAGAGCGCAGGGAGGAGGGGTACGATCCGCTGATCGGCCAAGAACAAGCCGTGCTCCTTGAGCAGCTGTCTCCGGGCTTCGAACGGCTTGTGTTTCCCTTTCAGCTTCGCTACCCCCACGACGCGAGAGATGAAGTTGATCTTGTGCTCCGCGATCAGGTCTTTGTACTCTCGTTGTGGGTCTTTCGTCAGTAGGCATATGGATGTCTCGCGCGGGTCGATGACGGGATGGATTAATGGTCTGCGTATATACTCTTAGATAGGATAGTCTGACAGTTCCAGAAAAGCACGCACATCTTAATCGGCTTCACTTTGTGTGTTCTGGGTATCCGCTTGGTCGCAACAACCAGCCAGACCACATCCTGCTTCTGGGGTAAAAGCTCGTCCTCTTCCTTCTCCTGCTGCTTGTGCACATACGCTGCCAGGGCCTTGGCAGCTAACAAAGCCTGATCTTGAGATACATGGTCGTCGATGAGAGTTTCTGCCACCATGGCTTTGGGTGTATATGAGGAGAGTTGATTTGGTGACTTTTTCGCGAGGGTCCTTTGCACGGATTTTTGGCCAGGCCGAGCGGAAACAAATGATAATTTTCTCCGGGCGCTCCGCCGGCGCTTCTTGCAACACTTACCACTGCAACCGTCAATGGTCAGTATGTTGCAGCAATCATGACGTCCAGGACCTGATAACTTCTTGGAATGCCGTGACTTCTTCGACAAAGTGTCGATCTTACAATCAGACGTTGCTGGCGATTACAACCTTCTTCGCGGATCACCACAAGTGTCTCCAGTGTTCTAGGACTGCGACCAACTGTGAACAAATCTCTGATGCTCTTCAAGAACATACCTTGGATTCTCTAGACAACTCTCATCTTGCTTCAGCATTGGATTTTGTCTTTGCCGAGGGCTGTTCCTTCAGGCAGCAACAGCCAGCGCGATGTTTGCTCTCCAGCACAATGCTCCTCCACTTTTTCACGCTTCCGCTAAGGTGCTTTATCTCATTCTAAGCTCCAGCGGCATGATGTGCTGGATATATTATCGACATGCTGTTCCCCAGTGCATTCCACAATATTCTCTCGGTATGGTAACTCCGCTCTGAACAACCTCATAGACCGCGCTTCTCCTCTGATTCAGATCAACTGCACTTCCCGTGTCGTTATCCAAGATCCTAGAGCGTCAGAACACACAATTCCGCGGTCTCCTTCTCGGCGTAAGAGGTTCTTATGGCAATTTTGCGCACGTGATGGTTATTCTTGAGAACTTCTGAGCACCTGGTACGCCTCTAGCATCCGGTTGAACACCGATCCTTCCCGCCGCCCTCTCATAACACTCTACGTTCTAATAGGACAGCAGCCCACTGGATAAACCATGCCCACTATCTACTTGAATGGCTCAAGATATCTGATTTGGAGACTGGACGTCAAATGCGCCTCACAACGCGCCCGAGTCCAACACGCAGTGACGCAGAAGCCGACCTGTCTATCTCCTCGCTGATAGACCCCCAGCCATCCTATCAGCTCTTCTCGTGGTTCATTGTTATCAACGTCTCTCAACAGGATATACGTCTTACCCCTTGGAGCTACTATCCTATTAAACCGGCAGCCTCTCCTAGGCAAGCTGTGTCGCTACCACCTGGCCGCCTCTGTCCAACAAAGGGGCACCGCCGAAGTTGTTTTGTTGCCCAACATGTCCACGTCTTCGGTCTCTGGTGCAAACTACACGCTCCCTCCTGGCTATACTGGCACCCTGGACGATTATGTACAGTCTATCTGTGAGTTGCATGACTCTTATCTTTTGCTGACTAAGAACGATTTCTAGTCAATGCCGGCTATTTCGATATGGTCGCGACGGCAATAGTAATATTTGACACGGTCATTATCCTGGGTGACGAGATTCACCTCGTCTGGCAAGGCCGCTGGGGTCTTCCAACTATCGTTTATTTCCTCAATCACTACGGAATTCTTTTCCAAGCTCTCCTAAATCAAGTCGCAGTCAATGATGTCTACTTGTCTCCTGAACATTGTCTACAATGGAATCTCGCCAGTAATTGGTTCATTCCCATTATTATGATGTTTGCAGAAGGTTGGCCGCTTCCTCGAACGTTTGCGATCCCACTCACTGATCGATGCCCCAGCCATGCTTGTCTTCCGAATTACAGCTTTGCATGAGAATAACGTCAAAGTGTCGATCGCAATACGGACACTGTATTTCGCATGCTCGGGCATCATGTCCCTTCTTACGGGATTGCTGCTTGACGGCGTTGGACGTAAGTACGCAGGGTTCATTTCTCGTCTTGTCTAAAACGGCGTGTCGCAGCATTCGCGAGTGCAGACGGCAGTGTTCTTGCTTGCGATATCAGACGTGCGTCGTTGTTCTTCCAATTTAATGCCAGAGCTCATAAAATCTGCAGAACTCGGCGAGAAGTGAGCACTATTCTGTTGATCAGTGCAGAATATCTAACGGAAGTCTAGCATGTTCTATACAATTTGGATCCCTAGTCTGGTCTTGGAAACAGTCCTCGTGTTGATGACACTAGCCAAGAGCCTGGCACATCGCCGCAATGGATTGAGAACCCCCCTCCTGGCCGTTCTAGTGCGAGAGTGAGTCTCTTCGGTCTCAGGTCCAAGCCCTATTACTGATTGGACTCAATCTACAGCGGATTTATGTATTTCTTCAGTTGGTCAACCATGACCTTTGAATTGAATATATTATCTGACGAGAGCTCACAGTTGTGTTTGGTGTCATGCTCACTAATCTTGTGATCTGCATGACCGTTGAGGTGAGCACAAGCGTCTAGAAGTTCATTGCGAACTCTCAACTTGACCTAGGATGTCTATTATGCCCTTGTTTCACAGTATGAATATTCACAAAACGTTATTTGGATGTACACTGATATTTTCTGAATCAGCCGACTCACCCTCTGTGTTTCGTCCATCCTGTCTTCAAGGTGTGGACGGACCTCCTTTCCCAAGCTTCAGAGCTCACACGAGTGTCATCAGATTGTTCCTCCACCTACGTAAGACGGCATATCAGTCGCCCGAAGGATACAGCACCCAAAATACAGACAAACCGCCATCGCTGGTCGAGAGTGCAATAAGTGAGCCGCTGTCAAATTGGCTCGACTTCCATGAGCGAAATGGGGAAGAAGGTGATCGGGAAGGCCTGGAGCGTTCAGAGAGCAACCTAAACGGGAAAACCGAGTAATATCTAAACGTAGATAGAAGGTTTGCTCGACCTAGTTCACTTATACGTAGCAACTAGTTGGAAGGGTGGCAGAAGAGAATCGACTCGCAATTACGGCATTAGGTTTACGCACCGGTTATGTAATTCCACCGGTATCCTTGCACCGAATGCACGGCCCCAGTTGTCCCTGTCCTGTTCCTCCTGCTATTCCTCATGGCGGCCATCAAGCGCTTCACGCTGAAGGTCAGACTTCTCAAACCATATCCATCTCCAAACTAAGGGCACTGTAGGTATGGCAGTCCTTCCTTGCCAACGCTGGTACGCAGTGTCAAGGAGTGAGGGAACCGATGCTGACCTGCTCAGGGCATGACGCGAACGTCTTCGGCAAAGTACGTTCTCTCACTGGCGTCCTTTCCATCCGCAGTCACTCAACGCCTGCAGCTGGAATTCCAGAAAGTCCGGCCGGGCGAGGTGGTAGTAGCGTTGCCCCTGGAACGCAAGCATCGTACGCCTCTCAAGCCCATATCCGCTCAACCTCTCACCTAACACTCAGTAAATCGGAACATGGTATCTCCGGCCTCGCGCACTCTCCCCCCTCTCTGATCGTATATCTGGTAGACGCTACACGGGGGCGTGATCGTCTCCCTGACCGATACGCTAGGATCGATGGCGCTGACCACACGCGGGCTGTGGCAGACGGGCGTGAGCGTCGATATCCACACTTCCTTTCTCCGCCCTGCGGGCGTGGAGGGCGACGTGATCCACGCGATGGCTAGGGTGGAATCCTTTGGTGCGGAACTGGCCCTTGTTGCTGCTAGTTGAGCTGATGATCGGATAGGGAAGACGCTAGCGAGCACACGTGTGGAGTTTTATAATTCCCAGGGCAAGCTTACTGCTTTCGGGAGTACGTACTTCCACCTGCGCAGGGCAAATCACTCACTCACACTGGTAGGTCATACAAAGTTCATCGGAGCGTCATTGGCGAGTCACAAGAACGTCAAGTTCTCAGAAGACGGGGAGACGGTAATCGAAGGGAATGATGACGGGTACACGCCTCCCGAGGGAAAGGGGGAAGGCCCGGAGAAGTCCCCTTGAACGGAGAAAGATGGGAAGAACAACTCTATCCGCTTGTCATCCCGCACATGCGAGGCAGCGCACTCCGCCCTCGCACTGGTAATAATAGATGCGTGTCTCTTGCAGGATCTGCTATTGTCAGAACTTGGCGCATCACCTAACAACGAGTGCCGCGCCCATCTACCCGAAGACGTTTATCAACAGTGGCTAGACTGATGACCGCTGTGCGTATCCTCGCCCTTCTCTTCTGGTGCTCTTTGCACGACCCTCACGGCCCACTACGGGAGGGCGGTGTCCCTAGCCTTGCCTTGCTGGGTATAATAGACAACCTAGCGATGAGGGAGGAGGGACTACTTTGCCTAAACCGGGAGGGCTGATGATGCCCTGTGCGGTCTAGGCACTGGATACCTCAGCCAACGCAGAACGCGGAGGTTCTTGTAGGGATATGCTGATGATGAAGTGAAGGATATGCGTATAAAACGGGCTTTGAACGGTGGAGTGGGAGAACAACAAAGGCGAGAACTGCAACAGCCGAGTATCACCCAGTCCCATCGCACATCGCACATCCAAATCGCAAATCACATATCACATATCGCACATCGTACAACGTATCATGCGCCTCTTTCTCCTGCTCGCAGGCACCGTCCTAGCAGACCAAACCCTCCTGCCCCATCTTCAAGCCGCCCTTTCCGCCCCACTGGACAGTATCAAGTCCGCCATCTCTGACGCCTGGTGCGGCGGCCAGCCGTGCCCCGGGTACATCGCCCTTCCAGGAAAGCCGGCTGCTGCTGAGAAGGGACAATCTCCTGAGCCGGCTAGACCTGTAGAGGCGGCGTGGTGCGGCGGCCAGCCTTGTCCGGGGTATCTGGCCGTCCCCCCGTCAAGCAAGTTCGTTCAACCGGGTGAACCTGACAAGCAGCTGCAGGAAGACAGCGTCCCCCCGAAGCCTGAGACCCGAGAGGAGGAACATACCCTAGGCCTGTTCTTTACCCAAGGTGGCTTTTCCTGCCCTGGCGGATGCTCGCCCTACACGACTCTCCCAGGTGCAGAACCAGGGAGCACGCAAGCTCCAGGTCCTGTCTCGTGTCGGAAAGACGAGAACGAGAAAGAGTCGCCTGTCGATGAAGCTACGCCCAACCCTAGACCTGGCGAGGAAGCGTGGTGTAACGGCCAGCCTTGTCATGGGTACTTGGGTGTCCCGTCTGCGCCGGGGCCGGGGGTGACGCCCGAGCCGGCAAAGCCTGGGGAGGAAGCGTGGTGCAATGGCTATGACCGGCCGTGCTCCGCTTCCGTTTCAGTCCCGACATCTTCTGCGCCAGCAGGCGCGGAGCATCCAGAGGTCACACCGCACTCGCAGTCGCACGAGCAGACCAGTGCCGGGGAGGAACCGTATCCCTCGCAACAAGGACCTCACTCACACTCTCATCAACCGCACTCGCACTCACATCATTCTCATCCACAAAGTGACAGCTCCAAACCCCCACCAACGCGGTTCAGTTCCCTCCCCCCAGGCTCGTGCGCAGGCGGGAAATGCCCGCCTATCACTTCCCTCCCTCCTGGAGGTGGGGGGGTAAGTTCCGAGCCGGAGCCGACTGGGTATGGGGTTGAGAGAGGGAGGCATGGGGAGCTTTAGTGGAATGGGAGGGGAGGGAGAGACTTCAGGGCTTGAGGGCTCCAGGACTTTATGCTCAGTTGAGGGTTGAAGCTTGAAGCTTGCGAGCGTTGAGCGTTGATAGATTGGCACGATATGTAGAAAAGGAACAAGTTCATTCGCCTGCTCGGCACATGGCGTGAGATCCGAATTACAGCAAGCTAAGGATCAGGAAACAGAAAACGGGAGAGGAGAGACAAATCGTCCATGCCCCAGTCCGAGTCCGAGAGTTACCGCAAGTGTGATTTAGCACCCAGCGGTCTCACATGGGCAGCCTATGAGACGTCAGTAGGTGTGGTGAGGGAGGAAGGAGAAGGGGAAGAGGACGGACAGAGGATATCGGCACAACAGTCGCACATTCCCTTGCAGCATTCGAAGACCAAGAAGCACTCGATCATACCGATGAAACAGTCGCGGCCTAGACGTGATAGGGTGAGTGGGAGTGTACTGTGCTGTGGATTGGGAGGCCGTACCTGCACCACCACCACGGAGGCGGCTTACCCATGAGTGTTGTTCTTCTTTACGCTCAACAGGGGCGACTGAGAGTGTTAGAAGGGGGATGATGCAGAGTAGGAGAGGGGGAGTACCTGTCATTTCCTGAGTGTTTGCCTGTGGCTGCGATTGGATAACTTGTTCTGCCATTGTTCGTCGTTGGTCGTTGCTGAGGAGGAGGAGGAGGAGGAGGAGGAGGAGGGATGGATAGGGGACGAAGACGTCAAGGGGTAGATTATGGGGATGTTATGTACTCTCACCGAGACCCATTGGTCTGCCGCCAAATCACAACAGCTCCCGTCCAATTCGATCGGAAACTGCGGAGGTGCAGACGTCATGACGACGTCAACTAAAGGGTATTCTACATAGTATTCCCCAAAAATAGACAAGCTTAAGGAGAACGGAGGCGGAGTGACGCGATTGGCGCACAAGCGGCTTGGCACACGTGCTGCGTGTTGGCCTCAACTAAGAGGCGTGGTTTATCTTACCGCCTTGGTGCTGCTCGTTCTAGTCCTGCTTGAACAGCTCAGGTGTTGTTCCGCATATGCACACCTCACATGCCCTCGTTCGCTGTTCTACAGGCAACGGCGTGTCCCCATCAGAAGTAGCACATCTTCTCCCGCTGCTGGCTTCAATGTTCTCTGGCTTCTTGATGCCGTTCTTGCTCTCCTCTTCTCTGGATCCTAGGCCTTCTCTGGGATTTGCTTCTCTCGCGATCATGGTTACTTCGAACTCCCTAGAATCTGACAGTAACCGCGATTCTCTGACAATCGGGCATCTTGTATCTGCTGTCCAGTCCAAGATCATCCGCACAACAACACTAGGTTTAATGGACATGCCGAATACGTATCTTGATATTGCCTTCTCCTGGCAGCGACCCGTCACAGGAGAACATGATCATCTGGTGTCACAATGGGTTATTCTCACTTCTCACTGGCTAACCTCACGTCTTGCCGCATCCCAAAGAACCGCGACCCCCTGGCTTTCTGTTCAGCACCCGACCGACAGTCATCTGCGGGCGACAACCCTCACCATACCCGGCTTAACACATCTCACAGTCTCAATACGAATAGATTGACACTGCAGCGTTCGATTTACGATTACGTTATGACTGTACGGCTGACTTGACTTCTACCTTGCGTCTCCTTCAGCTCCTCACGAGTCCGAACGAGCCGCTTCTGGATTCTTGACGTCCTCGCGTCTTGCTCCCACGCTCTCTGGATTCTTGACCATCTTGTGCTCTCTCGCTTCTTGACGTCCTTCATTCTTCTCTGGCATCGTGACGCTCTCTTGGATCTGCTTCTCTCGTGCATGTGGTCCCTTCGAGACCCCTACGATCCAGCCGTACAACCGCGGTTCTCTGACCTGCGAGCCTTCCCCTATCTGCTCGCTTTTGAGTCCACGATCACGATGATCTGCACGACAACACCGCTCCGGAGTTGTGCTCACGGCTTGCTAGAATTTCAAGATAACTGGAATCCACATGCATGGGATGGATGGATTCACTGCTCCTGGCAGCGTCCGATGACAGGATATTACGAGAGATTATGTTATGACTACAGCTGCTATTGAGACGAATATATGGTTTGACTTGCACTCCCCGTTTCCTCCACCCTCCATTCTCCAGCTCCTATCAAAGCGACCACAGTCCGAACGAGCTCATTTCCCATTCTTCCCATTGTCACGGATAGATCCACAATGCTGTCCGCCGTAGCATATCGCCGGGTCTGGGCTCGCCTTTGGCCCGGGTGCGGGTGCGCGGCCGACGTTTGCCGAGTTGGGATTCGGGTTGGAGTTGGGGAGCGGCGCGCCGGCGGCGGTGGAGAGGAGCAGGGAGGTGGCGAGAATCGTTTGGGGCTTCATGGTGAGTGCTTTCGTTGGTTTGGTTTGGTTGGCCGGTTTGGTAGATTTGGGTGGGGCGCGGAGTGGACTGCCTGCGGATGGTGTGCGATGTCCGGTACAAGGAGTTGGATCGGGTTGTAGATTGGTTCGGAGGATCAAGTGGGAAGTCGAGTTGGCCGATTGGTATCGTTCAGAAGGAAGGGAAGATATCGACAAGAAAGAAGAATTAGAGTGCTTTAAAGTACGTTGCGTTGTCTCGCGATGTGTTTGTGAGGTGTACTGATGTCCTTCGTAGGATTGTTGTTAGCCTCCTCCCGTTATCTGAGGCGTTAAATACCCCCATCTCAGGAGCTGACAATACCCAAAATCCAAAAATTATCCTCAAGCAATGCACAAAGGCAATGCAATACAATGCACCTCTTTCCATCAGACCGTCAGGCCCCGTCAGTCAGGCCGTGGGCTTCCCCTCGCACTTCCACGTCGCCTCAGCAGGTAGACAGCCCACGGGCACAGGAACAAACACGAGAGATCCCACGTCAGACGTCTCGTACCCCTCTTGTTAGGCTCTGCCAGGAAGCGGTGCCAGGCTTGGGCTTGGTGCTCCTCGCAAGAGCGAGTCATCGACCGTTCGCTCGTCCGCTCGTTGTGCACCGGCCCGAACCTCATCAGGCACCGCACTACACCTCACCCCAGTGCCTGCTGTACCCTCTCCCCTCCCTAGCTTTCCCGCTCAGCACATCCCCCGGAGCGCAGTGCGCCGCACACCAATAGGTCACGTGACACATCAGCGCCGCCGCGCGATACCATCAGAACATCTCGGCCGCGGGTGATGAGGCGCGGCTCGAGATCTTCTGTTGGAGTCCAGGGGATCAGGTTTCGATACTGTCAGAAAAAACTGGCTGGGACGGGAGATATGCAGTTCTTTTTTGTGCACTGGACGTTAGGTGATGCAGGGCAGGTCGGCTGCCGACCTTAGTCTTGTCGATCTTTGAAGATTTTGGTTTGGCTGCAATTCATCGTGTGCTTGAGTCAGGGAAGCAGTGACTGGTTATGGCATTGATGAATCAGCTGCTCGGAAATACGTAGCCGAGCGAAAAAGTTGCTGGGATTAGTGAGCACATAAGATTATAAGATTGAGGAAGATTAACATGCAGATAAAAGTCAAACTTGCGTTGGCGCTCAGAGCGGAGTTCAGTTCACGCTGTACGCTGTACGCCGTGCCCCCGTACATAACACCTCTCATCATCTTCGGGTCTCCGACTCGTCCTCCGAGTCTTCGTCAATACTCGCAAGCACCTCCGCTGCCTCCCGTTCGCTCTCGTCCTCGACGCTCGCGCGTGTGACTCGATGTCGAGTATGCGATTGAGGGACGTGCGTGGACCGCGCAGTTGTCCATGTTGTCGTTGCGCCTGGGTCTACTACGGCTGTGGTGTTGTCCGTCGGGTGTTGTTGTGCATCACTCTCAAAACGCGAGTTCGTGTCCCATGGTCTTGACTTGAGGTGCAGGTATAACCGGCCGTACTAAGTAGTACATTAGCGAAAGTTTCCGCGACATGTTCGAGGCACTCACACCAACAGCTTGAGATGCAACAAGGAGACTTTGAATATGAGCACGTCAGCATCTCACCGGTTCCGATGAAGACGTACGGAAGCCCCGCTGACGCCAGTGGACTGTTCGCATACACCGTAGCAAACGCCCCATTCAGCGCGGTCAAAGCTGCCGACCATATCAAGCAAAGTACCTCTCTGTCGCAGGCGAGAGCTTACTCAGCCAGCCCACGGTATTAAGCAGTAGTTCTTTCCGGATGACGCGAAGAACCGGGTTCAGGGCATGTTTTCGGACGCCTTTTAGCGTGTGGGGGTTGTACGTCGTAAGCAGGACTAGAAGCACTGTTGATCTTGTTCGTAAGGATCAGGTGGTAGATAGGGGAAGACGGACTTTGAAAGCTAAAGCTGGCGGGGATCATCCTGTTCCCCAATGAGCATTCGCAGGATATGGCAGTTGATATGCTTACAAGAGGACGACCATGATGTTCCCCTCGACCTGTGTAAGTCTGGGCCAACAACCAGGTGCACCCGGAACAATGAAGTAGATGGTTTCGTATGTTTGGGTGGTGACGATTGCTGCCCCTGCCTGAATCGCTGTGAGATCCTAGACCCCAAGCTAGAAAAGGCATTTACTAGCCAAACGACTGGTTGATGATCAGATTATGCTTCGCATTTGATGTGAGAGGTGCAAGCGTACCGAGGGTGAAGACTACCAGCGCATATCGGACTGTTTACGGCAGGATGAGTATTCTAGCCTCATGCTTGAGCGGAACGGGTTTTACTGGCTCTTTGGCCCTTGAAAAGTACCATGACTCACCAAAGTAAGAGACAATCGCCTGGTGCTGCCATCGCGATGCTATTGCTATGGAAAACCAAGTAAGGAAACGAGAATAAGCAACGAGAAACAGGGCTTACTAGACGTGTATATACGTATAGATCTTGCACCTAGAATAGCCCTATTATTAAGTTTGAGGATCGAACGGATTAGACGTACCCCTGAAGGCAACATCAGGCAACATCTATCAATGATCGGAGGCCTTACTGTAGCAGATAGTGGTCTGGTGGTCACTGTCATAACTCGAGTATTAGAAATAAGACTGCTCGAAGGTGGACACTACAAACAGTAGGACATAGCCCTGCAGGGCGTGAGCCAATATCATTCAATAACGCAGAGCAGAAAGACGCCTACCCAAGAATCCCAACGCCTAGGACTCGCAGGAGCACAAACATCACTCTCGGCAAGGTGATCCTCCGACTCATTTCGCAATCAACAAGATGTTACAGGCCCCGCTCGAAGAGAAGCACCTACGTCCAAACATGCTTCACCTCTTCTTCCAACGTGAGAAACGCGTCGTACACGACCCAGCACGTGGCGGCGACTGACACGCTTGTCAGAGGACTTCTTAAGGAAGGTAGGGCGACGTACTGACTACATATTGGTATGTTCGGATATCAGCTATCTGGGGGTCCATTAGCATGTAGAGAAGCGATGTGCATAGATTGAAGTTGTGAGGACTTCTCTCCCTGGGGATTGAGCCAGATTTACGAGCCGGGGAGCATGCTGGCTGGACGTGTTAGCGCTCGAAGCACGACTGTGAGCTAGTGCCATCAGGGCGAGAACTTCGGATATCGGAGAACTGATGGGGTGGCACCTTAATGTCGAGAAGCACGCTTTGCTGGCAGTTGGAAGGAAGCTGCGTAGAAGCCAGGGAGAAGCGCAAGAAACTGCGTGCTATATCGTTTCACAGCTTGTACTGCTCTTATCGAGTCTTCATGCCAACTTGTCGTGCTGTCTGGGAGTGCCTGGAAGAGGCACATCGCCGCCTGATACAGTAGAGCCGGACAGCAATGGGTTATTCCGAATATGTACCAAAGCAAACGCAGCATTCCCGATAGAGGCCAAAGAAGAACGAGCATTCCGCATGCATTGGGTATAAGACCACTATTTGATAGCAGTAAACGTTTGAGGGTGCATTGTTCAAAGTCGACCGATGAAACGAGGGTGCCAATATTGCTGGCCAAGCTGGTTGGTGCATCAGTAATGTATCGGTGATTAGCGACCTGACACGATGGATGGTCGTTGTCCGTCTTGTGCCGGATCCGCGGCACGCGGTTTTGATCCGAGAGAAGCGGATCCGAAGTTGGCAGGTCTGGTCGGAACTGACAATGATTGTCAGATCAGTCCGGTGGTGGGGATCGGTTCTGGAGTACGATTAAGGGAGATAAAGTACCGCGTTGGCAGGGTACCGGAGAGAGAGAGCCTGATGTAGTTTGAGGTGGTTGAAGGGGTATGACGTGAATACACGCGCTCGGCATGCACAGCATGCGCCGTTCCGCGCCCGTCGCCGCCGGTAGCGCGTCTTCGGGGCGCGTCATGGAATGGGCGGAGCGTTCCAAGGGAAAAGGGTTTGTTCATTCGACGGTTTGGGGTCTAGATTACCTTCGATGGGTGCATTCGCTTTTCCATCCTGGTTCTTACTGACAAACTTCAATTGCTTGCTCACCGATGTCGTAGAAATGTTAGGTGAGCACGAGGGCCGGCTTATTTAAGGGTAGGTGGGCCTCCGAAGAGGTGTCAGACAACCTGTCAAGCCCGTGGCGTTGTCCGAGACGGTTTTGAATGCGGGGCTGGGCGGGGCGAGTGAGCGGCGAGAATGTTGTGTGACTGAAGCGGGGAGTGTGCAATTACGATGATGTTCACCGCTGTTTCTTGGTGGTAGGAGTAGCATGCAGACATAAAGGGAGAGCGCCACAAGGGATGTTGAATGTCATTGATTGAAAGGGAGTACACGGAACGAAGCACGGCCACCATATTGCTCACACATCCTCTTACGCTCCCCTCCGAGTCGTTCCTCGTGCACCGTCGAGCACACGCCTCCCTTGCCCACTCTTCCCGCCTCCCTCGTCTCTCCCTCCCTCCTCCTCCCTCCTTCACCTCCCCCCTTCTTCCTCTCCCTCTGCGTCGGCATCCCGGAACTGTGTTATTGCTCCGCTGTCATCGCCTCTTCTCGCCTGCACTCCTCTTACGTCACATACGTTGTCAGAAAGCTGCACCAACCATCAGGCAGATACACCATCCGCTGCAGCTTTGCTCACCCAGTCACTCTTTAACACGTAGCCTGCCAAGTCATCCCACCTCTGCCTCTGCGCTGTCCTCGCTATCTGTACACGGTGTGCCATCATCACGCTCCTCCCCGTCTGTGTAGCACGACGACCGACTCCAGCGTAGCGCGTCATTCGACCCTACTTCGTCAATCTTCTTCCCTCTTCCATATTCCACATTCCTCATCGTCTTCTGCCCTTTCTTCCCTCTCCTCTCTTGGAACTGTTTTGCCATCAACCCCAATTCACGCCCATCCCCCCTCCCCGTCCTCCTCGCTGGTTACTTGCTCTCCATCAACTCCCCTCCAGCCTTGCTCCCTCTAGCAAGTCCAGATGACCCTATTTGCTCAACGGTGTCCGACTTCCATTACGCCTATCAGCAACTTTACCAGTACCACTATCGTCCTTATTCACAACAGCACGATATAGTCGTGTATCTCCCGCGTGGTGCTAGTCACTGCTAGCACTTCCCGGCTAGCCACAAACCTCTATTTGCTAGCCGTTGGAGGCTCTCTCCAACTCTTCCCCCCCTCTGTTTACCTTTTCCTCCAAATTTTCGCAACTACATGTTATTAATCCGCAACAATTTGTCTTCTTTGTGGACTTTTTTACCCTTCTTCCCTTACCTCTTGCTCCTCCTTTCCCTTCCCCCCTCAACGATGGCGTTTCCCCACCCGCCGCTCGCGACACCCACACCCCCTCCGATCGTCTACACCAACCACCAACCACACCGGAACAAGCCCCAGCCCCCGCCTCCCCCAGATCATACCTATGAACGAGTCGACAAGCTAATCAAGCAGAGGCGAGCGGTGCTAAGAGGGTATGATCAGCAGGGGCACGAGGTTGTAGGACCAGATTTGGATTTGGAGGAAAGGACGGAGCTCGTGGGGCGACAAGCGTGGAACACATCATGTATGCCCCACTTACCCCTACCTATATGCGCATATGCTGACCAGGTACTTACAGACCCGTCCTGCGATGACGTGGGAAACAGTATCCTCTCCTGCTATCCCATTCAAGGGCTCACACTCGTCGAGTCAGATTGGACAAAGTTCATCTGGAACCTCCGCCAACCGCAGTTCATCGGTGCCGTCACCGTGGACGTTTACCTCTTCCACGCCGACTCGGACTTGATGGCCTTGTCCTTCCCCGGGCAACAGAATGCCGCTGGCCAGATCGGGGTTCAGGTGAATGACACGTGGTGGGGACCGAGGGGCGACACATTCGATGGAGAGAACGTGACGTTTCCCTACTACTTCGTGGTTGTGCCCGGTGGGACAGTGCTGACGGGCGGGGAGAGCCGGCTGGCAACGTTCCTTGCTATCCGTAAGTCTTTCCTGAGCAGATATATGCGCCTGTCTGATCATTAATCAAAGAAACTGCCACACCGGGAACACTGGCCTCAGTTTCGTCAGCGTCTCTCGCTTCCATCGCTGCGCAAGCGTCCGAGTCCTCCGCATCGGTCCTCTCCGTTGAGTCTGTCGCCTCCGTCTCCCTCACCTCCCTCGCCCTTGCTTCCGCCTCCTCCGCCTCCATTTCCTCCCAGTCAATAGAATCCATCCTCTCGTTCTCATCCGCCCTGCCTACCCTATCAGCTCTCTCCGTCGCATCCCCAGCTGTCTTCTCATCCCTCTCCGTCGAGTCCATAGCATCCGCCGCATCCCTCGCCTCCGTCTCCCAATCCTCCGTCGCATTCACCCGCACTTCGAACGGCACAGTGCCCACCGGTGATCTCCAGGGTGGGTTAGGCAACGGCAGTGGCACACCAGCATGGACGATCGCTGTTCCCACTGTGCTCGGGTTCCTCGCTCTACTGTTCTTCTGCGCACTCCTGTTCCTAGCATCACGCTGGTTCCGCTGGCGCCGCGCCGAGCTCGCAAGAAGAGGAAGCATGGGAAGCCAAAGTCCGATGATGGCCAACATGCCCGGTGAGCCAGCTAGCAAGCCGCCTAAACCTCCTTCCCCAGCGCTAGGGGGGGACGCAGCTGGAGCCACGTTATCCCGGGACGGCAGCAGTGCGACTACCCGCCCTCAAGTCATGACCCGCTCAGCCGAGGGAAACCCTGACATCACCCTCTCTGGCGGTCCTGGCGACCTGAGCCGCTCCGCCAGCGGAGCCTCGCCCTTCTCCGGTGTGGACGCAGCGATCATGGCGCGCGCATTCAGGGAAGCGCTCAACAAGCCAGATTTCTCTAGCCCGGTAGAGGAAGGCAGCAGCGGCCCTGGCTCGCAGGAGAATGCGCAGAATGGAGCTGACAGCCCTGGGGGGAGCAAGGATGGACACACGACGGAAGAGGGATTCAGCCGCGTAGGCCAGATCGTACAGGAAGAAGGGGGCCGCGTGGGGCGTGTAGGCCAACAGAGCGTGCGGGTCCAAGGCCCGGGGGCGTCTAACGGCCAGGGCTAAGCCGAACGAAGAACGCTTCATCTCTTCCCTTCCCTTCCCTTTTCTTTTTTTCAGGGAACACTCACTCTTGGACTGTATTACTTGTTCTCTTCGTGAGCCTCTTGTCTGGCCCACAATCCGTTTCCCTCGCAAAGGTATCAGCGCTGTCATTCATTTCACTCCCCCGTTGTCTCTATTTCGTTCGAACTGTCCATATTCCAGGTCTTCCTTGTCACGAGCGGCGTTTCCAGCGGTCGGCGGCGTTTCCCCCTTACAAATTAAACCCGGTGCACCTCTCGTCGGTGGCACATAGTACAGCTCGGTGGGTCGATACAAACGGCAGGGTGGCGGAGTCGGTGGGGTTTGGTGTTAGTTTTTTAGGTCGCTGTAGTTGTGGTGTCGGGTGTCGTATATCCTCCAAGCCCGTAAGCAAGTGTCTACTCTTACACGCCTCTTTTATACCTCTTTTTTTTTGTTCAACTGAATCCAAGAGTTGTTTATTGTTGTCAGTCGAACGGTGTGCATGTTCTTTGAAATGAGCAAAATAGATTGGAGAAACCTGTGTACTTGGGACAGAGCTTACGTCATTGGTTGCTGGGACGAATGGGAGTGGGCGAGCACTGAGACACGGAACTGGTGGATCATCTTACATCATGAATAGGAGGGACGTGTGCTAGTCCTGCCAAACCTGTCGAGGGGAAAAGAACGACATGTAATTACAGTATCCATATATACAATATTTATCTCCCCAACCTCAGACCTCAGACCTCGCCAGAACTCGTGTCCGACAGAGCAGCCCCCTCGTCACAAAAGTCAAGATTCGGACCATACGCTGTCCACCTCCCGCGTTCCACGCAGCGGCCTTTCCACTCATCGACCATATCGTACGCAGCGGGGTTGGTAGTCCGCTACGTCTTCTTCCACCCCCTGACCGCTGCGGAGGTGATCGACGCCTTTAACTTCCGGCCGGTGAATTCGAACTCCTCGAGAAAGTCTCCCGACATCGTCCCCTTCAGTTTCCCATCACCGAGGAAAACGATGCTCCCGTTCAGGACCTCGTCTTCTTCCCATTTGCAGATGATGCCCCCTTCGCCAGTCTCGTTACCTCTCCATTCGAAGTTCCAGGTATCCACAACGCGCGTCGGAGGTGCACCACCCCGCATGATACCCTCCACCGCGTGGAAGTGGAACGAACCCCACAGATGACGTCCGGTGCCGCGGGAAGGAGCTAACTTGAGAATCATCGGCTTCGCATCTTCGTCGTCACCCCAGTTCTCTTTGATATACGGCGCCCAGATACGGTATTGTGCCGGGAGGTCATCGCCGAGCTGCGAGTAGATCAGGTGAGCAAGGTAGTCAACAGGAGAGTAAGGAACTTACTAGCTGGGGTGTCTGTTCATCTTGGGCTTTAGCCTTCTTTGCTGGGGGTTCAGTCTCAGATGCAAGAGGTTTAGTGGCTTTTCCTTTTCGATTGTTTCTTTGCAAGTTTCTCGCTAGGTTTCTCTTCTAGCTTCTCAGTTGGCTTCTCGGCAGGCTTTTCAACTGCGTTGCTTTCCTTGGGCGCAATGTTCTCCTGGTTTTGTTTAACAGAAGAACGAGAACGAGTCGCAGGAGCCATCGCGCGAGGAATGTGCCGAGAACAATCGGGTGAAAAGTAGTAAAAAAGCGATAATGTCAGACGCGACCGGAATGCAGAAGCCACAACTTTAGTGAGACCCGCGACGCGTCCGGCAGACCCTGCACGTGCTGATGAGGTCAAAAAACCCGGAGCCGAGATTTCCTCGATTCTGGTGCTCCTTTGACTGTGTTTCGCTGGACACCATCTTCATGAGTTGCTTCATTGTATATTTTCCCTAGCCTTAGATTTCTGGGCTGCGGAATCATTGGGCTGTTGTAATCATACCTGCTGTGGAATGGCTGTTCTCTGGCACTCGCGATGTGCTCTCAAACCCTGGCGGCACTATTCCTCTCTTCGAGCACTGCGCTGTGGTCGAGCGCTCTCTTCTTCTGCCTCGGACACTAGCATTCAGTCAACAGACTTGCTTGACGTCTACAGGAGTCTTGTAGCTCAAGGCGTAATTCAATCACATGACGAGCAGATTCGTGTCATCATGGAGGTTGGGCGGTTCATGTTCCGTACTGGGCAAGCTCACATGCATTCCAACAGCTGCGACAGCTTAGGAAAGATCTAGAGGATTACGTGCCATCTTTGTCGCTTCTTCCCCGTGACGAAATGGTACCACCGGAAAGCAAAAACAATGAGGAACCGTGGTGGACCGTAAAACCCGGGGAGCCTACCAACGTTTCTACCGATACCCGCTCGATATCCCGAATCCAGACGCATGCAGAAGCCCTGGCCAACCTAGATACACCTAGAGTATGTAACTGCTCTTCTCTCTCCTCCGGTCTTGCTAATGATGTGGGACATAGGGAATACTCCTCATCGGGCCCGCTGGCACGGGCAAATCGTTCCTCATGCAGCTATTCTACGACAGTCTTCCCACCGCGTACAAGTCACGAAAACACTATTCCCACTTGGTCCTAGAGATATACCGTGGAGTTTGGGGGGAATCGAAACGCCGTTCCTCCGGTGCGCCAGATCTTCGTCAACCTGTGGAACCGCGTCGATGGGACACAGCACTGCGTGATTCCTGGAGGCGACTTATTGGCACCGATTCCAGTACGACAGGCTGGGGAATGTACAGACAAGTCGAACCAAGCATAGCCATGAGATCGCTCGTCGATTGGTGACGAACCACTGGCTGCTTTTCTTTGACGAGATCCAATTGCGGGACGTCTCGAGTGCTGGTTTATTATGCGATGTCCTCAGTTGGTATTGGCGCATGGGCGGAGTGGTAGAATACTCATTTTGGCATCTTTATATCGGTGGCCTAACACTACCTATAGGTAATCGGCACATCCAACAAGCTTCCATCGGACTTGTACTCGAACGGCGTCCAGCGTGAACGACTGGAACCTTTCGTGCATGCACTGCAAGCACGCTGCCCGGTTCCTGTGATGCGGGAAGAGCGCGACTGGCGTCGAGTACGAGCCCCCTCTGCTGGTGGCAGCACCTGGTTCGTCCACGACGAACCTGGAGCAGAAGCTGTATTCATGGAGGCGGTGCGAGACGCAGCAGGGGGTGCAGAGGGGCAGTCAGAGACACTCACGGTGTTTGGGAGACCCCTGAATGTACCTTGGGCGGTTGCTGGTGTGGCCCGCATACCTTTTTTCTCAACTATGCGAGCAAGAACTCGGTCCTGCTGACTATATCAGCATCGCAAGCGCCTATCATACACTTGCGATTCAGGACATCCCCGTATTTCCGATTGGGAAGAAGAACGAGGCTCGCAGGTTCATTAGTCTTCTCGATGCGTGCTGGGAATGTCGGTGTCGAGTGATTGGGTAAGCATTGCTTGCTTGTCCTTGCGATGCTCTCACTCATTCCAAACAGACTGGCAGCTGCGAAGCCAGATGATCTGTTCTTCCCTGACGCTTTCTCTGCCTCTGCCTCTGGCTCCGATTCACCTGAAGAGATCCACACGAACGACGAGCTCCTCATAGCCGAATCCTTCACTGAAGGCCTGCAGCAGTCAGCCGAAGGCTTCCGTCCAAACATCGCATCCTACGACCTTGACCAGGGGCAATTTCCGGTTCGAGATATCCCGCCTTCCGCAGGGGTGATGCTCAAGCCGCTGAGCATTTTCACGGGCGAAGAGGAACCGTTTGCATATGCGAGGGCGGTGTCGCGAATACACGAACTAGCCAGTGCGGCTCAGCAGAAAGAGATGTGGACTCCTACGGACAGGGAAGCCCGTCGCTGGGAGACAGCGACCCCTGGTACTACTTCGTCCAGTGATTCTGTTCTACGTACACCTCGTAGACCAAGAGAAGACCCAGACGCGGACTTTGGATACGAAGCTGCGAATGAGCGGCCGACGCGCCGGGGTGTGAAGGTGGAGCCACCTAGGATTAAGGAACAATATGTATGGGGAGCGAGGGAAGATTGGGGAAGGAAAGCAGGAGAATGGGGAAGGGGAGCAGGTGCTTACAGGATAGCCGGTGAGGACTACGCTGAACAGAAATAGACAGATGACTCCTCTGTGGGGTGGATGACTCCTCTGTGGGGTGGATGACTCCTCTGTGGGGTGGATGTCTTGTGAAGCACGTGTTCCTACGTCAGAGTGATCGGCGGCGCGTCCCTTACAACCACCGCAAATCGCATCCGATGTATGAAGTGTTTGAAACCTATTCTTATTCTCTTCTATACCCATCAAACATTATTCTCCACTCTACAACTTCTACGCAATATGTTCAAAGGCAGAAAAACATCTTATTCTTCAAATCTTCTAGTCAACCCAAGCGACCTCCCGAATCCAGCTTGTGCTGCACACACTTCACCACATTCGACATGCCATGCACCTGCTGCAGGCCCATCTAATCCCTTCTCGGGGACATCTCCTTCCCCCTCGCTCAAATCGATTTCGTTCGATCACTCCCGTGCACTTCGAAGGATATTCATCGGCCAGATGCCCGTTTCATCCGCGTTGCCCGCTGTAGCACAAGCGCACTGGCACTGGCACCTTGGAATGGGCCGTACAGGGAGCATGATCAGTGAGCAAGATGAAGAAGACGAGCGGAGACGCCTCAGGGACAGGTTTATGGAACTGGGAGGGACATGGGAGGGTTGGGAAGGCGAACTGGGAAGGAAGTTTCTAGAGAGATGGGCATTCCTCACTGGGGAGTCCAGCGGGTGGGCACGTTCAGACCACCGAGGACAACGACAGCGGAAGAAAAAGGGAAGGGGGAAGAAAAAGGAAGAATTGGAGTGGGTGGGAAGGACGTTCGAGGTGGGAAAGGAGCTCTGGGAAGTGATCGATGAACAGCTGGCTGTTGGAGCTCAGACGGGAACGCAAAGCGATGCCGAAGGCGGGCTCAAGACACTCAGAGTCCATCCGACGACATCCGATGCCGAATTTTCCACCACAGGCATTTCAGAACACGGGAAAGGAAGGGGAAAGGCCCCGGAACTATACGATCATCCACTGGGGTCGATATACACCGAGCAAGATCATCATCACAGCACACCGATCTCAGCCTCCGAACCGCCAAAATCGCTTCCTGTTGACGGCCTACCTCACCCACCCTTTTTGGAGGATCAACAAGACTCTGAAGATGCCTCGCCTGCCAGTAGGCAGATAACCCAGCATTCTGCTACTTCCTCAACTAGTCCTCTATTGGGGTCCGCTACAGAGAACGGTCCCAGATATCAAGCTGTCGGAACGGGGGGCATAATCCGGCCTAGTTTGCATAGACTCCAGACTCTCAGATCTGCACTGAGCAGCGGAAGGAAGACCAAGACCAAGAAACGCGGGAAGAGCGTTACTTTCCCCAGTCTTTCGCCAACGGTTGAACGTCACTCGACAATTCAATACGCAGCATCGGAAACGCAGGTCGAGGAGCAGGATATCCCCCCAGTTTCCCCTTCTGAGGTTCTCCAACGTCGCGGTTCTCAGATGGCCGGTACCTCCGCTGGGTCTTCTGTAGCGGCCGCAGCAACCTTGGCTGAGGAAGAAACGGACGAACTCCGGGATGTCGTTATGCGAGATCGCATGCTTCTTAGAGCTCTGTACACGCGCAGCGAGGACTTGCCCCGACTATTTGACGAGGAGGCGGCAAGACGTCATGCAGAAGCCATGGGAGAAGACTGGGCTGAGAGGTTGGTTGTATGGCGAGGACGGGCAAAGAGGCGGATCGAGATTTATGAAGACTATGTATGTCGTACTCTACTTTGCCTTCAACACAAGCGTGACAGAAAAGTGCAGAATTTCCCCGGTGTTGCCAAGCTTAGAGGCCACAAGCGCTTAGCTTTTGTCATTCCACTCAACTCTTCATCCACCAACCTGTCGCTTTATTCCGCGACGGACTTCACCTTCTGCCTCACCTGTGCGCCCACCCCTGCAGAATCCATGACATCTCGGGCAATGTTCCACTTCGCCAGCACAGGAACCAACATCTTCATTCTCAAGCACAAGTCTCGCACACGATCAATCGATTGGATGTGGAAGCTCTGGCGGCATATGGGTGGGGAGATCCCTAAGCATGTTGATGTGAAGGTTCCGGGAGTGGACACCCGCGTGCGAATTTTTGTGCCCCCACTGGATCCCCTCAGCCTCACTCGCAAAGAGATACTGGAGACATGCCTCGAGAGTCTGCTCACCGTGCACGACTATAAGGCGCTCATGCAGCGCGCTCTCAAGGAAGGGGGCAAAGCGGAGCTTTGCTGGCGTAATGAACTCAACCTCGACTGGGTCTGGCTCAGCGCGGACGTGAACGGTCGCCTACGTCCATGGGAGGTGCTCAATGGGATGGTTCTTCGGCAGGTCAGGAAGACGACACATCTTGAGCTCAGGCTTGCGGAGCACTATCCGACGAAGGTTGTACTGGCAAACGGTGCGACGCTCACTGAACCGCCTGCAATAGAGGGTTACCTGCATCGGTACACCGTGTTGACCTCGCGCATCAATCGCAAGCGCGTGTATGTGGCGACGCAGGATGGGAACCTCATGTTTATGCCTCAGCATCGTGTGCGACCCCCGGCACCACCGAGTCTTCCACCAGACGGTCAAACGGACAAGCAGCGCAAGTCTGCATGGGCGAAATTTAGAGCGGAAGACACCGCTCGTCAGGGAGAAAACATTCTCGTCACTGATGAATATATCGATCTCCGGGATATCCACATCATCCGTTGGGCCGAGACCACGCTCTCCAAGACAGAAGATGTTTCTCAACAAGAAGGCAACATCCCGGATATCCTCGAAGGCTGGGAACATGAATCATATCGCGAGCAAGCGGACGATCTGGACACGGTAAATGGCGAAAACCTGGGTGTAGCCCCAAAGCAGACCAAACATCATCTATGCGTGAAGCGCTCGTTCGAGGTTGTGATGCGCTCAGGGCAAGTGTTTCGACTGGAAGCACACACACGCAAGAATGCTAGCGAATGGATGAACCATCTCAAGGCGCTCGCATGTTATTGGACTAGACAACATCATGTGTGGGCTAGGTTCGAGATGGACGTGACATACGGCGTGGAGGAGCGACGTGATGGCGTGCTGCGTCCCCCTACCGCCGTTGGTTGGTATCCTCGCCCGAAGGAGCCCGTTGATCCAGATGCAGGGTCAACTCTGTTGCCGTGGTATTGGCATTGGTGTGTAATTGATGGTTGCCGCGCGATCATCAAAGCTGGTCGACTGTTTCAAAAGACTGGGTATCGAAAGGAGTTCAAGTGGGTTTCTCTCTCAGAATCTTTCAATATCGCTAACACCTCGCAGACATGTGTATCACATTCTTGTGCGAGGCCACTTGATGCAGTTTCAACTGACCCGCTCGATCACCTCTGCCTACCGAATGATCTCCTCTATCCCACTCGCCGACGCTTACGTCTACTCGGGTCAATCCGTAGTCGCCACCATGCCCCCAAGCAGGGACGAACAACAGGGCCACTTCATCACGCGATATTATCAGGACGGCTTCGAAGCCCGGGACAGCGACGAGGACACAACGTTCATCCTCTGGTATCGAGATACGAACGTGGACAGCCGGCCAGTAGCCAAACCTCCCGAGGAGGCAATCGCTGCCGCGCATGTAGAGTATGGGGCTGACCCATTACCGGGCCATATCCCGGCGCTGAAGGATAAGAACCGGATACTGATTTGCAGGGCGAGGAGCAAGCTTGAGCGGGATGCATGGTGCTGGGCGCTCAATGTGGAAATTGAGCGGGTGGTGAGAGGGAGTGTAGCACGGGAAAGTGCGGTCAGAGAACATGGGGAGATTATTCGATCGTGATGTATGGCGACCAGAGTGCACTCATATGACTCGCATGGATACAACAGTACACAACGACAGTATATCTTCAATATCTGGTCGTCAGGACAACTGTTTGTGACTGATTGGCTAGAACCCATACTGTCGCTGATCAAGGGAAGCAAAGGTCTTGCGACGTGAGTGAACAACAATCTAATATGAACACTACTAGGCTATTGATGAAAAGGGGTTTTGGTTTTTAAGAAAAGTCTTTGAAGTGTCCGATGTCCCTTGATTTCCAAGCAGTGGAGACATCATCTTCACCTCAGAGGGAGGTGAAGAACAGCGACTAATAACTTGTCAGCACATCAAAAATGATATGAAGTGAGATAAAACTGACGACTATGGATCCACCTCCCACTGTGACCCTGAAACCTGCTGGGTTCGCCGTGATGAAAAGGGACGAGCCAACCCAGATAAAAGTCGGGATCACAACAGAACCATCTGGATTGGTCCATCGAGCTGTGATTGCACCTGTCACTGGATCGACAGTGTACTACCATATTCAAACCTGATCAGTTGGTATGTTGCAAGGCGTCAACGACACCCACAATTGTTGATTCCCAGGCTGCGAAATTGCCTTCCTCGGGCCCACTTGGAGGGACATTAGCGGGCGCTTGTTGTCAAAGTCAGCGAATGCAGAGGAAGGCACTCAGGAGCTACACACTGGCTGTGCTGGCGAAGCACATCGCTTCACCACTTCGAGCATGTCAGTGTTTCATGCGTAATCATCGACCGGGTGACTTACTTGCGATTAGTAGAAGACAAGGTCATTGCGGCAGCAATCGATGAGGTGGAGCACGCTGAAAGGTACGAAGGCAAGGGGTTCGGCTCAAAAAGAGTATCAATTCATAGTTCGAGGTCAGGCAACAGCGCGCTAGAAGCTCACAATATAGATCGTTCGAAAGCCCGAAGGATCCGCAGGCATCTCATATGTCAAGAAAGTCGCCTGGCTGGAGTCGGTTGTGACTTGTACGGGACTTCCTACAGCAGGCTCCCCAGTTGCAATGTACCCAAGAAGAGAGCTGCTATCTGGGAGAGCGCCGGCCGGGAAGATACCAACATGCCTGTATAGTGGCGACAAATGAGTATCTTAAACTTCTGCAGACGAGCACTCTTACAAAGAGGTAACTGGTGTGGCCGACCGTCTGGCGCCTGCAGAAGTAGGTTAATACCATCAAGAAAGTTGAACGACAGCCAGACGGACGGTGCGGTCCAGTTGTGTCATAGAACCGGCGGGGCTTGGCGGGGCCCAGCCCTCTCACAAATCGTTCCCCATTCGTAAACTGGCGAGCTGTCGGTGTTGCGGCATCTCCGAGTAGTGAAAGCGCGAGGACAGTAAGGAGCGACGAGAGTTTGACGGTCAGCATAGTGAGAAAAAAGTGCCGGAACCAGAGAAATCCAAGGGAGGAAAGGAAAGGGACAACTGGGACCCAACTAAAGCCAGACTGCCTTTTGTTATTTTCTGTTTCATCAGTACAGGGTTTGTAGCCTGTGTAAGAATTCGACGGGAAGAGAGAACGGAACTAAGTAAGTAACCGGAAGAAGCAGTTGCCGGTGATCCGGTGCCTTTCTGTGCCGTAACTCGCGGCGCAAATCGTGCCGAGAATGAAGTCTTGGGTTGCTATGCACTGTGTGAGACATTAATCGCTGGCCAATGTACCTGTATTATCATTCTATTTGCGCCTGAGCGGAAAGATAAGTTGGTTTTCAGAAGTGTGAATCAGGCGGAGTTTGCAGTTAGATATACCTTGACGGAAATGCTCCACATTTTCACATGGTCAAGAAGCAACCCACGAGGTGCCAGATATCGATCGATGGAAAACGATTCGAGAAAACTGAGCCCGTGGGCGCCTACTCCAGGAAGAAAACTCCTGCGGGTTGTCAAGTGGAGGAGGGTACAATCATCTTCTATGTTGTTAGATCAGACATTCGATCGTTGCTAATTCATCCTGGAGCCCAATCGCCTTCGTAACGTCTAATCTGGGTCAGGAATGCTACTCTGTGAAGAGGTTTAGAAGGTTTAGATTCAAACGCAATCTGGCGTATTATGTACAGCTTGCCTATTCTTCTTCCAGAATTTGTAGTACCGCAGGCACTTCTTGGTGGCTGTTCGGATTTAATTCGTCAACTCCTGGGGCCGTCGGGGAGAGCCATTTTCGACGACTCAGAGTATGAGAAGCTGTAGTCGAACGTGCCGATGACCACGTCGATAATGCTGTGGGCATCTACGTTGTTACTGCATTTACAGACGTACTCGATTGCAGGTCTGCTTCATCGGCGGCGCCGTCAGACAGGTGGCTTGATTTCAAGTGCAGATACAAGCGACAGGGCTAGAGAATTTGTTAGCGGGGCGATTCTCAAACTAGCGTATTCGCTGACACAGACTGCCTGAAAGCCTATTGTAATGCTGTCCATGAACAATGATGAGAAGACGTTCATGAACTTGAACTCTACTTACGGAATACCAAGAGACGTCAATGCTGGACGGTTCACAAAGACCGCAGATGTAGCTATGTTGACAACAAAAACCGCTGTGGGGGTTAACCCATATATGTGCTATACTCCCATTGGCATGGCATACCTAGCCAGATGATAAAGGAAGTGCTGACTTCAATCTACAAAATGCGGAGAAGAGGTTGAGGAATTGGTTGACCCTTATTTCTTCTGGTATGTGGGTTATATAGCGTAAGAAAGAGCAGTGTAGCTATGAAACAGCTCAGCATAAGTCACAATCAAAACGAACATTTGAACCTTGAAGTATGAATCCAGATGGGAACAGACTCAAAGTGCTCGTCAGTACTCTCTTCAGGTCAACATGGAAGTGCTCCCGATTGTGCCCAGTCAAGGATACTCCAGCAACCCGAAACGTCGGGTGGGGAGACAACCTTGAGATTGGGATCCCGTGTAGAAAATGATGATGAGCAGGTCTGCCTGCAGATTCCGTTACAAGTGAACACCAAAGTTCAATGAGAACTGTACCATCCTGATGGCTAAAACAAGGGAAGGGCTTAAGCGCATGTCAGCCAGATAAACGTAGACGCCTTACAGGAATAGAACCCCATCAATGCAAAAACGAACTGTCGAACATCAACCGGGGTATCTCGTTGTAATGACATATGAAATAACAATCTCACTTGTTCTCCGTTGCTGAAATAGAGCCAATATTCGCCATAAAATCAAGGCATCTCCAGGGAGTGCCATGAACAGATTGGAACTGCAAGGTGTCAATAATCGCATGGGGATGCCCAAATAACAACCTACATGACTGAAAAATATGATATGTTTGACATCTACTCCCAGTATCAAGGGATCTGAAACAAGTACGCACCCCTTTGGGAGGCGGGTGAGTAATGTTGTTCCAGCGACAGGGAGTATATGACCCATACCATCTGGGAAAGTGGTCGTGTTGTCGCTTGAATGACACCGATTACTAGTAGCCAGCCATTTATCGCGTCTGTAAAAAGGGAGACGAACGGTAACACATAGCACTGCCTTTCTTCAGTCATGATTCTTGTGGGCCAGAACGCTTGCCTCTAACTGCCAATACCCATCGTTCGGTTCACAGCGTACAGAGGGATCGATAGATGCGCTTCGGGCGGGTATTGGGTCTTCCTGGAGAACGTCTCCCTGAAACTGCTTGCCTTAAAGAGGCGATCAGAGATGCTGCTGGCGCCGCGCTAGTACCACGTGTTATCAGTCCAACTTGGTAACTGCGGAGGGTACAACTTACTGCATCGATTACCCGCTCTTGGTATAGTCATCTTGAGTCTTCCTGACCAGGATTGAAAAAGCATCCACGGTCATATATATATGACCCATTACTTCTGAGAGGAGGGTGCGCTGGCGATGAACGGGCGGGACACTGAAAAGGATATAAGCAGCTGAGACAGGGAGTATGTTGGTTTCCATTGCAACGGTGCTACCCGGACCGAAGAATCCAGGTGGCTCAGCAGAAGAGTATGGAATCTGCCTGTTGTCAGAGGCGAGCAGAAACCGACATGGGTAGAACACCAAATACTCACGGGCATTATGGAATCGGGCATCTCACATGCTTGATATAGTTGCGAAGGTTTGCACCTCTCCTTGGTACCGCTCCGTCAAATGTAATTCGCCTTTCAAGCAGCCCCCAGATGTCCGTGATCCAATGCTGACCCTTTCTTCGAACTACGTGTCAACTGACACAGTTACCATTCATCGCATTGCGTCTATCCGGGAAAAGGAGGTGGCCAGGAATCCGACAGCCGCGTAGGTGCAAATACCTGGACTAGTCGAGATGCGTAACGGGGTCACGTTGGACATATGAAGGTGGATAGTCTTGAAAAGGAAGCTAAGATAAGATAATGTGCCCATTATTCAGGGGTTGTTAATTAATCTGTGACATTGAGACCAGCCAAGGGAATAATATCGGCCTTTTCGGACTGTCAACAATATTGTGTGGATGGACCGGAAAAGGGGGCGTATCGGCGGCCGATGCACTGCCGCTGATATATTGACAACCGACGCGTAATTACTAGGCAACCTCGCCGTGGTCCTCCTCCTCCTCCTGACCGTAATTCGCACTATAAAGCCCTGTCATAGTCTAATAATGAACTTTTACTTGTTAATCCCCCCTCAGGCCGCCGATCGTTCCTACTATCTACACTTGTTCAGCAATGCTTCCTCCTCCCCAACTCACACCATCTACTGTTATTAACCCGTCGCCTTCTCCACCTGCGACGCCTTCGTTCGAACCCGCGCCGGGTCAGCCCCTGTCCACGCTTGACTATTCGTGGTCTATATCATCGCTTCTCCGCGAAGGCACTAGGCGAGCACACGAATCTGTTGAGCATTCGCCTGGTGCCGCACGACTTGCGAAGGGGGAGTTGGGGAGAGAGGAGTATGCCAAATGGTGTGTCGCACTGTGGTATATATATGAGTACGTTGCCCTCTTATCTCCTTCACTGTGTGTAGTACGTTACCGATTCCGACTTTCGTGCAAACAGTGCTCTTGAATCTGGCCTCTCTTTGAACTCTAACAATACGGTTCTCGGCCCTACATACCACCCATCCCTCCTCTCCCGCGCTCCTCCATTAGAAGCCGACATCTCCTTCCTCCTGGGTACCCCTGAGTGGAAATCTCACCCTATCCCGGCCTCCCTGCTCCGTTCTCCCCCCAAACCGCTGCAGGAGTATGTCGAGCGGCTCAAGCGCGTAAGCGAAGAGACTCCGGAGAGGCTGCTTGCGCACGCCTATGTACGCTACCTGGGCGACCTCAGCGGTGGTCAGATCATCAAGCGTCGGCTAGCGAGAAAACTATCCCTCGCATCTGATTCTTCCGCGGGAAATGAAGACGGACCTATACCCGGACTCGCATTTTTCTCCTTCCCGCCCCTGTTCGTTGGGGCTGGGCAAGCCGACCTCTCAGAAATGCAGAAGATCAAGCAGTGGTTCCGGGCAGGCATGGACGAAGGTGTGGGGAACGACGAGACACTGAAGAGAGCGCTAGTAGAGGAAGCGAATCTTGCGTTCGACCTCAACGCGGGCCTGTTCAGGATGGTGGATGAAGACACCACTTCTGCAAACGAGAAGCGCGAGCCAGCAGTGATCGAAGAGGTGTATTCTCCGCTATCGAAGCTCTCTTCGGGGAAACAAGACGTCAAAGCAGAAAGCGGGCAGAAGGGCTACTCCCTCGCGTCGTTCGTCGCCTTCCTGGTCGCTGTTGGACTCGCACATTTCCTTATCGTCACATTGGGTCTCACTGGTCAACGAGGATGGGAGAAATGGGAGATTATTAGAGATTGGGTCATGAACGCGATGAACGTGTCAGGTAGGTGTTCTCGATGAACTGGACGATCCCTTCTATGGGACTTCGCTCAATACAAACTGCAAGGCTGTACGATAAGCATATACATCAATGTATACGTACTATTATATTTGGGTGAAAGGGGACATCGATATGGACGTGTAGGAGTTATTCTTGGTCAGGGGAATGGGATGAATGATTATTTGCTGCTCGTGACTCCTCCGTCCAGCCCGTTTTCAGACGACCGATACATCTGGTCAACAAGGACGGTATTGGTACAGTGAACGAGCTGATACTGACAGTGATGTCTAGTATACGTAATAGTTTCAGGTTCCAGGTTACGTCATTGTAGTCAGGGTCACTCCCATCCATGTCGTGGTCTCCGACAGCGGCCTAATGATGCTTGCATTCCCCGCTTTCTTATGTATCTTTTTTGCTGCTGTCCGCGTTCTAGCCAAGTCGGATGATGTGCTGATTTCCGGCGCTCCACATCGCGTCGTCCATCTTACGCTCGAGCGCTCATCAGGATCATGCAGGCCGATCGCTCTTGATGTCACAGCAACGCACAAGCGTGTAGGAGAGGGCAAAGAATCCGCGTTATTGGAGGTAAAGCAGGCAGAGTGGGGTATTGAGGGCAAGATGCACAAGGATATTGTGACAGTGTGGGCGATCGATTATCAGGCTGCTTGGGAGGCGGCACAGCAAGAATGCATGTCGGCCTTTGGAGGTTCACCAGACTTCGCTGGAGAACAGCAGATCGTCTTTCCGGTTCCAACATCGACTACGTCGTCTCCCCGAGCTCCAAGGCTGGATGTGCGCCCTCTTCAGACGTCAGGGCCATCTGAAAATCGTGTCAACTTGCTTTTCCTTTCTGATGGATGTCTGTCCCTTCCCGTCCCTCCATTTTCTCACGAATCGCTCACGCAACTCTTGCAGATACCGTATCGGAAGAAAACAAATTCTTTGCTGACGCTCAGACGCTGGTGGATGCGGTAGGTGTACGAGAAGAGGAGGCTTTTGGAAGCGTAAAAGGATTGGTGAATTGGTGGGCGGGGTTCGTCCCCAGTCGCGAGGTATGTAGTCTCTGTTATTTAACTTAGATTGCGCTCACACGAATGTAGAGTGGCGTTGGCACATCTGGGATGCCGAAAGAGTCGGTCGATATGATATATTCTATGACAATGCCTGATGTGCTGCCAGCACCATTTTCGGTCTGTACCGACCTGGGACTGAGCTGCGGGGACTGTATTATGCGTATCCTGAGGTAGCAAGGGCAGCTTGTCGTTCCATGGGTAGGCAGTGCGATTACCCCATTCTACTTGGTAAATAAATTTTCTGTGGGTATTGCCATGAGGCTAATATTTCGCTCAAGGAAACTCGCCGTACTATGGAGGTTTGGGGGGCGAATTCACGTAGGGTCAAGTCTATGCCCGCAGCCAGATCGCTCACCGGCTGCAGCACCATTACGTCTTCCTTCGTCAATGGCCCCCTAGTACTTCGGTATGATTCATCCACATCACTCAATACAATACTGATGTTATTTACTGAGGCAGACATGAGCTAGGGCACTCGATTATCGATGTCGGAGAGGAGTACGACGGCGGCGGGTATTTTGGTGTGAACGCGGCACCTTCCTTCGTAAACCTCTCATGGGCCCACTGGCTTAGCGTACCCGAACGCATCCGAGCGGAGCTTAATGCCCTTCCGCTGCTGGACTATGCATGTACGTACGCATTCTGACTTGTTGGTTACTAAAAACAACGGGACTCATAGGGACGATGCTTAATTCTACGACACCTTGGAGCACGACATTCACTACCACCGGCCTCTTCCCTCGTGCTCTATTGCGTTTCTCCCTGTCCGGTGTTCCCCGTGTCTCCGATCTCATCGTTCGACTCGACGGCCACAGTCTGCCCTGGTTGCCGAAACCGGACATTGGGATGGACCGGTGGTTCTACGACATCCCGAATATTGGCGGTCCAAGTGGGCTGGCCGCAGGAGATCACTTGCTCGAGTTTGCACTGACTTACGTTGGTCAGGAAGGGGAAGCACAGTTATGCAACGTCGAGCTGTTCGAGTATGGGAATGAGGATGAGTGCGTGGCATTCCCCTACCCCAGTTTTCTTACTTATTCCTCTCAGGTTCAACACCAGCGAAGGCTTCATCGGCGCATTCCCTACCTACTCAGACGAGCCGCCATACGACCTCATTGGCAAGCCAAAACACTGGAACGTCACCTCCTACCGCCCGACGAACGAAGGCTGCCTCATGCGGCAAGTGACAACTTCCAACTTCTGTTCCGTTTGCAAAGAGGAGCTCTGGATGCGACTCCTCGCCCGTGTTGACCTGATCGACGACGTTATCGTTACTTGTACGCCCAAGTTAGCCAGGAGGATTAGTCTTGAGGTCGCTCCTGTGCCCGGGCTAGAGATTAAGTGGTCAAAGGATGGCGAGTATGTGCCTGAGTTTGAGGGGATGAGGACAGTCGAGCTTTCTAAAGGGCACAGCTTGGGGGTGTGGGACGTGAACGTGACATTGAGGACACCAGAGATTAGGCGGGACGAGCACGGATATACTGAAGCGACGAGGAGGGTGGTCATCACCACGCCCTGTCCTCTAGATCGGCGGTAACACGCACGTGCTGAACTAAAGATAGTTGATTCCATGTTGGAACATATTCAATATAGTCGTGAATGTACACAAAAGGTCATCAAGGGAATAAGACATGAAGGGTGGAAATCCCAGTCCAAGATACGTAAACAGATGTGTCCTTCTACTATTCTACCCTCCATCGTGCTGTAGATCCTCCGCGTTCACTTCTCCTCGTTCCACTGTGCCAACTCAAAGCCCAATCGGGGCGCTCCATCTTGTTCGAGCAACATATCCAACTCGACCTTGCACTCCCATCTCTGGCATCTAAACTCGACACTAACTATACCCGTCCCGTCCGCCTCGCCAACCGGGCAAAGAAACTTGTTCGTTGTGCTATTGGGACTCATTCGGAAATCGATGTTGCCGATATAGTTCCCCCTCGGAGGGCGGTGGTTGTATGACAGTGTCTGAGGGTCCAGGAGGCCCGAGCCGGTGCGCGTGAGGTTCCACACTTCGATCACGTTGATTTCCCCCTCTGCGGTGTAGGGGCGGGGAACGGTGAGGTCGGACGAGGGTCGGAAACCGACAATCGTACACGTGTGCTTGGTGGGGTCGAGGTTCGTGTACTGGAGCAACATTGAGTTCTGCTCGTGCGTCAGTTCTGTGAATCCACCTGATAGATGGGGACGAAATGTGATGATGCAAAACAGCCTGCGCACCTCCCTAGTCAACACAAATTTCTTGCTCCTCCCAGCACTGTGCTCGCTATACACCCTCTCTGCATCGCTCGCATTCAGGTGCGCTACCACACTCGGAAAGACGACATTGACATCCACCCTGCTTCCATTCTTGTAGTGCCACGGCACAGTCTGTGAGAACTCCTTCGGCGCACCAAGCAAGTCGGGCGCCTTTTCCAGACCGATGACTTTGTTCGGTTCGTACGTCGGTTCGGGCCAACGAGGGGGGGCGGAACGCTGTGATTGGAGCGCAGAGAGTGCAAGGGGAAGGAGGGAGACGTTCAGCATCGTCGATCCCAGTGCGGCGAGGAAAGCGATTAAGAGAAGAGGGGGGAGCACGAGTGCGTGTTTCTGAGCGCTGGGAGTGTACGGAGCATCGTCTTGCAAGTCGGGACCGTCAGAGTTCTCCGGTGAAGTATCGGTAGGCTGCAAGGGCATGTATTCTGCCTTGTCGGAGGGCATGATGGGCGCTTGGGACCAGAAAAGTGGTTGTTGGTGTTGATGTGCTGTAGAGAGTTGCACTGTTGTCACTGTCTTGATAGATACGAGTAACCACGCGGTGCGTGCCTTGCTGACTAGATATCACGTTCGTTCGAGCACGAGGCACTCTAGATTTCCCGTAGCTTCTGTAAATAAAGTAGATGTATGAAATCAAGCAATGAATGTCCAAAGTCAAGCAAGATGTAGATGAAGATATCAGTCCAGTATCCAACGACTGTACGGCGCTCCGCAATATGGTACGACGGTTGATAAGGGAGCAAATATAGACGCTGATTCCTATTCGGTCAAACTCCGCTCCCTTCCCCACGCGGCACTAATATTGCACAGCCTCACGCTTCCTCCCCGGCTTCTATCGGTCTTCCCTGCCTCCGAAGGTCCGTTAGCCAATGAGAAGGTCTTCCGAGCTGAGCCACCCCCGCTTTTTCGGCGGAACGGGACCTGAGACAGACCCACGAGGGCCGCTGCGGTACCTTGCCTTCAACGCTTTTTTTGGGACCAGGGGGGAATGAAAGGGAAGGGTCACCTGTCATATTTTCGGGAACACTGAGGGTACATCGAGGTGGAACTATACAACAGATCGCGGGATGAGGTTATTCCTGGTAGTCAGCCGGTAATTTTGGCCTTTCGAAAAAATTGGCACGTTGGCGAGTTGGCCCATCTTACGTTAGCTCAGGCGCACTAAAAGGTGCTTCGTGCGCGTGGGGTGGGGACACGTTCACCTTGATCCGTCTTTGCTTTGTGTAGAGCTGTCACCTGCCCCTTGCAAGGGTGGGCGTGCGTCGCAGCCCGCTCGGATCCGAGAGGGAAATTGGAATATGTGTGCATCATTCGATGAATGCAGCTGGGACCAGTTAGTGGGGATACAGCGCCGCGCGTACGAGTACATGAAAGTGTGAATGAGGGATTAAAGGAATGGATGAGGGTGCATGCATGCCTCGTCGCGTCGAGTAGAAAGTAATGGGTGAAAAAAGCATGAGATGACAGAATTTTCTTTTTCGTCACTGACCGTCCCATCCCGTTCGCGTCACTCCAGCGTACGCACCCAGCCGCCTCCAGAGGCACGTTCCCATCCAGCAGGCAGCGAGCAGACTTGTGGCGCGTGCGACGCGAACCGCGTTGGGGTCACATCATCGCAGTGGTCTGACGTCCCTGCTCCTTCCCCTGCGTTCCTCCTCCTCCGAGCGCCCGAACCGTCCGTCCTCAGACCGTGCCGTGCGGCGAGGCTTGGAGATGCCGGTACCCCCGTTGAGAAGGGCAGTGCCGTTGGGGATCGGGATAGGCTTAGCTGGCTTTGGGGCAGCGGGTTTCTGCAAAGTTGTTAGCGTTAGTGGGAATGAAAGAAGATGTGCGAATAGCAGAGACAGAGGAAGGGGGAAGAAGAAACGGGGCGTAGATAAAAATAAACCGGGCACACGATGGAAACCCGAAGGATCGGCGGGGGTAGAGACGAAGGGGCGAAGGGGTGCGACAAAAAAAAGCTCACAGCAGCGGGCGGGGGCGCACTCGTCGGCTTGGACTGAGCAGGCGCAGTCTGGGCGGGGTTGCTCATCTGCTGGTGTTCAGTAACCATTTCCGTGCGGAAAACGCGGGGGACGCACGATGGGGTATATTCGAAAGCTGGAGGTGGAGAAACTGGGTGCGAGCGCTTATTGGTAGATGAAGGGGGAGAAATGCTTGTTGAGGGGGGAGGGGATTTGTGGGCGAGCAGTATTATGAACGAGACCGAGATGATTAGGCGAGAAACAATTGATTCGGGAGCGGCTGACGGAGGAGAGAGCACGAGCTGACAACAAGGTTGGGGAGAGGAGGCAAAGGTAAGCGGGAGAGGGAGGTGCGGTAACAAACCTCTGCACCCCGCACCTCAGGGCTTTATATCCCACCGGCACCGGCCCTTCATCAACATTCCACCGCACCGTACCAACCCCATCCCCTCGTAATCCCGTGCCCCTTCCTGCCGACCAGGCCGGAAACGCGTGTGCTTGGCTTCTTCATACCACCTATGCGTATGTATAACACGCGCTGTCAATATTGTCTCTTTTCACGCCATCAGGCCTGCGCGCTGATGCTTGCCCCTCACTGGGACGGTGATGCTGAGTGATGTGGGCCGGGGGCGTGGGCCAGCGAGGGGCGCTTATTGGCCTGTTTAGCTCGTTCTGACCCAAGAAGGAATTTCTAAGGGGTAGCCGCATCTATCTTATACGCATCGACATTATTTGCGGCTAGGCGGGCGGTATTCGCAAGGTTATATGCTGCGAACCCGGTGTTATGCAGTGCCATCACAAGGTGAGTCGGGCGTTCCCAATTAGGGGGAAAAGGGCCAATCTTGCACTCCGATGGCGCACGAGCCGCTCATCGCCATCATCACATCACATCACCTTAAGCAATCCTGCCATATTCCAGCGAGCTGGGATGGGCAAGTCGCTTGCAGTCTTCCTGATCTTCTCTTCGCAGATCGGCCAAGCAAGTCGTCCGAGGATATTACGAGCTTGGAAAGGTGGGGAGGAGCCAAGAATTAATGTAGCACCGCCTCCCCACCACTCCTCGGCCCCCATCCTCCCGCGGCACGACCCTATCCTCCCGGTCATATTGTACTGAGAGTTCAGCCGGTACGAGGAGGTCACCCGACCTACAAGAGCTGGCCCAGGCACATGTGCATTGCCGATATCCCGACGATTCGTGATGAGAACGATGCGCGAGACACGGGCGCTCTCGCCCGAAGAGGTGGATCCGCGATGGGAGCTCGACTCCCAAATGGCCCGCGAATGCGGAGCACATCGGCAGGCAAACTGCCGGAAAATCGAGTCTGGAACAGTGGGGATGACCTCAGGTCTGGTGGGGGAGTACTTTCGATCCCTGGATTCTCCCTGGCGGAGAAAAGTCTGTGGATTGGGGCTGCGCTTTTGGGTTTATTTTGCTTGGGTCATCTGCAAGTGCATCCCAGCTTGTGTTCCACCAAACCCTCAACCCCGCATGCCGCGTTCCTTCCGTGTCGGCAAGCTTGCCGTGAGCACGTGCAGGGCACGGCACTAAAGGAACTAACATCTGACTTTTACAGGGCGCAAGCGACGTCAGAGGTTTTGGTGGATGCACCTCTCCTTTCGTCACTGTATACTGCCAGCCCCAGCAACCAAGCGCAAGGGTGAGTCTTGCAAGAGTTACGGAGCACGTTTACCGCCCATTGTGGCGCAGGGCGGGGTCATACAGCTTTCCAGCCTAATGCGGAGGCTTCGGCTTTACTACGGCTTTGCCTGCCCGCTTACGGCGGAAGGAGGGGTTTCATTTCGTTCTGCCCAAAGGCCCTTGACGTCAGGTGAGACTGTTATTTCTTCAGGGCGTTGGGGGATCAAAATTGAAGGAGACGCTGTCCCTCTCCGAAATGTGGGGAAATAAACTTTAAACTTTACTTTGGGCGCGTTGCCACCTTGGGGATCCGAAGGTCACGTTACTACATAGAGATGGACGGGTTGATGCAAAGATGGCACCATTTGGGGAGAATGGCCGATGGGAGGAGTCCCGGTTGAACTCAATCGAAGACCCGTGTATTGATCAGAAGTAAAAGTGATGACTCTCAATGAGCTGCCGAGCACCAAAGATGGCATCACATTCTGAATTTCCAAGAACACGTGGTCATCTCTCCCGCTGGTGAATGGTGTGCATCCGCTTGTTCTGACGAAGACGGTCGGACTTCGTTACTAGCAATCTAACTGCTTTTTCTTGAATTAGATCAGACACTTATTGAACGTGTCTCTGGTCTTCTCAACCCTACCTATGTATTCCCAACCAGTATGAAACGTGTAGTCTCGGTTATGAACGTGTAGTGTATTATTCGTCGGGACCGATCACTTCTTGTAATCCTCCGCAAATACCCTCTCTTCTTGCATCGCAACGAACCAGGCTTGCGGTGCCACTTGAATGAAGCGCGTGATCGCGCACGCAATTTTCTTTGCACACGTGCTATATGCCCGAGTCACCCCTAAAGGACTCACATCATCACAATCTGAAAGCCCATGGTCCGACTGTCCCTTTGAACCACCGCATTGATGCTTAATATAGGAGGTCAACCATTCGTGTCACTGGAGGAAATAGTAAAAGAAGGTTATAGCAGGCAGTCTATTGTGTCGTGGATTGCCAACGACGGTCAAAGTGGCCGAGAAGAGGGAAGAAACTTGTTCCACTTTCTTCCATGTCGGGAACTTCCGTTTGACGAGCATCTCGTATCCAGGTTATGGAGTGGTCCTTTCTCGAAGCACCAGCTGGCGAGTACCCAATTGGGGGTCAAAACGCAGCATCGCCTTTCTGAGGGGTTCACCTGGCCGCAGGTGATTGGATGAAGGTTGTGGTCACCTGGTTGTCGTGATGACGCACAAAGTTGAATAAATGAGCAGCCATTTGGCTTGGAGTGATCAAAGAACAAAAGCTGCGACATCTAGAATGACGGCGGTAGGGAGCCCTCCGCGCGAATATACCCCGATGTCCGACCGGTGATCGCTTGGCAGATCCGACAAAGAGGGGACTCATGAGTATGAATTCCTACTTGACCTCGCAAGATACAGCGTGTAAGGCGACGTGATGATACAGTATGATGCAAACGACCACAATATTTTCTTGAACAAAGGTAATATCTCTTCACGTGTCTGTCAGCTGAGGGTGGGTGCTAAGCTGGCTCAAGTGCACATTTCGTTCACCCAGCACGCAATTGGGGTGTCCAATCATACTTCGCATACATCTTCCCGAATGACTTTGCTCGCTGGCTGTTCATACTGTAGTCGACTCTTCTCGGATGCATCCACTTTCGAGGTTCCAGTTCCAGCATGTTGCCGATGATCTCGGCTGCAAAGTTTCTAAGGTCACGTCAACCCAAGCCTCGGTGGCTGAAATGCGGCTGGAGTACTAACCTTGGGAATGTACCCTTCCTCCCTTCCTCTTCCCCGGCATAGTCATTATCCTCATCAGCTACGCCACCACTGTCACCCTCAATGACATGACCGTAACCTTTCTCGCTCTTGTAGTCCCATTGAACCATGAAGTACGGCAAGGTTTCCACCATCATCCGACGGAAACCGCCGGGACGCTTGCTGAAGTCAATGAGAGGGTTGTGCTGCGTCCAATCCGACTCCGATGCAAGAATAGCTTCACGGAAGTACGCGGGTGCATCCTGCCACGATGAAATGGGAAGCGGAATGACCTCGATATACGTGTGTTTCTGGGGTTTAAGGGATATCACCGTTTCCCAAAACAACGGAGCTTTACCCTGGTCGTTGTACATCTGCATAAGCGTTTTCATGAAATTCTACAGGAAAAGCTGGTGAGATTTCGTGCGAAATAGACATGTCTGACTCACCTTCACTTCGTCCCACACTTCCTCCTCGGCTTCCAACATGCTTAGATGATGTTGTACAGGCACGATATAGCAGTGCCCATCTACTAGTTCTTCAAAGGCTGGTACAGCAAGGTATGCTCTGGTGCCCATAGCAACGACACCAGCCTTGGGTGCAGAATCGTCCTCGCCAAAACAAAATGGACACGTATCGAGCGCTTTCTTCGTCCGCGCATAGTCATCGATCGCAAATGCCCGTTTCATTGCTTCAGTTCTCATTCGCTTACGAGCAAGCTTCTCCGCATTGTCGTCGATATAGTCCAAGTCATCCTCGAACTTTGCGTCCGTGGCAATCTTTCGCGCCAGTTCCGCGTCCATATCTGCCCCGTCGGCGGATTTCGCAGCGGCCTTTTCTTGTCGTAGCATATCTCCAAGAGACAGCGTGTCGTCATCATCGTTAACACGTAGCACATTTCCTTCTCTGTCGTAGATATCGAGCGGCTTGCGCTTCCGTTCATTGCCAGGCGGAAGTACCGACTCGCTGCCAATATCGTAAAGCCGACCCTGGACATCGAAGACCGGCAACGCCTCAGTGCGTGTTTCTCCAGCGGTATTTGCCTCCTCATGCCGTCTCACAGCGGCGTCGTACTCCTGCTGCAGCGCCTCAGCACTGGGGGCGTTCATGAGCTTCGCTCGCAGGACTTTGGCCTGGAGCTTGTTGAGGCTTTCTGTAGTCGGCACGGCCCCAGACCCGGAGGCAGATATTGCTTGGACTCGCACAGGCGGCGTCAGAGCGGCTGGTAGAGAGGTACGAGGAATGAACGTCGGACGCGGGGACGCACGAGATGCGGGTGTGTTGAAGGAACTGCTCTGAGCGGTGCGGACACCAGGTGTGGACGGATTTGACTCATTGGGACCACGAAAACTTGATCTGCTTGCAGGACGGCTGCTGCCAGAAGAAATGTCGGTGCGGCCGTACCGTTCCCTTCGGTCGTTGTCGTCACGGTCGTCCCTGCCGCCTCGCCTTCGGTCCACATCTCGATCTCCACGATTGCGTGTCCTATCATTCCTTTCGTCCAATATTTTTCTTTCTTCTTTCGCTTCCTGCCACGCTTCCACGCTGCCATACCGTTCCAGCGCAACTTCGTCGATATCGCGGCCAGAGTCTTCCGCTTCCTCGTAGGTGTGACGAAGTTTCGCCATTCGCCAACTGGATCCCGGGCCACCTGGCACGATCTTGGATGAACGCTCTTTGGACAAGGGAGCAGCGCTGGGGTTTATGTCAGGGTTGAGCTCGCGTTGACTGTATTTCGGCTGATGCATGCAATCAGCTTTGGCTCTAGAACAGGTGCATTTATGACTTACGGGTTCGGGAGCCGTTGGTTTCTTCTTCCGTTCTGTTCCTAAACTGCTGAAAAAATCGACTCCGCCCTCCAATGTGCGACCACTGGTAGCCTCATCGCCATAACCTTCCGTCATTTGGCCGTTGTCATCGGTCTCGAGTTCTGCCTGCACAGGGTGTGCCGACAAAGGTGAGGGCACGATGGGCTTAGTTGACTGGTAAGAGGGTGGTGGAAGCATCCACTCTTCTCGTTGAGAGGAAGACGTGGCAGTGGAAGGAGGTAATGGAACAGGTGGTGGGGAGCTAGCGTGAGATTTGAGTCGCATGTCTGCTGCACTGGGAATGTCCGCCACTAACGACTGTTGCTGCATCAGCATACCATCATTCACATAGATATGAGAACTCACTATAGCACCATCCTCGTCTATGTTCTTCTCGACCCAAACGCCCTCATCATCATCATCTACAACTTCGAGTGCTGCTCTCTCTCGTTTGTCTCTCTTCTTCTCGTTACGGTCGGTATCCTTCCCCTTGTCTTTCCGATGTTTATGTTTCTTGTGCGCACGCTCGTCGTTGTCGCAGTTCTGTGACGAGCGCTTCTCTGAAGGCATTCAGGTAATGAGAGTGATGTACAAGGTCAATAATCGACAAAGTGACCGTCTTTGGTCTAAACTGGAGTAAACATGCCGGAGCCGACAATTTACCCACTCAATTTAACGCCGACAGCGGAGATAACGGGTTCTCGTCTTGCTGGCAAGGCCTTTGGGAACAATATGTAGAGGAAGGAAAGATTAGAAGGGTTGAGCTTTTTGGAAGATATTATTAACATTGATAATCGTCTTAACAACACAATTAAAGATACTTTCCTCACGAGAACTGATTACAGTCATGCCATCGACAATGGATATTCCACCGCATCAGCGCTCATCCGCCTCCGACTTGCGTGAGTCCCTGCGTAAAGGGCGTGGTCACTGCCGAGAGCCAGGGCTGCCTCAGGCGCTTCGTCGACCTGACCACCATGTCAATCTCACGGCACAGCTCTACTGCCAAATATACGCGGCTTGACGAGCATCAGCACCATGACGACGAGGACGATGAGAGCATCCACAGCGACGGCACCGTGGACGAGCTCATCCAGTCCGATGATCCTGAACACCCGGCAAATTTGATTCCTGAGCTTTGCAGAGGGTTCTACAGTGCGTGATTCATGCCATATCTCGTCATAGTCGAGGATCTGACTTCGCTGTGATAGCGCTCGGCTGGGTAACGGGCACTGGAGGCGGCATCTCGCTCAAGAGCGGTAACTTGGTCTACCTCGCTCCATCTGGTGTTCAGAAAGAACGAATCCTCCCCGAGCATATCTTCGTACTGCCTTACCCTCAGCCCGCGGTTGTCAAAGCGCATACGGAGCGGACGTTCCTACGCAAGCCAAAGCAGGAGGGGCTAAAGGAGAGCGCATGCACCCCGCTCTTTTGGAACGCATATGAGCTCAGAAACGCTGGCGCTTGCATCCATACGCATAGTCAGCATGCGGTCATGGCAACGTTGCTCTGGAAGGGTGAGGTATTCGAGATCAGTCACCAGGAAATGATCAAGGGTATTCGGATTGGAGGGACAGGCAAGACACTGTCGTATCTGGACACCTTGGTTGTGCCCATCATTGAGAACACCCCACACGAGGAGGATCTAACAGAGAGCATGAGCGAGGTAGGTATTTCTGCTCCCTCCTGAGTAATACCTCAAGGGTGGTACAGATGATGCAGAAATACCCTGATGCTGCTGGAATCCTGGTGCGAAGGCATGGGTTGTATGTGTGGGGCCCAACCTGGCAGAGCGCGAAGACTCAAGCCGAGGTGCGCCGTTCGTACTGGCCTCCATGCCGTGATGCTCATGGTAATTGCAGTGCTTGGACTACCTCTTCGAGATCGGTGTGAAGATCAAGCTCATGGGTCTGCCAGTCTGCCCTGCGAAGGAAGGCGGTTTGTAGGAGGAATATGAATTGGCGATTATCAGTACAGTATGATATGGTTGCAATAGGCGGAGTCTAGCTCATAGAGAGCAAATGCCTTCCAGGCCAGAAACGCGAGTGTTCAGAATAAGGGCAACGATCAGCCTGCATGTTAGAAATCAGTGACGAGTGTTCAATGAACAAGACTATCACTTACCCATACAGACCTAGGACCTCCGCGAAGATGAGAATGAGGACCATCGTCACGAAGATGCGACTTTCGTACGCATATGCGCGTACACACTGGCTCTTTTGTCAGTACAATGCATACGAACTCGACCAACACGCACAGCATCGCCAACAATTCCAATCGCGTACCCAGCCGCCATCCCCGTAAATCCGCATGACATTCCAGCAGCCAGATGGATGAAACCAGCATATAATGGATACTCGGTGTCCGGTGATACTGGGATGTGTGAGCTCCAATTGAAATGGGAGAAGAGGAAAACTCACACCCTGCCGAGATCAAGACGCTGACCACCAGACCATACACAGCAATGATACCGGACATGACTACCGGGATGAGAGACTGTTTCGTACTTCAAGATGAGGGCGATAAAGCTGGATGCAGAGCACAAACCCTCATGAGCAATTCAGGCTTGAATGTCCCAAGACCTGTTATGCCAATTCCAGCCTTTGATGTCCCATATGCAGCACCGACGGCTTGAAGAATTCTTAGCGCAAGGCTCAAGTAAATTTGATGATATGAAGTCACTCACTGCTGAACACCATCTGAGTGCGGCATCAGTACAGTTCATAACGCGACATGCACATCTACTCACTGCAGACGTGACACCCGCGAATCCAAGAAAGGGGGCAAATGGTGGACAAAGTTTAGACATCCCGAGTAACGGACCAAGGTAGAAGAGCGTAAAAGAGAGACGATGAAGGAGGAGGACAGGACGTTGACGAGGGAGAGGCCTGTACTCGACAGGGTCGGAGAGAAGTGCGGAGGCAATCATCGTCGATGACAAGAGTAATTTCCTCCGATGCCCCCTCTGCGGAGACAAAGTTCCTACAATGCCCCTCCGGAGGCAATTGCCCTAAATGCCCTCTTCGTGCTGCGTATTCGGGCGTCGTCTTTGTGGCAGTGACAGGAAACTCATAAATGAGGGAGTTTAGGGGTCTTCCAGTAATATTTACATATGGTGTTATCAAGAAATTAGATAATATACTCCTAAATAGAGATGTTTTTTGAGGGTTATAATAACAGCAATGTATCAAAATGACTGAGATAGATTTTGCTCTTTCATTATGCAATCTTTTCCGTACTATAACACCCAATACTTGTGGGACCCCTGAACTATTTAACTATGAGTTTCTTTCTCACTGCCACAATGACAACGCGCAAATACGCAGCACATGTGAAGAGAAGAGGGGCATTTAGGACAATTGCCTCCGGAGGGGCATTGTAGGAACTTTGTCTCCGCAGAGGGGGCATCGGAGGAAATTACTCTCGATGACAACTTGAAGCTGCAGCTGCCATACATGCTTCAGTCTCTCCTTCAATCGGACGACCTCATACTATATCCATGTTGTCTTCATCTTACCAAGGGGATGTTGAAGCACTCCAGGAAGCCGTTCATGCCGCCCGAATCTGCCGTGACAAGCTATCGCAAGTCCGCATCAGAAGTGGCAATATTCGAAGCGCAACAACTGGCACAGATCCTGAATCGGAGACTCTGCGCACTCTTCACAAGCTCGAGGATACGATGACTGCCCTCTTTGTCCAATTGGATGAACTTCGCAATCGTGTACTCTCACCCATGACTCGGCTGCATGACGAACTCTTGCAAGAGATATTCGTCTACTGCGTTGACGTACGAGTGCCACATCCCAATGCCTGGCTCCAATGGGACACATTCGACCCTGTCATTCTGACGCATGTCTGTCACCAATGGCGAACAGTGGCACTCAACACTCCCGTATTATGGTCGAAAATAACACTGCAAGCGGTATCGAGGTCCCATCAGACTTTGTTCGACCCATGGCATGATACGATTCTGTCTCAGGACGACCCAACCTTCCCACAATCTCGGAGGCGATACAACGAATTCATCAGACGCGCCAAGACTTGCGGGCTTCGGGTGAAGCTGAACTTTATCGACGAGACTCCCGAATACGAACGACGCTTGACGAACGAATTTTGTCGGCTGGCACAGTGTAACGAGATTATAAGCTTACGCCTTTTTACGGCCAAGAAGTCCGATGACAACATAAGCACATGCCTAGAATTTATCCTGCCAAGATTGCAGAAACTTGAGATTTATCAAGTCGCACCGCCGCTTACGGATCTGGATCCTCCTGATCAAAGTATAACCTGTGATAAACTCCTCTCGAAGGAATGGCCACGACTACGACAGTTGGAATTCAGAGGGATCTCATTACCAACAAGGGTGCCCTTGGTGCATGCACCTTTACCAAACCTTCGTACGCTAAAGATAATTCTGACCAGAGGTGTTTCGGACAATATTTCGAAACTCTTCAAGTTCATTGGATTATGCAACACGTCTCTTGAAAGGCTAGATGTTTGTTGCGGTTGGGACTGGCAAATCGAACCTGACACCGAAATGGCCCTGTATCTTCCCAGGATCGAACAGCTTGAGCTATCTCTCGGCAGCAACCCTCTCATTTCTATTCTTCAGCGGATACGAGCGCCGTCATTGAAGAGTTTGGGAGTGAGACCCACCAGGGGTGCGGAAGAATCTTCTGCTGCTCCTGCAGTAGTCTCGGCTCTAGAAGTGTTCATTGGATCATCGAGATGCCGACTTGAAACTGCTTGCATTCTTGGCATTTCTGTGATTGCGTGGAAGAAGCTTGCCGAGTTGTCGCCAGATATTCGGTCCATGACTGTGCACTTATCCACAGCTTATTTTTCCGCAAACGAAGAGGTGATCAACTTGACCGACGACCCACTCCAGTTCTCGAAGCTGGAAGAGATACATGATCAGAGCGAACTCACTGAACAGTCGCTCCGAATGCTGCTTTCGTTCGTGCAATCCCGAAGACGGTTGTTTGCTGGAGGGGCGATGGTGCGACCCATTCGATGTATTTCTCTCAGATCTGCTCAAGCAAGACGAGCACCTGAGACGCAGCAAGGTTGGTCCGCGATTCAAAAGGAACTGGCGGATTTAATTGAGGAGCTAATCATCGGCCCCGTGAAGTGGAACAAGGCGACAGGGGTATGGACACAATGGGAAGGATCCACTGATGAGGAGGGGCCATTGGCGGTTCTGGACCATAGCTGGTAGCACTGCCCTTGATGGGATGGCTGCAACGTATAGGATAAAAACAGTATAAATGAGTCGCTTTTCATGATGTAAACCGGTCTAAAGCAGACACCAATTATGCCTGTTTATATGAGAAAGGCGTTGGCCGGAATGTGCTGCCATGCACATGGGGGGAGAGTGGAGCCAATTCGTCAATAGGTGGGGCAGCCCTTGAAGGCATTCGATCAGTCAACCCTCTCCCTACATCTTCTGCACCAGCTCTCATCGTTTCTTCTCATAATACGTGTGCCTACTCTTGCAAAAAGGATGCCGAAAACTGCAGGAGGCTGTAGACCTGTTTCGATTATGCGATGAGTCCCTCGAGGTATTGGAGCTCGACTGCGGCTGGGGATTTCAAAGCAAACAGGGACATGAACCATCGGTTGCCCTTCCTACTCTCCAGAACATTCGACTCTCGCGAGGCAATCATCTCATTCATTTCATATTCCAACGGATGCGAGACCCTTCGCTCAAGACACTGGAGTTGGAAGGTATCTCCCCAAGTGCGGGGAGCGGTGTTACATCCTGTTGATGTGGTCTCCGTTGTGGAGGCCCCTATTTCATGGACATCCCAATGCAGACTTGACGGGTTTCATTTTCTTCGATCTCCCGATGGCACATTGAAAGAGCTTGCCTAATTGATGCCAGGCATTCGAAGCCTGGGTGCGAGGTTTGCTGATTCTGATGGTTATGCGAACCAACCCTCGAGGATGGAAGAGACTCATGACTGGAGCACCCACACAGCGGATTCACTCCATGATTTGCTCATTCGTGCGATCCCGAAGACAACACGCCAGAGGAGCAATGGTGTACCTGATTCGATGTCTTTGCTTGAGAGGCAACAATGCAAGGGCTGCCATCGAGAACCACCAGATTTGGGCAGAAATACAAAAGGAAAAGGTGGATTTAGTGGGGGAACTTGTTATCGGTTGTGTACAAGCCGACAGGGAGTGAATACCGAAAGGAAATGCAGACTGGGTGTTCAGCGCTTGTCAACCATCCTTTCCGTTATTACATTACATAGACCATCAACTGTTTCCAAATGAACAACGCAAGCGATCACCTTCTGCAACTTTACAAGGTAGAACGCTTGCCAAGGCAATACTGACCATGGCAAAGAGGCTCCGAGCACGTTGAAAAGAGGAGGCAGTCCAAATACCGACATAGTCGCGTAAGCAGGCAGAATGTTGGCATCAGGTCATATGGTGCTTCAAGAGGCATCTGATATTTGCCCTTCATTAAGTTAATGATCTCGATCTGATTTAGGAGGAATGGTATACCTGCTGTTCTCTGCCGAATCGCCCTCAATATCTGATAGCTTCATGGTGGAACGCCGGTGAAAATATACATCGCGGCACCATTCTGAGATGTTTTTCGAACGATCTTTTTGCTTACAAGGGCAATCAGACATTTGTTCACCCGTGCTTGTGTCAGGTCCGGTGCCTTCACTAGTTCTGCAACTGAGGGCATGTCAGATATCACGCATGGTTTCGGAGATGACAGTACTTTTTAGACCGTTGGGAGCATCCATGAGCTTGTTTATGACACCTTCCATCAACTTGCGAGTGTCCTGAGAGTTCATTCAGCTTTGCCCTGGCAACCGGCTGGAGGGAGGAACTCACAGGATCGTTTCCTCTGTATTCGATTGGCATAACCACCACGATCTTCTCAATGTCGGCATCTCGCTTCTTCTTCTCCGCAGGACTCATCTTCTTCGCAGGTGCTCTCTTCTTCAAACCAGGCTTGGGAATGCCTATCTTCACCTCACTGACGTTTGGAGAGCCCACCGTCGTGGCATAGGTCGTGTTTCCATTATCGGCTGTAGTACGCGTTTTGTCAGATAATCCATGAGGTGGGTCTTTAGTCGGAGAAGATGGATGATGAGCCTGCCGGGCAAGTGCTGCTGCTGCACGCGTGGCTGCCTCCTTTGCTCGGACAAACGAATCTTCGCTTGGAGCCTGTCCAACTGTTAACGTGTAACCAGCCGTCGGAGTGCTAAATCATACCTGCTGCCACTCCACACAAAACGCATTCATTCTCAATGCATATAAGTAGCTTGCAAAAGCTTCGTTGAACGTTCCCAGTGCATCGTATAACCCGTTGAGTTGTTCGAGATTGTGCTGCAAGGCATCTGCTTCATCTGTAAGGTCAGACAGAACAGGCGCCAGGAAATCAAGAGCAGTTGTAGGAGCTGGATGTGCTTGAGATAAAGACGATCTATGCAGATCTCGCAGCGAAGATTGAGATACGCGTCGAAGCGGCGTCCGGGATGTTGGGGGAGCCATTGATGAACGCGTCGGTGGACAACGATCGACGCGACGCGCGTGATGAGCACATAGCGGAAACAAAGGTTCACGTGCACGGACACAATTAAATTGAGCGCTCATACTTTTCGCCACTTGAGGTTTTGTGCCTTTCTGAAGGATTATTATCTTCGGTATCATGGTGTGTAGTCCAGCCCGTATCCTGGAATATACAGTTAACTCTTATTAGATTATTCCCGTGCGTTGCTTTTCGTGCGGCAAGGTTGTGGGAGACAAGTGGGAAGCGTACATGCAGTTACTGCAAAGTGATGTGAACGAGGGGTATGTGTCCTCGTGCAGATGTTTCTGTTGGTTGTATATCGCTAACCTATACGGCAGTGAGGCTCTCGACGAGCTCGGACTACGACGATATTGCTGTCGGCGCATGGTGCTCACACATGTGGATCTGATCGAGAAGCTGTTGAACTACAACCCTAGTGCGTCAGACTCATAATGCGTCTCCCACCACCGCTCACATAGCATGCAGGTGAGAGGTCAAGGGATAGGCCGATAGATGCCGATATTCGCCCTTGATCGTGATTTGTCTTTTACTGTGTAGTGTGTATCTGCAGAACGGTATTACCCTGTGCGTCATGAGATTAGTTTGCAATCGATGTGCTGTCCAAACATTCTCTCCGGCCGCTGAGTAAGCTCTCTGTTGCCCTGTTCTTTCCTTACACTCCAGCATTCAGCAGGAGATGCTTTCAAGTTCCATTTTTCAGCCTCAGTACGCCCGTGCCAGGTGATCAGGCGAAAACTATTTATCCATTCCGTGCATGTAGCTGAGGAATTTTGTCCGGATGCGGTAAACCGTAATCCAGTTCTGGATGTGGGGCTCTTGCGATTCTTCACCGGCAGCCGCGGAGGCTGAGGTACGAAGCGCGGCATCCTCCGGAACTTGGAGTTTGGACTCGTGGGCAGCGAAGATACAAATCCCATGTCTTTCGGCTGTTATAACGTTTGCCGTGAGTGGTGCCCGATGCCTATTGTTTGCCAGCTCTGAAAAATTGTTCGGCTTTAGGCAAGGTTCTTTCGAGTGACGTGTCTGTCTACTGGAACATAACCTCCAATTCTAGATTCCACTCTGGTTCTCTGTGACAGAACAACAAGCTTCATACCTTCCTTTTTCCTGGCTACCTTCTATATGCTATTCTCTGGCCTGATTACTTCAACCGCAAAATCAGGTCAGGAACGTTCCATGAGATTCTGGCCATCCACGCGGACAGCCTTCTGAGATGGAATGAAGAAGCACGTTTTCGTTATACTTGCGCCTGATCTAATCTAATCGGTGGAGTACGGTCATTGGCCCCTATGTTTCTCTGTCGCTGGCGAGGGCGGGTATGCGTATGTGCCTCACAGATGATCTCTTACCCGGCCGAGGAGTTGTCACTCCTCGTCTTCTTTGAACATGTTCTTGTGCGGGGATTGCCAACTTTCGGACCAATGGCAGGCGGGTCATCTCCCTCAAATACTGCCCGCGCGTCTGCTGTCGAGGGTGCCAAGCACGCTGCGTCAAGTCAAGAATTTTGCATAAAGATGCAGAGTCAATTGTGTAAGGTCGACGCATCCCCTGGATGATTTTGCTATGATCTCCGCTTGCACTGGGCGTCATGGACCCTTCAGAAATGATGAGTGCCTCCTTGGCGAGTGCGTACGTTTCAGCAGCTGGCTTGGCAAGATCATTTCTTTCACCAGTATCACAGGCTAATTCTTCCTCAGGTCATCGTACTCTATGACATTATGTTAACAACGAGCTCTGAGGTAGTCATCTCTCACTCACATGGAGCATCGGTCAATTTCATCACACTCACCAGATTCGACTCATCTGGGGTGCGTCGATGTCAGTCGCAAAGGCATTGTATCTCTACAATCGGTACACTGTACCGGTTGCGTTGGTCATCAATGCTTATAGTGAGTGTTGAAGGACAACCGGTTCCCTTGTGTTCTCAACATCGGATAGTGATGGCCGGATTTGCGGTGCCAGTGAGCCCGGAGGTACGTAAACTTGCCGATTATGGAACAGAAGTGCTGACAATTTCCAACAGTTGTAAGTATCTCGTACATTACCCGGCTGTCGTTTAGACTGCTTCCTCTCAGTTGTGCAAAGTTTTCTTTGGGTCTCGGCATTTATCAGCTAGGCTGTTCAGTTGGGGTACTGCCTAGTACGGCGATCCTTCCTATTCTGAATCGTCCAGTCCTGATTTCATCACAGCGATGCTTCTTCTCAGAGTATACGCACTCTATGAACGCAATTGGCGTGTTTTAGCAGGTCTTGGAATCTTTGCGTTCGCAGGGCTGACAACATGCCTGACACTGGTTGTTTATGGAATGTTGAGAGACTTCAGTGAGTAACACATGCCCTTACACGTCGGAAACTCAGGTTGCATTAGCTCAGCAAATATACATCCCCTTCACCCATACTTGTGCATATCAGGGTATGACGACATACATGTGGGCGGTCTGGCTCATACTTGTGAGATCGCACCTTGACGTGCTGATTCAATTGCTGACCTTTGTTCCCAGAACCTCTATTCCATCTCCTTCGAGACGTTGATCGTAATTCTTATTGTCATCCGCACATGGCGTAATAAACGCCGGCTATGGAGAAGGAGAGATACTCCCGCCCCTCTTACCGACGTGCTGCTGACGGATGGTCTGATATACTTCTGTGTACGCCATTGTTTAATCGATATTAGACCTTTTCCTGACGAGCCCTAGACCATGGTTTGTCAGTGTTGAGAGTTCTTTCCGAGTTGGACATGCCTCATGCTGTGTCTAGTACTTCTCATCGCCGGCCTGATCGATTACATCGTGGCACCAGTCAGTATGATCATCGCTGCCTCTCCATTATGTCCTAACCCGCTTGCCAGGACCCATATGCCCTAGTGGGAATCTAGTACGTAGGCTCCCATAAATGAGTAAACGGCACTAAAGGGCACGTCTAGTTTCCTCTGGTCAATCCACGCCACCCTCGTATCCCGGTAAGCTCTCTTCCCCAATCCGACCCTCATCTCCTAACGCACAGCCAGCATCTACCTCCATCTGCGGGACGTCTCCTCCCATGTCGACTGGACAGTGCACACAGACGTCCGCCCCCCAGTCCCCTTCGCGACCAGGTCCAGCCCTCCTCCATTACTCCCTCTCCCTAGACCCCGTGAGGTACCCTCTCGCAGGGGGAAGCTCAGGCTCATGTCGGACGCCTCGCGTATAGTGGCTGAAGCGGGAGTGCTGGATATTAGTCGTTCTCGTGCTGCTGCCGAGTTGCCAATGATAGAGATCACGCTCGCTTCCCCTACTTTGGAACCGGAAGACACGGGGACGTCGCCTGAGGGAAATCAAGCGTGGAGGGAAGAGAGCTGCTGGTGGCCTGATAGTGAAGAAGAGGAAGAGATAGACAAGCCAGGCGAGGAAGGGAAGACCCGATCGTCGATCAGCACCTTTACGCATGCTTGGTGGAGCCGGAACGTCTCGCGGGCCACACTCCGGTCGAGGGAGACGAACATGGACAGCCAACCGAAGATGGGGATCCCGATGCATCAACTGGGAGGGAGAGGGGAAGTAGAGGAAGATGAGATCGGTCGAGCTTTATAGCAGTTATTGTTTCCCTAGGAACACACGCATCTGTAGCCATATTCAGAACTGCGATTCAGTCTATCGATACAGTCATCTTTATCCGTACATGCACGTCCTTCCCCTTCACTCAGAGACAGTATTTGGATGCAAGGAAGGGGGCGGGATCAGAGCGAACCACCAACACTACCCATCGTGAACGCACTCGCTACCGGCCCGTCGAGCACCGTCATCTCCTCCCTGCTAAACCCGAGGCGTGGGACGACCCACAACCTCAGCGGTACGAGCAAGAAGATGACCACGGGAAAACCGATTGCAGCAATCGTCTGTACGATGGCGAATGTGGCCCCGAACCCTAGGAGCTCTATCAGGAGGAAAAGGAGGACACGGGAACGCCGGGCGGGCAGAAGGGGGTGTGTGGGCAGGAGGAAAGATCGGTCTGTGAGGAGGTAGAGCGCTTTGCTCGTTAGGCCAGAGGTGAAGAGCGCGTCGGTGCCCATATACCAGCTGCTCTGTTTCAGCTAGGGTCTGGGAAGAGGTGGAGAGGGACATACAAGAGTCCTGCTAGGACTCCACGCGGTACCAGGCCTAGGAGGTGCAGGAAAGGAGGGCTAAGGAGGAGGAGACACAGTGCGCCCTGGGCGAGGTTGCTCACTCGCTGCTCAACGACCGCGACGGGTACTTCCCGGCCTGGGTTGACACCTCCCTGCGGGCCGGCCATCGCTCGCTCTGCTTCCTGCTTCTCGGCTTCTGTTTCCGGGTTATGGGCAGGACCTAGGACGAGCAGGGAACGCGCGTGGATCGGAGCTTGCGGGATGAGCCCGTTGGGTGCTGGGAGGCCTAGGAGGCCAGCGAGAAATGTGCTCAGGCCGAGGAGGAAGAAGTCCCAGTGGAAGCCTGGGGGTTTCCGGAGTGGGAAATCCGACGACTGGGCGATGAGGGACTAAGTGAGGTTAGCGGGTGGAACGGGGAGGGATGGGTGATGGAGGGCGTACGGAAACGTTGTGATCGAAGTAGAAGAGGATGAAGAGGATCACACCGAAGGGGAAGGCGATGCCTACCCATTTGGCATCGAGTTGCCAAAAGGGGACGAGCCAGCTTCGGCCCCCGGCGGGCTGGAAGCTCCCCCCAACGGGGAGGATGTCAACGCCTCGCAGCGCACCCCAGTATCCGAGCCCGGTGGTGGCGACGAGGGTTAGGGGCATGCCGTAGTCTGCGCAGAAACGGCGGACGGGACGGGGGAAGTATATGCTGTCTCCGAGTTGGAGCCAGAGGTGGGAGATACCTAGCATGAGCAGGGCGAGGATGATCGATGCCAGTACGGAGGAGGTAGGGATGCTGGGCGTTGACAGTTGGCGCAGGAGGATCTGGACTCCGTACTGAAGGTAAACGACGGAGACGAAGAACCCGAACGTGTCGCATGAGAAACGGGTGACGCGGGAGAGGAAATTGACTGCTCCTGCTAGGGCGGCGATGATGTGCAGGATGGCGGCCCAGAGGTAGACCCAGCCGACGAACTGGAGGTAGTTTGGGGGTGAGGCTTGGGTTTGGAGTATATGGAAGATCGTCGTGTTTAGCACTGTTATGGGGCCTGTGACGCCTAGGATGCATAGGGGCTGAGCACCGAAGATGCTGAATATGAAAGAGGCCATGAAGGATGAGAGCAGGACTTCGGTGACTCCGTACGCAGAGGTCGTCTCGATTAGGTCGAGGGAGAAAGCGATCCCAGGTAGTACACTGGAGAGCAGGGGGTCAATGGGTGAGAATGGTGGATGGGAGGACGCACTTGGAGAAGAATATCATCGTCGTCGCAGGGATGACGCGGTAGTTCCAAGCATCGCGCCAGTCACTCCAGTAGTATGGTGCACGGGCTTTGAGATCTCTGTACATCCCCCGTCCTATATAACCCCACCACCTCGTGCGTGGAGTACGGGAAAGTGTCTCTCTCCCCAAAGTGCTGCAGCTCTCGCTCTCCCTGTCATCTCTCCGTTTCCCAGCGGCCTCCTGGACAGTGGAGGGGAGCTTCATCTCCTCCCTCGCAGGGTAGAGATCTGTGGCCAAAGGAGTGCCAGGCAGTGTGGGTGACATGAGGGGTGTGTCGAGAGGAGTGTGAAGGCGAGAGGGTTGGACGGATGTGCTGGGCGTGGGGCGTTGACGGGATGGTCCTGGGAGGGGGTTGGCCATGGTTGCCTGTATGTGGGTTCCGGAAGATGTGAATGGGTCGACAGTTCTATTCCAGGAGTAGCCTTGTATTTGTATATCCGTGTCTTCTATTCCTAGTGTCGGATTTTATAATGTCATGCAAAGTAAAGCACAAGCACAAGCCCAGATTGTCTTTTATCTTTCTAACCAGTCTTAACCTTGCTAACAAGGTGGAGTAACACAATTCACCAAATTTGGCCGAAAAGGTAAACGCCGAAAGGGACTAAAGCGAGACCCCAAGAGTAAGCATTCGGGGTCCCTCTTTGGTACTTGCCTCTGAGTCGACGTTCACTCATTCATTGCAGCATACACTCACCTCCGAACACAGGTGAACGATGTCCCTCGACAGGTACATCTCTGACAACTCCCTCCGCTTCTTCGGTCTATCAGACAGCAACACCACATCATTCGTCATCGCAGCCGCCTTTGCATCCCGTTCTCCCGACCAGCTATTTACGACACTCGCGAGTGCAGGGCTGCCGGAGACGGCAGAGGCGCGCGCGTTTGTTGAAGAGGTTTGGGGTCGCGCACCTAGGAGGGAGAAGAAGAAGACTCGGGAGGTAGAGGAGAGGAAGAGGAAGGAGCTGGAGGAGAGGGAGGCTAGGGGGAGGAAGTTTGGGTTCTTGATGGAGGAGGAGGAAGAGGCGAGTACGAGCAAGACCAAGAGCAAGGAGAAAGAGAAGGGAAAGGGAAAGGAGGAGAACAGGGTCAAGGGAGTAAAACGCCATTTGAGGCAGAGGGATACAGCGCATGACTGGGAAGACGACGAGGAAGAACAAGCCCGAAAGCGCTCACGCGTCGCCTCCCCGCGGCACACGCCCGAAGCCTCCGGCTCCCGTTCTCCCCCTCCCGGCTCCCCAAAACCAGAACAAGACGAATACGAAGACTCTGCTTTACAAGCCGAGCGCGAGCGACTACAGGACATCAAGGAAAGGGACGAGTTCGCGCGCCGTATACGGGATCGGGATAAGGCGAGCACGAAACGGGTCGTCCAGGACCGGTCGCATGGTGGTGCTTCCGACGCTGCGCGCCGAGCGTTGGGGGACGACGCTGTTGCTCGGGTCGCTGCTATGCCCAGCCTGAGAGAGCGGAGTAGGCAAGAGTACCTCACCAAACGCGAGCAGCAGCAGATCGAGCTCCTGCGAAAAGAGATCGCCGACGAGGAAGCTCTGTTCAGCGGGATGACGCTGACCAAACGGGAGAAGAGGAATATGGAGTATAAGAAGGAGGTGTTGAGGCTCGCTGAGGAGAGACTGGGGATCGACGAAGGCTATGAGGGGTACATGATGCCTGAGGATTATATTACCGAGCAGGGGAAAATCGACAAGCGACGAAAGGAGGCGGTCCTTTACCAGCGGTATGAGGAGCGACGCGGGGAGCGGGAGGCATCAGGATCAGGAGCGGTGGAAGGGAGGTTCACGTCGGATGTGGATGCGTGGGAGCGTGCTCAGACGGAGAAGAGCGCCTTTCGGACAGGGGCTTTGGATAGACCTGAGATGCCGGACGAGTATGAGTATGTGTTTGATGAGAGTCAGACGATCAGGTTCGTCATGGAGAGTACGCTGGGAGGGGAGGGGATGGTTAGCCGGGAAGAGGCGGAATTGAGAGCGAGGATCGAGGAAGCCGAGAAGAGGGGTGCGTTCTCTCCTTCCATTGAAGTGTGTGCATACTCACGCCTTGTAGCGCAAACGATCGAAGAGACACGCAAGTCCCTCCCTATCTACACCTATCGATCCCAGCTCCTTGAAGCCATCTCCCAGCATCAAGTGCTCATCGTTGTCGCCGAGACCGGGTCTGGGAAGACGACCCAGCTCCCGCAATACCTGCACGAAGCCGGGTACACGAAAGGCGGGCTCAAGGTCGGCTGCACCCAGCCCCGGCGTGTAGCTGCCATGTCCGTCGCTGCCCGTGTAGCGGAGGAGATGGGCACTAAGGTGGGGTACGAAGTGGGGTACAGCATCAGGTTCGAGGACTGTACGAGCGATAAGACGGTCTTGAAGTATATGACGGATGGGATGCTGCTCCGAGAGTTTTTGACAGAGCCGGATTTGGCCAGCTATAGTGCGCTTATTATCGATGAGGCGCATGAGAGAACGTTGAGTACGGATATATTGTTCGCTTTGGTTAAGGTACGTCTTTGCCCCACCCATGTGTGGAGTTGCGCTGACCCATTGCGTGGTAGGACATCGCTCGCTTCCGCCCGGACCTACGAGTGCTCATCTCCAGCGCAACGCTCGATGCGCAAAAATTCAGCGACTACTTTGACGGCGCACCCCAGTTCCACGTCCCCGGCCGTCGGTACCCCGTCGACATCCACTACACCCCGCAGCCGGAAGCCAACTACCTCCACGCGAGCATCACCACTGTTTTCCAGATTCATACGACCCAGCCTCTGCCCGGAGACATCCTTGTCTTCCTCACAGGCCAGGACGAGATCGAGGCTGCGATGGAGAACCTGCAGGAGACGGCCCGCGCTCTGGGGAACAAGATCCCCGAGCTGATCGTTTGCCCTATCTATGCGAACCTGCCTAGCGAAATGCAAGCGAAGATCTTCGAACCCACCCCTCCCGGAGCGAGGAAGGTCGTCTTAGCTACCAATATTGCAGAAACGAGCATCACCATAGACGGAGTGGTGTATGTCATCGACCCCGGGTTTGTCAAGCAGAACTCGTACAACCCTCGCACGGGCATGTCATCCCTCGTCGTCGTCCCTATCTCCCGCGCATCGGCGAACCAGCGTGCGGGCCGCGCAGGGCGAGTAGGACCAGGGAAGGCTTTCCGTCTGTATACGAAATGGGCGTACGCGAATGAGCTGGAACAGAATACTGTGCCTGAGATCCAAAGGACAAACTTGGGGATGGTCGTGCTCATGCTTAAGAGTTTGGGAATCAACGATCTCATCGGGTTCGAGTTTATGGACCCGCCCCCGGGGGAGACACTGCTCCGCGCTGTAGAGCTGCTGTATGCCCTTGGGGCGCTGAACCATAATGGCGAGCTGACGAAGCTTGGGCGAAGGATGGCTGAGTTCCCCGTCGACCCGATGCTCTCCAAGGCGATTATCGAGAGTGAGAAATATCACTGCGTGGACGAGGTGCTGTCTATTATCAGCATGCTGCAGGAGTCGAGCTCCCTTTTCTACCGACCGAAGGACAAGAAGCTGCATGCGGACCAGGCGAGGCAGAACTTTGTCCGCCAGGGAGGGGACCACTTCACCCTCCTGAACGTGTGGGAGCAATGGGCAGACACGAACTACAGCATGACTTGGTGCTACGAGAACTTTGTCCAGCACAAGGTGCTCTCCCGCGTGCGGGATATCCGGGACCAGCTCGCAGGCCTGTGCGAGCGCGTTGAGGTCGTCGTCGAATCCAACCCTAACTCGAACGATATCGTCCCTGTGCAGAAGGCGATCACCTCTGGCTATTTCTACAACACTGCGCATCTCCAGAGGAGTGGCGACAGCTACAGGACGATCAAGATGAACCAGGTTGTGTATATCCACCCGAGCAGCAGCTTGTTCCAGCAACAACCGCCGCCGAAGGCTGTGTTGTACTATGAGCTCGTGTTGACGTCAAAGCAGTACCTCAGGCAAGTCATGGAGATCAAGCCCCAGTGGCTTCTCGAAGTTGCTCCGCATGCGTTCAAGGAAGCAGATATCGAGAAGCTTGCAGGTGGGGATCAGAAGAAGATGCCCAAGGCTGTGGGTGCGTCTTCGGCCGCTGCAAAGTCATGATCGCAGTCATTGGTGAATTTGTTGGTGAGAATATTGTTTTATGTATTCCATTATCTGTTGCGATCTGTTGCGGTTGATTCGCTCCGAAACCTTCCCGGAGCTTCAGGGAGAGAAGCATGGAAGCGGGCCAGACGGCCGGGATAACAGTACCCTGGGATCTGAGATAGAGTGTGGAATACGATATTGCCGGGTTTGTATTGCAATGTATGTATTTCCCAAGGAGCACATTGTTGGACGATTCCTTTTCCCTTGCTTTTTTCCCGGGGCTCTTATCCCACGCTGCCAAGCAACATGGAAGTCAAAAGCCCACGGGTATGACATGGATTTGACTCACATGGACGCTGATGGGCGCCACACGTCAGTGAGGCGGATATTCACACTCTCCGCATCACAGTCCCTTTCTTAGCGCTTTCCAGTCAGCCTCAGCGGCACGGGCCATCCCCGGGCACCGCTCATCAACAGTTAACAATCGCACACGACCCCCCTTTGCCCCTTTTCTCCTTTCCTTCATCTATAACTACCACGTCTTGGCCCTTTAGCAAAGTTTTCAAGCAAAGGAAACGAGACGATGCCGGAAGAAACGCAGCTTTTTCTCGCGGAAGACTTTGTCATCTCATGCGGCTGCGTAGTCTTCATCCCTTCCACTTCTCAAATCGTGCTTGTCAAATCTCTCAGCGCGACGCAGTCTGGCTCATGGCTACTGCCCAAAGGACGGAAGAACGTAGGGGAGACGCTCGAGGCGGCTGCCGTGCGGGAGGCGTTCGAGGAGACTGGGTGCGAGTGCGAGCTCTTGCCCTGCGTACTCGGCACCCGCGCGACCGACTCAGCGGTTCTTGGTCGCGTGCGAGATGTTGTTCGGAACACAAGCTGTACAGAACCCATTGCGGTGCAGATGCGGCAGACAAGGCATGGGCACCAGAAGATGATCTTCTGGTTTATTGGCAAGGTGCGTCCGCGGCCCGTCGCCCATCCACTTATGGGTCACACGACCATCAAAGAAATTCTGATCAAATGCTGATTTGGGCAATTCCTTTTTCAGATGAAAGACGGATGTACCCCTCAACCGCTCGAGGAACACGAGCATTACGAGGTCGGCTTCTTTGGCTATGACGAGGCAATCGTGCAGCTCAGGTGGGACCACGATCGCGAAATCGTTAGGAAGGCAGTGCAGATTGTTCGTGCACAGTCGAATCCACCGGCAATCACATCCGTGCCGGTCATGAAAGCGGCAAAGTCTACGATGATCATCACCAACGGTCAGACAAATGGCCTAACAAATGCTCAGTCAAACGGTCAGTCAAATGGGTCAAACGGCAAGTCAAACGGGTCAAACGGCAAGTCAGACGGGTCAAACGGCAAAACAAACGGGTCAAACAACAAAACGAACAGGTCAAACTGCCAGTCAAATGGTCAGTCAAATGTTCAGTTGAATGGGCAGTCGAACGGTCAGCATACCAAAGCATTGTGACACGACATACGGAGCGAACGGAGGGAGGAAATAGGGATGGATATACAGTACAGGCCCGCCGGGAGTGGCAAAACGACAAGACATGACATAGCCTATTCATCATCCTCATCATCCTCACCCTCGCCCATCGCCTCATCGTCATCACCTCTAGCAGCGACCGGCTCGTCATCCTCGATCACGAATTCCTCCACTCCACCATCTTCAGTCCACATCGCCCTCAGCCTGACCCTAAACTCTGCCATCTGCACCCCTAACAGTTTCAGTAGCTGCGCCTGCTCCGAACTCAGTTTTTTGCCGACGGTGCACACGACATGTGGTGTTTCGACAGAAGGGATACCCCGCACGAGCTTGGTTGATAAGCCAAGTTTGCGCAGTTGGGGCTCCATACTGTGCGGAAAGGGAGAATCCGGGTCGTTGTACTGTACTATCGGGCCTGCACTCACGAAATGTATGAAACACAAATACATTAGACAATTTTGTAATGATGAAAAATGCACGCACCGGCAGGCAGGGTTACCGTCTGACTGGCAATGTTCCCCGCACGCGCAAAGTCCTTCTGTCGGAAGTCGTCAAACCAGGCTTTGGTCTCCTCTTTCTCCCAGTCGGTGAAGAATAAGCCTACAGGCCCTTCTAGCCGCTGTTCGGGAGGTTAGCGATACTCGGCATGAGGAGAAAAGAACGCACGTTGGCAAGCTTTCGTAACTGGGGCTTCAGCTCCTCTTCCTCAGACGTGCCGAGCGCCTTGGCCATCACTTTATTCCGACCAAAAAACAGCCGCCCCGTCCTATACGCCGAATGAAGATAAATATGTTAAGTACTCGCACACATGAGCAAGAGAGCGAAGTACCCCTTCCAGGCCTTCCTCACGTCCTTAAGCGCCCCGTTTCGCATATCGGACACGTCAAAGACGTAAACATATTTCCACTTCGATACATTTTCTTTTATCTGCAGTCACAATGTGAGTTCTCATTCAGAGTAGACTAAAACGGAGATGGAAAGGAACTTACATCTTCGATGAGCTTCGCCTTGTTCTCTTTCGTCTTCTTGTCGGTTTTAGTGAGCGAAACTGCGTCGATGTCAGCATTTCTATTTCCATAAGAAACCTAGTAATACTCACCGACCTTCGACCTCTTTGATTTTGGCATTTTGATTGTTTAAACGTCGTAACGAAAGGGTATGGCGACGTAGGAAAAAGTGGTCGAAATAATCGTCAGGGTCCACTACATAGCAAAACTGACAGCGAATTTTCAGCGCTGTTTGACGGCGCCACTCTCAGTCTTAAGCGCCCATGTGCTAGCAACTTGAACTCCCTATACCATCTCATCTGTGATCTGTGTGCTCTTTCTTATAAATTGGGATGCCTGTGGAACAGCAGCTAGTATCGGATGCTGAGCTCGAGAAGCTCGAATCTGTTCTGTTGAACAAGGCGGGGGACGTTTCCCTTCACCGACGGTTTCGGGCGTTGTTCACCTTGAGGAATTTGGATGACGACCGAGCGGTAAAAGCTATCTCCAATGGTGTGCCTCATCCCATACTCTAATTTGCAATTCATCAGGTGCTAACGATGTAGAAGGGTTCGCTGATGAGTCGGCGTTGTTGAAGCACGAGCTTGCATATTGCCTGGGCCAGATGAAGCGTACATCCGCACTTCCGATCCTCGAACATGTCCTTCGAGATACCCACGAAGACCCCATGGTACGACACGAAGCCGCCGAAGCTCTGGGTGCGATCGCCCACCCCACCTCCATGCCCGTCCTCCAGCAGTATATCTCTGACCCAGACCGCGCTGTGCGCGAGACGTGCGAGATCGCCCTTGCCAAGGTCGTATTTGATAATTCTCCGGAGGGGAAGGAGTTCCGCTCTAGGGAGAGAAGCGAGTTTACGTCGATCGATCCAGCGCCTCCAAGCGAGGAGAAGGAGGAGATCCCTGCTCTCCGAGCGCGCCTCCTCGACATCTCTTTGCCGCTTTTCCAGCGGTACCGCGCAATGTTCGCTCTACGGGACATCGGTACTCCTACAGCGATCGACGCGCTTGCAGACGGCTTTACAGACTCGAGCGACCTCTTCAAGCACGAGATTGCTTTCGTCTTCGGACAGATGAGCGACCCACATTCGGTGCCCGCGCTTCTCAAAGTGCTCCAGAAGCCGACAGAAGCGGACATGGTACGGCACGAGGCTGCTGAAGCACTCGGCGGGATTGCCACAGACGACGTACTCCTACATCTGAGGGAATGGAACAAACGTCCTGACGCACCGAGGGTGGTGAGGGAGAGTTGTGAGATCGCACTGGATATGTATGAGTACGAGCGGAGTGGGGACCTGGAGTACGCGGATGGGGGAGAGACGGAGAAGGGAGGCGAGGCTGTTACTGTTGTCGTTTGAATAGATGGGAACACGAACGAGGCAATCTGGAATGTCTAGACCTGTATGACTTGTCATTTGTAGTTTATAATCCCACATCACTCTTCCACGCTGACCACGACGCTCCACTTTGATTAGCAATAAGCCATATCATTTGATTTTAATATACAATCTTTGACAATGGAACAACAATACATAGCTAGGGCGGCTTAACTGCATTTTACAAGCTCACGAGGTTGTTTCATTGTACCTTTACGTTGACTTTGTTCTTGTAAAAGGCGAAGTAATCCTTGATCTCAGCAGCCGCAGCTTTGGGTCGGGATAGTACCTACGCACTGTGTCGGTATTGTTCAAGAGGATCGTGGTAGCTACGTACCAGGCCGCATCAGGAATAACTGTTCCGTCGGATAACTTGAGGTTGTAGTAGCTGGCCAACCTACCCAGCAGCTTCAGTCTTGGAGCACTTTCCGATCCAAAAAAAAGGCACTCACCCCTTCCAAGGGCATGTCGTATGCGTATCGCTCTTTTCAAATAGGCTCTGGTCCTGCAGCGCCGAAGGTGGGAAGTACTGGTTCCCCTCGACAACGACGGTCGCGTCGGACTGGGCGATGAGGGTGCCGTTGAGAGAGGCGGTTGCGGACGGCATTTTGTAGGTCACGGACGTTTGAATAGATCTTCGAAAGACGAGGAGCGAGCTGTTAGCCAGAGTGAATGGTTGCTTGAGAGAGAAGGGGCGCGTCTACATTACACCCCCGATGGATTTCCAGAGAGATCAAAGGGATCGATCGAGATGACGAAGCACAAGGTGTGAGATGCGGGGTATCATGGCCCATTTTAGACAGTCGCTGACAAACCACTTAAAGGAAGGCCTAGAACGCTTTGCTCTCAAGCCAAGACTCTGTCACAAGCGGCAATGCAAGTCATCCATAAAATTGCAACGGGGGTCATTGATTTCTTTCACTTTACACATACATATATCGGTTATCCGTGTTGTTCAACTCCGTCAACCCAATCCAAATTCTTCAAGGTCATAACATCACGCATCCGGGAACTCTTCCTTCATCCTTTGTAGATCCGCCTCAAAGCTCTCTCGAACCTTCACTGCAAATGAAGAATCTGTAAGTACCTTCATCCCAGTGAGCGCGATCCCTTTCGCGGCGACGAGGGTTGCGGCGTGTGCTTCGGGTGTTGCGGCGGCCGCTGTGAACAGCGGGTTGTGGTTTCCTCCACCTGGTTTGGTGGGGATGGCATAAACTGGGTGAAGGCCGGGAAGGGCATGGGAGACATTTCCCTGTATAATGGTTAGACATCGTCGACTCGGGTTTACAAGGACAGGCAAACGAACAAAGTCTGTCGAAGCACCAAAGAATCCCTCCGGACCAAGGTCAACCTTATTCCCGAACTGTCCCTCCACGATATTCTTATACTCCTCCGCTGCGGAAAAAACCATCAGCGCTTAAACCTGTCGAAGAGTTGAATTGGCCTACCTAGTGGTTTGTTTGTAAGCAAGTCGATCATCATCGACTGTTCAGTTATCTTCGTCTCGCAACCTGCTGCCAGTCCTCCTGCACTGTCTCCTTGTAAGCCATATCTTCACCGAAGCAACCCACGTCAGCACGTACGTAAAACATTCCTTTACTCTCTTCATAACCGGCCCGATCTCCTGATACCTCGGCGTCCGGACATAATAGCTCAGCTTGGCATAGTCTGGCACGACGTTAGGCGTCCAGTCCTTTCCTTCCAAACTGCCGTGCACGCGGGTTGTCGGTTTCAGCTGCTGGCGGAGGGTCGAGATGGACGTGTATGCAATAACGGCTGCATCCAGCGCGTTGCGTCCATCCCATGGGGCAAATGCGGCATGGGCGCTCTAAGGATGTTAGCTGTGGTTTTTCAAGGTGGAAGAGGATACGCACGTATGACCCGTATACTCGACCTCTACCTGCGCCCTTGCAAGACAACTGTTCGCACCATGCCAGTCTTTCGCACCGGGGCGAGGGTGGATCCTGTGAGATGTTAGGATTTTACTCGGTCCAACGTTCCGACCGCGTACATCAGGCAAGCGTCCAGCCCGTCGTAGGCTCCTCTCTTCAACAGTATACACTTTCCATCTCCTCCCTCTTCCGCCGGTGTGCCCATAAGCGTGACGGTTCCCGAAATGTTGTGTTGCTTCATCGCTTCTGCAACACCCAACGCGGCTGCGACGCCCCTGATATCCCATCAGTTCGCATTCCTTCACCTACAGACCAGAACGCACCCAATCGCGATCAAATTATGACCACAAGCATGTCCGATACCTGGCAGCGCATCCATCTCGCTGTTGAAGCCAAGGTTCCTTCCTCCAGAGCCATGGGTAAACGTCGCGACCCATGCGGTATCCAAATCCTTCCAGTGTGGGGTAACGTTGAATCCCTTGGACTCCATAAACTTCGTTAGAACATCATGGGCGTATCTAAGCTTGGCATGAAACAAGATCCAACAGAGTGGGTGGGATGAGAACGCACTTCTCCTCGAAGCGGAGCTCGGGATGTTCTAGATATAGTAAGTACAATGCTCTACTAGGAGTGGGTGACGACGGACCGTGAATGCCAAGGCTGAGCTTGCGGAGTTCCCCACTCAACTCGTCGATCTTCTCCGTAATCGTCTTGGAGATAACGTTGCTATCAGTCATGATTACGGAAAAGTGAAGATCCCAAAGTTGAGGAGGAATCAAAAGACTAATATCTTGCCAGATGTGGTGGAGTCAGGGTGGCAAGATGAGTGATATTCGTTTTACGGGCTCTTGTATTGCGTCTGCAGCTGTGTGATACCACGTGCTGCTTGTGGATTGCTGTTATTGTGTTAGTGATATTCATTCATAACGCCCATGTTGGCCAATGCTTACGGCCGATGATCGTCGGCCCGATTCCTCAGATTTGGAGATCCGATGGACGTTTCCGTACCTCCGGAATGTAAACATGGCAACGGTAAGTTTCGGCCCGATGTTTCGGTACGTTCTCTCTCTTCTACACCTCTGCGCTAGTCATCGACACCTACCTTAGCTACAACTACGCTTTACCACGCTCTAGGCGATGGCGAGAATTCAACGCTCAATCTGGCAACTCGGGATTGGTTAACCTATACATTTGGCTCATAGCTCTTCCAATGAACGGCTGTGTCGTCTTCGACCTTCCGACAGATAATCATGCTCGTACACCTGGCGTTGTGTGCTGGTTCTCGTTCCTGTCTCATCTTTTCTCTCAACCTCAACTTCAATGGATCGCAAAGGCAAAGGCAAAAGCAAAGCTGGCTACAAACCCCTACCAACCGATGGGCCGGTCTCATCTGAGCCAGATATGGAGCTGACAACATTGACGGGTCCTCCTCCTGCCCAAGGTACCGCCCGCTTTCCAACACGGTATCTGATGGACGATTATCGACTAGACGACGAGCGCAAAAACGAACGCGAAGAGGATCAACACGGTGTACCGTATCATGAAAAGCAGTGGCCGATGCATAGGCGTGTATGGAGAAAGCGCTGGTGCGAATGGAGGGTCATGTTGCTGGTTTTCCTCGCCACACTCGTATTTGGTACAATGGTGTGGGCTATCAGTGCTGCACCTGGAGTACGTAATGTCCTCAAATTATTTGGCATATGCTCACCTCTTCGCAGCCCCGCGGACCCGACTCACCGACAGGTGACACGGTCATCGCTTTCGGCTCCGACCTGGGCTGCACCGCTCCCCATTTCTTCAATGACCCGCGCAATGCCAACCTCACCATTGGCAACACCACGTGGATCCACATCGGCATCCCTCCATCTGGGGAGTTTACACTCACCACACTAGGGTGGATCGCCACAGGCACTATTAGCATCACGTGGGATCGTTCGCTCCCCTCCGACCTCGCAAGTCTGGGGATAAGCCTCGCCAGCCAAGACCCAGGCTTCTTCGACTGGACAATCCAGTACGGCTCTGAATTCCCGGGGCTGTACCTCGAAGTGTACGACGAAGCGAACGACATGCGCAATTGTGTGGTGTATAACCTCACACTTGGCCTGCCGTGGGAAATCAGCACTCTCACGCTCGATCTGCGTTCCCGTGCACAGGTGCGGGTCACCCCTCCCGCAAACGTAGGGGTCGACGATGGGAGCGCGGCCCTTCCCGCACACACCCTAGAAGAACTCCATGCACAGTTCTCGAGCAACCGAACGGGCAGCTTGCTGCTGTTGAGCGAAGGACTGAGAACGGAACGAGCGAGCATCGACATGGCAATCGGGGAGATTACCGGGAGCTGGCCGAAACCGAAGGCATTGAATCTCAGTTTGGGGGAGGGGGTGACGATAGGCGCAGGGTTTGAGCTGTTCCCGTTTGATGGATGAGGCTGTGGAGCTGGAACGGGAAACAGGAGGCAGTGGACTGGGACTGAGACTATGTGTTACAGTTTGTATCTGTTTTTCTTCATCATGCCTGAATCGTGTCGCCAGTGGATCATATTATACACACTCCATAACCGACGATATTCCGATTCCAATTGTTCTTTCCGCGCGCCCCGCGTCCAGCGCCGAGCCGCCCAGGTGGACGTTCCGGGGGTCATTACATGCATGCATAAGGTATCGAGGGCGTGCGTGAAGCGTGAAGAAGTAAAGAGAGGATCCACTCTTTAAACAAAAATAAGACGAGACAAAACCAACTCGGAAATAAAACATGAGCGAAGCGCGTAGGGAAGGGAAGAGCAGGAGGACAGGTCGTCGCCCCCGGGGGGTATGTAATCTGCATGCGTATCCGCGGATAGGTCATGCGTTCGTACATGCACACATATTGTGCATGCCATCATGGCTGCCAGACACTGTCCGCAACCGTAATCCACTCCGTGGCAAAGCTCAGGGAATCGTCTCCGCCCATGCGACAAGATCATACCCCTCCTCTCGAGCCCTGATCATCCATCTATCCCCGAGGAGCTCCTTAGGGCTCGGCCTGTCCTCAGGCTTCTTCTCCAGTAACTTGGCGACGAAGTCGCGCGCCTCCTGACCGTACTTCGCCGCTGGTAAGGTGGGCGCAGGCTCGTTGACAATGTGCTGCAAGAGCTCGAGGATGGACATTGTCATCCCGCCACCTTGAAGGGAAACACCGCGCGACTTGCGCCTGTTCTTCTTAACGTTGGTCGCAGCGGATAGCTTGGGCGCGCCGCGCGAGGTCTGCGGGGTGGTAGTGGTGTCCGTATCGGCGGCGGAGTGGGTCGAAGCAGAGGAGATGGAAATAGTAGGAGGGGGGATGGCGAGCGGTGCGCGGCGCGGGGAGAGTGTGCCCTCGCCAAAAGAATCCTCGCTGTCCGCGAAACTCCGCTCTGTGTCTACAGAAGAGGCACTAGACAGCCCGTTGGCAATGTAATGCGCGATATCTGCATCTGCGTCTGCGTCTGCGTCTTCGTCTTCTTCGTCTGATTCTTCTAGCTCGGAATCATCGTCGCTGAAAGGGAACCTGCCAAGAGCAAGCTCGATCAAGGTGATACCAAGTGACCACACGTCCGACTTGACAGTATACTGTGCACCCTGGATACGCTCGGGCTATGTGAAGCGTTAGGGCTATACAATTGGCGAAAGAAGGGACTGACGCTCATATAGGTACTCGTGCCCACAAACGTGTCCGCAATACTGTTAATCAGCTCCCCGCTGACACCGAAATCGCACAGCTTGATCTGTCCAGCCGAGTTGAACAAGATGTTACTCGGTTTGATATCTGTGTGTGTGTCAGCAAATTGGTCCGAAGCAGCGGGGACGAAACGCACCTCGGTGAATAATGCGGTGGGCGTCGTATAAATATGTAAGCCCCTCAAGCACAGCCAGCGCAATCTGCGCCACGACTTCAATGTCGATCGCACCGATCCGTTTGTATATCTGGTCCAAACTCCTGTATGCCGCATTAGCATCATTCGAGCACACGATCAAGCAGCACCATAGATTAGGAAAATGAGAACGTACCCTTTGTCCGCGAACTCCATACATATGCATATATGTGGGTCGGCGACAAACGCGCCGTAAAAGGAGATAATCCGGGTAGAACGACAGTCGTGCATGATCTGTAGCTCACGAAGGATTTGTTTCCTCACCGCAGGCTTAGCATCAATGAGTACCAACTATTAAGCTGTCAGCATCACGTCCCATCCCCGCCCGCGAAAATGGAGAGAACACACCTTCCGTGCCATCGTTTTCCCCGTTGGGATATGCATGACCTTGCTGACCGTCCCTCCATTACCCTGCCCAAGCTCACAAATTGTCTTCAAATCCTCGACCTTCAACTCGATCCTCTCCCCCTTCTCGCCCATCTCCAGCGTTGCCAGTTGTTCCGAAAGCTTGTTCTGCAGGTTTGTCCTCTGGCTGCCGGTGTTTGGTGTTCCACCGGGGTAGGAAGAGTATCCGAAGGGTGAGGATCCACCGGCAGATGAAGCGCTACGCGCCGGGGAGACGTGTACTCCGTTCTCTTTCGGTTCTTTGGGGAGGGCCTTGCTTTTGGAGACGTCGAGCAGAGGGGGTGGGCGACGTCTACCTCCCCCACCACCACCGAGAGGCGGAGGGCGGAGGGTGGAGATACCACCTCCCATTGGCGGCTTGGGGACCGAGAGGAGTGGTGGAGTAGGCAGCGGATGATCGGGTGTGATCGTCGCTTCCCTGCTGACGATCGCGCCGCCAACACCTGCGAGCATCGCGCTTGGCATAGAAAGAGATGAGCCTGGAGAGGGCGCGACCGGAGATATGGCCAGTCCGAGAGGCTTGAAGTTACGCTTCTTTCTAACGAGGGGCGAGGATGGTGATGGGGAGCCTGAAGGGGAGACTGAGGTGTTGATGTTGATGGATGCTGGAGAGAGAGTTGAGGAGGAGAGCGTCGAGGAGGAGAGAGAGGAAGAGGAAAGTGTGGACGGTGTTGGCGAAGCTTGCATGACTGAAGAGAAGTTGTAGCAAATAGCCTATACGAAATGGTTGTTTGGGACGTGTATGAACAGTGGGGATTTGATGAACGACGATGGGATGCGATGCCACAGTGAAACGTCACTCGGGGCTGTGAATGCACTGCAACAGTGTTAAGAGATATATCCCCGTCGCCGTCTGTTCCAAGTATTGATAGTCCCCCGTCGAAGACGTCCAATAAGCAGCAGGATGCGGTGAGCAAAGAGAGACGACGTCCACACCGTTTGGTCCCGCACGACGGGTGGTCAGGGGTTATGCAGTGTAAATTATACCCTGCGCCTCTTTTCTTTTCTTTTTACCTCTTCACTTGACAAATACTCGGAGGGGCATCCCACTCTATTGAACAAGGAATCTTCTCCCAGAACTCCAGCTGCAACCTGAGCTTATGTCACATCGTCAAACCCGCATAGAATAATAAGAAGCATCTGGGGTCGGACGACGTGATCAATCCCGGACCGTCCCCGTCTTCCTGATATGCACGTGAACCAAATGCAGCCCGTCAGAGCAAGTTCACGTTCTCTTCTAGACGACAGCCTCTAGACCCCTCCCTCGTCAGAGAGCATGAATGTTGTCATTAGTGACGAGCCTCCTGGTTGCTTGTTATTGTGATAAATCATATCATCCATCGCGTGATGACTTTGGCTTCTGGCAACAACATTAATATGCTTAATGATCTGATCTCGCTTACAATATTCAGCTTCCCCTCTTCAGCCGAAGCTCTGATTCCCCCTTCCCCTCGAAGCCTATGCCATTCTCCATTCCCCCTGCCAACACCCATAGCGTAGATGATCAGCAATCCCAGCCCCCTGCCCCGTGTGTGGCTTTCCTCTACCGAACAGGTCTGTTCTGACGATCTTGGCAGGATATTAGGCCGTGCATCGGAAACATGTCTCGCTTGCTCTAGATCTCTCTGCTTCACAATGACTCTGCACGTGGGTGTCACGTGCCGCTCTCAGGGCGCTCGGGAGGCACTGCGGTGCATGACATCGTATTTCGGAAAAAGCAAGGCACCGCCTCAAAGGTCGCAATTCCGAACAACAAAAGCATGGGCGCCAACATGGTCATTACCCATCTCATAAATAACAAACAGACCATTATCCTCAACATAGATGAGACATGGACCCGCTCTCGATCGTCACCTCGGTCTGTACGCTCGCCTCCAACCTCCAGACATGGTTCGGAGTGCGCCAAGAGCAGACAGACGTCGCGCGGAACCTAGCGCTGACCGTGGCGCAGATCCACAGCATCACCCTGCAATTCCAGTCTCGGGAAGCGGCGCAGAAGCTCACGCCAGCGGTGATCGCCTCCTTTCGCGCTCTGGCGTCTACCCTCCTCTGCACGCAGGACCATCTCCTCCAGCTGAACGGGGAATCCCCACTGAATGGAAAGGGGAAGAACGTCTTCCAGCAAGCGGTGGAATTTCTCCGCCCCGACGATGTCACCAAGAAGCTGATGAGTGACGAGAAGCAACTGACGAATCAGCTGGTTGTTATCCTCTTCGGCGTGACAATGCAAAGCTTCTTCTCCGGGCCCTCCCAGGGTGTATCTGTATCTAGCAATACTGACAATACGGAAGACCTGGTTCTAGCGACTGTCTCAGACAGAGAAATCCGGAGTTTCTGGAAAGACTACGTCGGCGCTAAAGTGTGACCGGTTTCTCCGATTCTTCGTCTGATGACTCACCTTGCTCACAGCTACTCTGCGTGCCTCCGAACACGTTTGCCACTTCCCTCAAGGCATGGTACAAATCTGGACTGTCGGATTCAGCATGCGAGGCCTTGCTCTTCCGGTTGGACGAGTATGCGGTGGGGGGAATCACCCCAAGCAGCCTGGAGAACTTTACACAGGGAAGGAGTCTCCGGGTAGTCATCGACGAGTTCACAAAACAAAGTGTGTTCTATTCTCTCCGCTACTTTATGGTGATATTGAGTTGGCTTGACAGAGCACATTATGCCGTCTAATGGTAAGACGCAGGGAGCAGGACCAGCTGTTGCAAAGATCGTATCTTCCCCCTCCAGTAACCTACGAATCCCCCTCCTGATATGGATGGATGACGACCCCAAAAACAACCTCCAAACGGTTGCATTTGCACGATCGCTGGGTATCCTAGTTATTGAACTCACTTCGACTGCTCTTGCCAAGTGCTGGTTTGAGGAGAATGAAGGTACGTCCGGTGTTCTCCGTACTCTCGGAGGGTTTGTTAACCTATTCTTAGCATTCGTGCGCGCCCACGATACGGCATCTCAGATCCGTGTCATATCTGATAACGCACGTTACGAGTCTGAGAATGTGCCTGTTGGGGCGGGAAGACAGTCCTTCGCTCAGCAGGGCGAGGACAGCGTGTTCCTGAACTGGAGTGCGGGCGAGCAAATTCTTCGCTACCTGCGCGGACGGCGGTACGTGATGCCCGTGCTTATCCATAACAGTCAACCTATGCGCACGGGGTATGTATTACAGTATGCACAGGCGGGGAGTACGACGAACACCACAGTGGTAACGCGGTACTGCCAGGCATTGGCCCAACGACGCAACGACGATGCGGAATGGAGACGATTCAATGCATAACCGAGTTAACGGCTGCATGCCGCTGTACTTGTATTCACTTATGCACTGCTTGTAATCGAACAAATCCGTGATCCATTTCTCCGTACATATGATACAAAGGAATTGACCGCAGACGACCTAAAGGAAAGGAGGTTTATGCTAGAAACGATTGTTCCATCGTTTGGGGCGGAACTGGGGTACAACGCTGATATAAAAAAGGAATAGAGCAGCAAGGGTGGTGACATGTACGGTAAATCGAATGCGGTTTTGGTTGCGTGGTGGTCGATGGTAGAAAGAAAGGAAACTGCGAAAGGGAGGGAATGAAGGTTGTTACCGAGATGCGCAGTCTAGATGAACGACAGTGGCCCGAAAGTTGAAGAGAAAACGAGAGAAGGAAGTTATAGTACACACAGTAAAATCCCGCGCCAAAACTAGAATTGGAACTGGGCCTCCAACATCACATGACAACACACTTGCAACCACTGGTGTGCTTTTCCTCGTCGCGATCGACCTCCATAGCGAACTCCGCTGGGGGTGAGATTTTGATCTTCGGCGGCTTGGATTGCCGAATGTCCTTGCTGCGTTCGATGGCGGTGCTGGATTTCTGGAGCTTTACATCTGCAGCTTGCACAGGTGTACGTTCCGACAGTGGAGAATACGAGGCGAACGGCGCAGGAGATGATATCCTTGGCGGTACCTGCACAGGAGGGCTCTCGACAGGGGGCTTTGGGGGAGTAATCTCTCTTGATACCCTGTGGGAAATCTTCTCTGGGGGAGCAAGATGTCCATCGGCAGACTGTGGTGAGAGCGGTCGGGGAGTGTGAGCCACTGTATCTGAAGGCGTTGGTGCACGATATTTCGAATGGTCGTAATCGAATGTTCCTGGGGCAGGGGGATAAATCACCTCTTCCGGTTCTGGTTCGGGCAGGTCATCGTCATGTTTATCCAAACCCAGCTGCTTTGCCACTGTCGGCAACACGACCTCATCCCAGTTTCTACCTCGCTCGATTCCACGTTTAGGAATGTCAGGTATGGCATCGGCAAGGGACATTGAGGCGTTACTGTCCCTTTGCTCATACTTCTGTGGATTGATAGGTTGCGACTTTGATCGAGGCTGTGCGTTGGCTTTAGCAGAGACCGCTGGACCAGACACTTTGGACGGCTTGGAGGCAACGCGCTGCCTGGCAGCGGGCGTATTTGGTTTGGATGCCACTCTTTGCCGGGTTTGAGCGGATGTACCGGCAGGGTTGGCATTGCCGTTTGTTTTGGCGTCTTTCTTGCTAGCGATGCCGGAAGACTCAGGTGCTCGCTGACCAGAAGGCGCCGACTTGTTTAAACCCACTTGTTGCAGTCTGCCCTTGGCATGAACCTTCATCGGTTGGGTTTTCGCAGCCGTTCCTGCACCATTTCGTATTGGTAATTCTTCTGGCTGTGCAGGTTGCCGAGGCTGCTCGTATGCCAGGCCCTCAGGTTCCAGCTGTTCGTGGGCCAGCTCCCAATGTTCTTCGGCCTCCTCCGCATGCGAGAGTAACTCGACGCTTTCCCGGCCACCTTCGTTTCTCAAGCTTTGGAGTACTAAGTCTGTAACGCTCGCCTCACCCTCAACCATCCACGTGAGCGGACGCTCCCGAATGACGCTCTCGTCGTGCAACTCCATCTCCCCGCTTTCGTAGCCATCGCCATATCCAGCGGCGAGAGCCAGCTCACCCCAAGCCATGTGCTGCTTTGAATTCGGACTGGGTGCAGAGCCCTTAATTCGCACCGTGCCGTCATCTGGAACGCCCAGATAATCGAGTTCGCCTCGTCGGCGCTGAGGGCCTGTGTTGAGTGCCTTTCGTTCGGCAGATAAATCGTGCCCAAACGTGGCGATCTCCAGCTGCTCCTCCGTGTGGCCTTTGTACACTTCTCCGCGCCCACCATTACGCCGCGTGTCACCACGATAGTTCAGCTCGATTTCCCCTAAACCACCCCTGTCATCCTTGCCTGATCGGTCATTGCGCCGACGTGCAGCACGTGAGGCACGCATGTCCCGTTCGAAGCTACTTCGTCCGGCATCACTGTCACTCGCTCCACCACCCATAACGCTTCCGGACAGCGGGAAGGGTGCTTGGACGTTTCGTATATAGCTCAGCTCCGGACTTGGCTCGGGAGAAGGAGGGTAGCGCATTCGTGGCTCCGGCGTGAGATGCTGCAAGTCGAGATCGTCTCTTGCATGGCCATCCTCTGCTGGAGTGGGGAAGGTGACTGGAGTCGTAGCGTTCCTGCTTCTACTTCGAGGGGTCTTGGCACTAGGTCGAGCAGGAGTAGAGCGAGGTACAGGAATGCCAGATGGACGAGAGGAAAGTGCGCTTGCAGTGAGATTTTGACCGTTGGGGTTCATTGCTGAAGTTGAGCCGTTGGGTTGGTTCTGAGGAGAATTGGCGCGGGATGATGCGGGGGTGGGAAGAACAGACGGGGCACCAGCGACAGCGGCTGTCGCAGCTGCAGCAGATGCGACAAGTTCGTTACATGCGTAGGGTGTGCTCTGCGTCCGACTGCGCGCTCTCTGTCCAGGTGCACGATTTTCTTGCTCCTTTCCCTTTCCTTTCCCCAGCTCCTTCTCACGGTCCTGCTCCCTGTCACGCATCACTGCTTGTTGCGGAATGCGATCGCTTCTCGTCACCCTGTCCTGCTTCGATGTCGTAGATGATCCATTTGCACCAAGTAAGAGGTCGCGTGTCGATTGGGCGTATTGTGCAGACATCTGTAGGCTCGGGCGAGGGATGGAGCTCGGTTTGTTGTACGGGTCAGGAGAAGCGACGCGAGCACGGGACTTGCTGGCTGGAATACCAGAAGCTGCTTCTACTCCTCGATTGCTGGTGCTTGGGGTATTGTGGGGTTCAGGAATGGAGTAGGCGTCAAAGCTCCCTGACAATCGCGAGGTGAGCAGGCGCGATTCGGCTTCAAGGCCTGTTGTGTCGGAGAAGAATGTGTCAGACAGCGGGAACAAGCACATTACAAGGCATTAGTGCCGAAATAGAAAGACACGCACGCTTCCGTAGCGCCGGGACAACCATCTCATCGTAGGGATTGATGAGGAGGTTGGAGCCCGCCGTCGCCACAGCCATGTTGAGCTATTCTATCGGGAGAAGCGATGGTGTCGATGAGAGCGAAAAAAGCGAGATGGGTGTAGAGTGTATGCGCGGGGTCTGCGTTGCCGGTATGCTCGGAAGCGGGTAAGGAGCGTAGAAGCGGGTATCCAGCTGACAGGCGGTATGCAAAGCTGAACGCAGACAGCCTGCTGGTGGTGATGCTCGCGGTATCGACCTCGCTTGGTCGTGTTAACGACGTCCGCTGGGGCTGCCCCGCGTAAAGCAACAACAAAGCGATGTTTCGTAAACACAAAGTCTTCGCGTTCACTTGAGAGAACTCACGTATGTCCACACTGCCAAAATGTCGTCCTCAACGTCGGTCAGCTGCTCATGTGCATAACCCCTTGGAGTTCGATGTGAAATGTCAACGCTGTGGACGACGACGATGAGGTGAGCGTTGATGGCCCCCCGGCGCTCCTATTGGAACACCTCTTTTGCCTCCGTGCGACTGACAGCGCTACTAGTGAAGGACCCTTCACCCCTGTACCCGAATTCCCTTTCAAAGGGTTTGTAATTCTATCTATGGAGTTTCTAATTTACTCCGTTGCTGTGGGAGAATCGACTGTTACGAGGTAACGCCTGGAGGGCAATGGGTCGAGTTACCACACCTTTACCACACAATGAGCAATGAATCACAACCCATAATCGCATTTTTCACATCAGACAGGATAGAAGACGAGAAGCAAAGAAGCCAGTGATAATCACTAGTTCTCGTTCAACCAGAAAGAAAGGGAACATAGAAACGGTTTCATTAGAGCACACAGCCATGTGGAAATGCGCCTCGGTCGGGACTCGGCTCCGGCAATTCTCCGTCTCCGTCAGTCTTTATCTTCTCCGTGGGCTGCGTTCGCGCTCTCCGTCGTTTCGGCGGTCGTCGCCGGCTTCACCACGTCTTCTGTAACCACGATCGTCCTCGTCCTCGTTATAGCGTTGTCTGCGGCCATCTCTGTCGTCTGAATAGCGCCGTCGGCGCCCGTCTTCACCGTCCAAATCGCGTCGTCGGTCGTTGTCATCGTCATTTGAGTGGCGACGCGGACGATCATCGCTGTCCCGCCCAGTACCTCGTTGCTTCCCGTGCCGCTCATCCTCACTGTCGTCTCCGCTGTCGTTCCTCCTGTCGCGTCGACCATCGTCATCGTTCCTACGCTCGGGCTTTCTCTTATGCCGCTCCTCACTGCGGTCTCTCCTTGCAGATCTCTTCGTCGGAGACTGATCTTCATCCACATCTTCACTGTCCCTCCTCGGACGGCGTTCCTTACTCTCTTCTATCCTCTTTGGTGCCTTTCTTATCCTATCTCTGTCGCTCGATCTCTCGCTATCTGACTCCTCCGAGTCAGACTCAGAATCAGAATCATCTGAGCTATCTGAGTCTTCAGAGTCGGAGTCAGACGACTCGGTAGGAGTTCCACGCTTCTGACGCTTTCGTTCCCGTTCTCGCTCTTCTTCTTTTTGTTTTAATATCTTATCTGCCGTGCCGTTCCTAATTAGAATGAGTAAGCACCCCTCAGCAAGAATTTAGGCAATCAACGTACTTAGTAAACTCCTCTGGGACATCAACAGTCGGCTTCCCCAGCTCCCTTGCACTCAACTTCGGGTTCTCTAGCATTTCAGTCCGACTCGGACGCGTGACGTATGGCCGAGGATTCTTGCACTCGAACATGAAGTGACCGCGTTTGAGGCATTTTTGGCAGATCGTTTGGGCCGTCGCTCTCGGGCGAGCGTTCGTGCCTGGGGCAAAGCGAGAACTGGGAATCATGTTGCTTGGAAAAAGTTGGAGGTCTTGTAAACAATTGGTGTGAGCAATGATTGTGCTGGTCGTGTGAGGGGGGACAAGCGCTGGAACCCTGAGTCGCCACCTCAAAAAGGACGTTCTGGTGAACACGTGATTCAAACTTCCCCCGAAAGCTCCGCGGTGAGGATTAAGGCACAACGTCTATTGGCATAAGTCACTCAAAAGCCCAAAAAGTATCCAGAAATCAATGAGGGCCAGGTATCTCTGATGAGAAGTACAGTGCGGATGGTAAGAATACATGAAGGCCCAACAGCTACCATGAATTGGAATGCGCTTCGAGGTGATTGTGTCTGGATTTGCAACTGCAGTTGACGACCCAAAGATGGAAGAAATAAGTCGTGAGTACAGGTGCCCATAATGGTCCAGCATCCCACAGCTCGGATTTTACCGCAATTACTCCTTTGTCCTTCTCGTATCGTTCTGGGTGGCGGACACCTCGGGCAATGGAGAGCTTAACCCTCTTGGCAACTGAAGCCAACCACCTGCTTCCCACTGCCCTGGCTTGTAAACGTCATTACCCCGTTGAACGTTGTCTGTGATGCCTCTCAGGAGAGCACCAAGTCTTCTAAAATCAATCGGCTTTAGAATCCAGCCATCCATCCCGCGATCATACATCGCTTCTCTCGCACCCTCAACGAGTGAGGCGGACACTGCGAAGATGGGAATGCGACCGTTGATAGCGACCGACGGTCGGACGGCATCCTGGACCGGTGGGTTGCCCCTCTCGAACTCCCGTATTTTTTCTGATGCTTCGAAACCATTCAAGATGGGCATCCTATCAAACGTGTTAGCTAGTCAGAGGGGCTTGACGGTGAAACGACATACTGAATATCCATGAGGATACAGTCAAAATCTCGATCGGATTTGATTTTCTCAACGCTTTCCTGCCCGTTGGTCGTGTTAACCACTGCGTGTCCATCGGTAACAAGGCGCTTGTGAAGGATCATACGGTTGATCGGATCATCCTAGCAACGTGATTAGATGAGTGTGACATAACGTGGGGTTGAATTACCTCAACGATAAGGATTCTCAGCTTAGCAGGACCAGCAGTGGGTGACTCCTTCCTGTTTCGCGGTGCTTGACCGCCTCTGATAGGAGCACTGTCGGGCAATTTGGTCTGATGGGACGATTTTCGCTGAGACAAATCAACAGATCTCCTGGGGGCAGAAGGGCCGGCCGTAGATGATTCCGGAAGCTCGACAGTTCTCGGCTCTCGTACGCTCTTGTCAAGGTCGAATTCATCCATCTTGATGCTTCGCACAGGATATCGAGATCCGCCGACATCAAAGTAACCTGGCTGGCCAGTTTGGCCGGTTTGTTCTACTGAAGGTGTGCGCTGGATGCTAGGCAAAACAGGTAGCAGCTTCTCGCTGGATGTCGATCGAGTGCGGCGACTACATGTACTTGTGCGCCCCTGCGGATGAAGAGGGTCCGATTGAAGTGCTTCGACAAGATTATCAATAGCGCTGCCCTTCGAACCCCTTGAACTTGGAGGGCCAGAGCCAGCGGGAGACACCGATCGTGATGTGTAGTCCGAGTACGAGCCCGCCGAGGAGTCCGACGAAGGCAGGGCGAAAGGTATGAGGAAAGAAAACCGCGATCCTTGTCCGACCTTCGAATCCACGCGCAACTGACCACCAAGCTGCTCCACGATGCGGGCAACGACGGCGAGGCCCAGGCCCAGGCCATTTCGTTCTCCAGGCCTGGAAGTAGACGACTCGACCTGCTCAAACTCGCGAAATATGCTCTCCAGCTTGCTGGCTTCGATGCCGCAGCCCGTGTCTCCAACAACGATCTCTACAGCAACCTGGCGCTTATCGCGCAGTCCAGCAGGTTCCTGAAATACGCGCGATTCAACGGTGATCATCCCTTCCGAAGTGTACTTGACAGCGTTAGCGGTGAGGTTAGCAACCACAGTACGGATCTTGCGAGCATCGCCGACTACGATTTTTGGGCTCTCTGACGTGTCGATCGTAAACTGGAGCTTGCGCCTCTCAGCCTCGATCCTGTAAAGCTGGACGGCCTCCTGGATGACGAGAGGAAGATCAAACGGCTCACTGAAAGACGTTTCGTTACCGCTCTCCAACCGTGTCAGGTCCAGGAGATCGTTAATGGTGAACAACAAGCTCTTGGAAGCAGTATGCGTAAGCTTGAGATTTTCCCGGGTCTCGCTATCAAGCTGTCCGTTCAACGCGAGTTCGAGGTAGCTACACTTCTTCAGCTCTCATCTGAAAAGCCAAATCAAGGACTCACTTGATAATATGATTCAACGGCGTCCTGACCTCATGACTCGCGTTGGACAATAGAAGATTCGTAAGTTGAGTCGTCTTGATCGCTGTCTCCTTCTGCCTCCACACCTCTATAAACTTTCCATAAACAAGCGCGAGCACTCCAGCAGTCTCGAGCTGTTCGTCCGTCCAGGCCCTACAGCGGCCAGCGATCGTCTCGGACCACGTTTTGAACGATTTCCGGGGTTCGAGGTCACCGGCGCCTGGCTCTTTGAACGGTTTTCCAGCCCAGTGGACTTCCTTCAGCTGTCCCTTGCGGAGGAAAGCGATAAAGTCCCGTCCTCCGCTCGAAAGGGGGATGTACAATAACCCAGCGACAATATCCAGACCGGAGGGGAGGCTGAGGTCAGGGAAGTCCTTCGTCACCGCTTGCGAAACTTGCATGATGTTGAACTGCTTTAACCTGAGGTACTCAGCGACGATGAGCACTTCCTGGCCACCATGATTCGGCCCTAGGATCTTGGCCCCTTCGCCAATGACGAGGATGCCAAAGTCTGCGTCGAACAGGCTCAGCAGGTCCTCGGCGTTGGAAACGATGTACCCCGTTGGATGCTGATCGGTCGGAAGAGTGCTGATAAGTTTTCTTGTATGCAGTCGCTGAGCGTAGGACAGGCGCTCAATATTCCGCGAGATGGAGTCGCTCATGAGACGAAGCATCTGCCTAACAGGGAAAGAGACGCGCATCCCGTGCAGGCCATAAGAATGGCACGCGATGAGCCCCCACAGTTGGCCGAATGCCATAATAGAGATAGACATGGACGCGCGCACGCCCATATTCGAGAGGTACTTGATATGTATCGGGCTCATAGCACGCAGGTAGGAATGCGTCATGTCCAGAGGTGTATCCAGGTCTGCCCTGCTGCGCGCTACGAGGCGTGCGGTCATCTGCGAGCGGTCATACAGTAGCCGAACCTTATCTGCCCTCATCATCGATCATGAGCGATGTCCACAAGCGCTAGCAACTACTCACTGATGGCGTACAACTGCCTGGCCTGAGCGGGTATATCACTAGCCGGAAAATGCAGCCCCTTGAACAGCTCGTGCGTCTGGTTCCAATCTACCAGCTCAGCAACGACTTGGCCATTCCAGTTCTCGTCAAATTGGTATACGAGCACGCGGTGGAACTGTGTCAGGTCCTTGATGATGCCCACGACGATCTTGAGGAAACTCTCGAGGTCGGGCGCGCGGCCCCATTGGTCGTCCACTTGCGAAAGTAGGGCGAAAACGTCCATCGTGCTTACGCCAGAGGAGGCACCGTGTACCCTTGTACGTCGACTGCCGCCATCCGCCGTCCGGGCACCGATGGTGCTCAGCGGCGCGGTAGTAGCGCGAGCCACCACTTGCCGGTTCACCCTCCGCATCCGCTCGAGCGCCTTAAGAGGCTTAGCATGGTTTGTCGTACTCTCGAGCACATCTTCCGGGGTAGGACGATACTCTTCCGGGAGATCCTCGGCACCAGTTCGTAATACTGTGGTCCCCTCCCCAACGTCGGGAGGGGACCGTGCTCCGTCTTGAAGCGCCCTCTTTGTTGCCCCACTCCGGGCTCCACTCGCCGTAGTGCTCCCAGACGTACCCCCGCTCGCGCGCATCGCAGAAGGACTCTCCCCCGGCGCAAACTGTTCCGATGCAGGCGGATAAAGGGGGTTGAACATATCCCGCTCCAGCTCAAACTCGAGTATGAGCACACCCTGGCCCCGCCCGCTGTTACTCGAGCTCCTCCCAGATTGTTCTTTCCCAGGAGGTCGGTGTGTTGCGCACCAGCAGGTCCATTCTCTCCTCTGGTGCGGGTCGCGGGGGTCCTCCATTTCCGGGAATGCGGAGCCCGGTTGACCCCAGCCGGAGAGGAGGAACACCTGGGGCGAGTCTTGCCCCTCCGAACCGTCGACATCGGTATCTAGCTCATAGAGGTACTGTACGTTGTCCCAGAGGATATCGGCTTGTGAGGGTGGAAGGGTCTGGGTAAAACATGTGAGGGAGAAGAGGTACTCGGGAGAGAGACCCAGGAGCTCTAGCGCGTTCTGCGGATAGAGCATATATTAGCCACCTTTCTCCAGAAAGTGCATACACGCACCTCAGAAACCTGCCGCACAACAAGGTTCCCCGACCCCTCATCCTCCGCCACAGCAACTAGCACTCCAAACCCCTGTACCGCACCCGGTACGCGTATCGGCTCGTCCTCGCACCTCGTGAGCACACCCTCCCTTCCAACGAGCACATGATGTCCCCCCTCAGTCTGTGTATGCTGGAACCGGGCAGTGATAAGTGGTCTGCTGTCGACGCTTAGGGAACTCGTACTGCGCCCTGAACGGCTGATGCTTTCATGCGTCTGGATCGATCCTTGGGCGGAGCGGGAGCCGGTGGAAGGCTCCGACGGTGGTAGACGGACGATCCCAGTTTCTGCGAGGGAGAGAGGAGGAAGGTCTCCTGCGGCTTCGTACACGCTCCCAGCGGAGGCGGAGACACTGCGTCCCGTGTAGTCGGTGTCTTCGCTCTCGGCTGATAGGGGTCGATCTGCTGAACCAGTGGGGGAGGTGTCACCCCAGTCAGGGGGGTCCGGAGGGAAGAGAGTGTTGAGCGGGTCGTCTGCCTGTGGGTGCCCAAAGTCCAGCGCAGTGACCGCCAGCTCCTTCCCGGGCGTCTCTTCTTCCTCTGACTCGGGAAGCTTCTCCTCTGACGTCGGGGGAGAGGACATCGACGCTGATCGATGTCGCGTGCGTTGTAGGTCGAAGTAAGAGGACGAAGAGGAAGAGGAAGGGACGCCCAGTTCGCTCGGTGTCTCCCTGGGATAGAGGAACGGTCCTTGTCGCGGTTGCTCACGCGCAGGAGGTTCGTGGGCCCCAGAGCGGGAAGTGCTTGCCTGTCCAGCGTCCTCACTCCCGCTCCCTCTCCTCGTGTCTATGTGCCCGTCACCCGTGTCCACCTCCGGTGCAGGTTGGATGTTGCTCAGCAGTGACCGGACCGGGTAAACGTAGGATGTTGAGCTAGACGGCGGAGGGTAGCCTGTCCGTGTCGGGGAGCGCGAACGCGTGCGAGGGGATGTTGGGGATGGCATCGCTGATGAGCTGCAAGAGAGTGAGATCGGACTGTTGGTCCTCCGATGTGCAGAGTGAGTAGAAGGATCAGGGTAGTGCCGTGCCTGTAGAAAGTTGGCCTGAATACGTCAGTGCAATTTCACACGCTTCGCAAGGCTTCTCCCGCGCTGAATAGACCAGGGATGTGTAGAGTCGAGGAGGTGGATATCGATGTTCAACGTGCAATTCTCCTCCTCTGACTGTAACCAAATGCACAAAAAAACAGAAGGGTAATAATTCACTCTACTGGGATAATTCAGAGATACGCCTTGGACACAGCCAGGGATCGACAGCATTCATTCATCAGGGGCACAGATCGGCATTTTCCGCTCTTTCCGAGTCGACGGTGGCCGATGTGGGCTGACAGCGCGATTAACAACTTTTTCTCTCTGAACAAGCCATTTTATTGGTAGTCATCAACATCAACACCGGGATCTCCCTTTTTCTGTTTCTACCTCTCACATATACACGAACATTCGAATCAAGAGTTGACGAACAGAGGAACAGACGAACATGACCGATATCTCCAACAAACGACTTCGATCCCTAACATTGCCCTCCGAGTGACAGCTACCTCCGAGCCGCCGGCACCCGCCCCACTCATACGAAACCTTGTTCACTCAGGATCGGAGCCGAGGAATGTATGATTCATATCCTTCGGATCGGAGACCTGGCCAGTCTGCGATCTGGGACGTCGTTGCTCTAGAACGAGCGGGCGGGGCTTCGATTTTTTTTCGGTTCTACATCAATGCATTAGGCCATCACGCAGGCAGTATCCCAAAAAGATCACAAAAACAAAGCCAGCACGATCGCGCATATCGCGCTACTTCTCCTTCCCAACGGTCCCCTTCGGCTTGTCAGACTTCTGGAACCCTCCCAGCCCCCAGCCAACTTCTACCTGTTTCCTCAGTGCCCAGAGCCACGACAGCCCGAACACTCCGCATCCGACGGCTACGCGGGCTACGACCCACAGATCTGGATATCGCGCGGGAGGAGAAAATATTTCGATGATGTGAAGGAGGGCGAGGAGCAAATACGAGGACTGGGGGAACTAGTTAGTGCCTCAATTAGAGGGGGAGGGACGGACGGACGATACTGAGCAGGCGGAGGAACCAGCCTGACGAGATCCGGAGGGGGTTGTACCCTATCACATAGTTCCACAGGAGCAGGAGAAGGAAATAGTTCATCCCCTGCCCGTCTCTCGACAGCAAAGGCCACATCGTCAGAACTCCCACGTTGTTCACCAGCACGCCCCATTCCCACGTCTCGTCCCCGTCTTCAGCTTCACTCCCTCTGTCGCCGAGCAGAAGCGTGAGAGGGAGGAGAGGGAGGAGGATGCTCTTCTCGTGCACTTGGAAGGAGAAGAGGAAAAAGGCCATAGCGCTATTGTACATCGCCCATGGGAGCAGATGCAGCGCTGGGCTGGGAACGTTCCGTGTCTGCCGGCCCCCCGCTGTCCAACTCACGCGAAGAAGATGTAGCATGGGAAGTGCCGCGCTGGCAATCGTGACGAGCCCGGAGAATCGGACCAGCATGTCGTTCGACATCCGCCGGCGCCAGTGAATGATCGGGTCTGATGCGCACCAGAAATTGGCGACTTTATCTTCAAACAGCCCGCGTGCTACGGGGAATATCCGGTGGACGACTTGCAGGAGTGTATCAGGGAAGGGCGAGAGGGGGGGGACGAAGGGAAGGAGCGTTGAGAGAAGTGTTACGGTTGAGACCACTGCCAGACCAATGAATAGAGCGCGTCTGTCATCCGTGTTAGCGTGACTCTTGACTTCCTCCAAGGATGGCGCACCCCTGTTGCCAGCCGAGCCAGAGGCATTTTCCAAACAAGTATCCAAACACCGCTGGTGCATAGTACAGTGCCATTTGTTTAAATGTCATGCTGCACACAAACGCAACCGCACCAAGCAAGTCTTTTCCTTCTCGAAAGCATAATATAGCGTATAGGGAGAGCCCAAGCATGACGCTGTTGTATTGAAAATGACCGTGGTCGATTGGTATGAGTGCAGGTTGGAGAAGAAGAGTGATGATGGCAAGTTCCTGAGAATCCCGTGAGCGGAATGGTGCTAGAGGAGAGCAGTGTAGACACCTGAGTTCGCAGGGAACGATATGCGAACCAACGTCGGCAGAACATAACGATGCAAGGTATGTAGATAGCAAGATCCAGAGCGAGCACAGTTGCACGCATAAACACGCGGCTGGAGGGGCTCTCACACCCTCTCGACTTCTCCAGCGCGAACCAGTCTGGGTTGATCTGCGAACCTCTGGGAACTGTGAGCCAGAGAAGCACCCATTCAGCGTTGAATAATACGCACAACCAACCGCATATCCAGCTGACATAGGCTGTTATAGGTGGATAGTCGAGTCCCCAATAGGGTAGATCATAGTAGTACCACTGCGCTGGAGCGAGGTGCAACGTCAGCTCCATCCAGTGCCGCTGGGCCTCGTAATCGCCGTGCATCGGTGGGTTGCCCTCCCCTACACAGAGCTCAACATATGATCACATGAGGGAAACAGTCTACACACCTGAATAGCCACCCAACGCGATCATCCACCGCACGAGCGCGGCAGAGCCCACCGTTACATACGTGAGGCGCCCGCCCGCCCCGATCCTCTGCATCCATCTGACCCAATTTCTGGCCGGACTTGAGAAACGTTCCTCCCTCTCCCTAATCTTTTCCTTCTCCCTTCTTCTGAGAGATGCCTCCCACTCATGCCTGCCAGAAGTAGGTGAAGTCGCGCGTGATGAGCCTGTCACCGACGGAGCACTGTGCAACCAGGGGACAGATTCTCGAGCTAGCTCATGCAATCGGGGGCGAGGGGAGATAACCTGCCCATCTGCGTCCCAGCGGGGAGCGGGGGACGTCACGCTGCCGAAAGATCAGAAGGGGCTACAAGGAAGACACGGGCGTATGTACCCCGGTGATCGCATGCTACTGTACTCAGAGCTGAAGCTTGACACGCGCACGCGCGAGCCGCCAGGCGTGATCACAGTGTTTCCATTAGATGGCAGTCGACGTCTAGAAGGAAACGAATGGTGACTAGATGGGCCTGCTGTTTGACCAGACATTGGCACTTTTGAATAAGAGAGAGTTGGTTGGCGTGACTAGGTAGGCGGAATAACAAACCGCAAGGGATGGCGGATAAAGTGGCGACATCTTGACTTCTCAGAGCCTCGCACGTGCCTCGATATTCAAGCCCTCAAAGATAGTATAATTCACCGTTCTTATGCTATAAGATTACAAGACGTGAGGTATGAGCTGGACTGGTATGTGATGCGCGGGTAATGACTGTGCGGCGATAATACAAACTAGAAATCGCGGTTGGAGAAGATAACGAGAGGATGTTCTTTTGTTGGCGCTTTACGCCCGCCATGGTAGGGCATTCCGGCCCTGGGCCTTTCGAATACGCGGTTTGGGCAGTGGAGGCACAGGGGGTATTTGGGAGTGTGCATCAGTCGAACCATTGGAGGCGACAGAGGCCGACAGGTTTGCGGAGCTTGCAACTCTTCGAACACTCTTCCCTCTTGAGACGGCGGCTTTGCCGTTCACATGTGGTTCGGTGGCTGGTGATACTGGGCGGAGAATGGGAAGGATTTCGCGTGCCAGCTCACGAACCAGAACGGCGGGGTCGGCCCGGCTGAGCTTGTCGACAGCATCCCAGATCTTGTAGCGGTCCACGAGGTCTTTCTTAGCCTTCTCGGGTTGCACTTCGCACGCAACTCGGAGAATCCTGAGAAGGCTGATACGAACAACTGGCCGACCATGGGACAGCTTGTCAAGAAGTCTGACAAAAAGCGGTCCTTTGGAGAGGCCGAGGGTGACAACCGAAGATAATCGCATGACCTTCAGGAACGGATCTAAGAGATTTTCGAAATAATTCGCTTTCGCAGTGAGGAAGGTTTGCAGCAGTAGATCGATGTTGCTGCCATGAATGAGTACGTCCTCCACGCGAGCGGTCTCATCTTGCAGCCAAGACAAAATAGCCTCCAGAGCTGTAACTTGGAAATAAGGATCCTTGAGAAGACTGAGGTACGTCCGTAAGCCGTCGTATTGCCAAAGGAGCTTGCGACAACTCTTCCCTGCGCTGGCAAGGTCACAAAGGATAGGCAGGGCGAATTGCTTCAGCGGCGAGTTGGATTTGGCAACGCGCTTAAGGTGAGGAATGATGCCAGCAGATGCTGCCTCTTCTTGCCGTGACTTGTTCAAGCGACAAAGATTAAAACAAGTTTGGAAGATATGGTTTTCGATTTCCTGTTTCGTGTCTTAGGTGCGCTGTTCAAAATATATTTGAAGGGAATAGACTTACGGTGCTTCCCCCAGCTTTACTATGTCCACCCAGGATGTTTATTAATACTTCTATTGTGTTGGCATTTTGCAACACATCCAATAGTTGCGGACTCATGGACAGATGCCGAATCGACTTCACCACTGTGACAACATGTGTGGCATCTACTTGCTCTGCTGCCCGCAAAAGACCTGGAAAATGGGTCAAAAATACGAACTTGAACCACCATGTAAAGGATCGACGTACGTCTAATGATGGTTCTCGTTCCGAGTGCCTGGCGAACATGCGCATCCGACTGCGAAGCTTGGCAGAAGATTAAAATTACATTCAATATCTTGTCTTTCATGTCGCTCGGCACTTCGCCTTCCGCGTTCATGATGTTCAAGAGCGCCGAAGTCAGAGGGTCCAGCAACCCTTCCCGAATGAACATGCGGCAGAAGTCATTTTTGGGCGTTGGGCTCTGCAATTCGAAGACGCTTCGTACACCGTTCAAGGCATGCACTACGAGATCCTGCTGTTCGGAAAAGTCTTCATCGAGGATGTCAACAAGAACCTTGAGACCGCGGCAGCTGTTGACAAATATGGACATGGGAACGCTTCAAAACAAGTGCGGGCTTACGAGATAAACATTTGCAATGTCATGGGCGATGATGTACAAAGCGACCGCACGAAGTTCGATGCCTCAACCCGGCATTCAGTAGAGAATTTCTTAGACGTGAACGCTGAGTTTCATGTGAGCACTGTTCAACCACAATCAGAGCAATCTCACACATGACGACAGGTATTCCACTGATTCCCAATCAGCGGCTTCTGTCAATTACAACGATAGGTGCTTACCCAATTAAGCAGAAACTCTCCAGAATGCCCATGTCGCATGTCACCAGCTAATACGCCATAAGAAGTATGTCACGGGCAAATAAATGCGGCGTACTGTATTGATGAGATGCAACAGCCGTCGTACCACATCTCTTGAAGGATTGGACTCTAGAACCTCCAGCATAGCAAGCATTCCATGTGCTGAGACAACTTGCATCTGAAGCTCCGGTGTCTCCTCCGTGATAGCGAGCTATATGCGCGCCTTAAATGAGATATCGCTCCTGGGAAAGTCGTACTACGTACCAACTGATCAAGGGCCTCTCGCAACTTCTTCTCCGTTGCAGTAGGAATGAGTTCGTCGATCAATTGATTCACTTGCGCGCATAGACGGGCATATTTGTCGCGAATGAGGTTGGACTCAAGATCGACCTCGTCAAAGCTCTCATCAATCTGACAATAATCAATATTTGCTATCAATTTCAGAGTTGTTGCTTTACTTCCGCGAAAGGGTCGTCCTCGTCCTCATCCTGATCACCTAACTGTATCAGGTTTGTTAGGAGACCATCACGACATGGGTTGAGGGGACGTACCCAAGACCTGTTCGAAAGCCGCGTGTTCAACTTCAGAGTCTCACCAGCAGCATCTGGTCTGATGTCAGCACAACCAATGTCGATACGCCATCCGCACTTACTGGCGTTGCCGGGCTTGCCGAAAACATCATCATAATCCTCATCCTCGCTCTCCGAGTACTTCTGTAGCTCCCTACTTGACTGGCTCTTCAGTCCCGTTGCCCTGCCTAAACTCATCGAACCCGCAGAGAAGCTCTTGCTCCTGACGATATTTGGGGACTCGAATGCATCCGCAAGTGGGGAGATGCTCGGCCGGACCGATCTGCTCAACAACGGCGCTGTCTTTGCAGCTAACCCGCCGTCGAGGCCCACCGTCTTGATATCTTCTGGCCACATAAGCTTGCCCTTGCCATTTGTAATGCGAAGTTTGGCCACCTTCTGCATGAGGTTTACCTCGTCCTCGTCTTCTACCACAAGATCCGAGTAGTCCTCGTCAATCGGCCCCAGCTTGGCTGGAGCAGTGGTAGGTGTTAGGGGCGATGGGGGGGATGGAGAAAGGGCAGGCGATGCAAATCCAGATGGAGAACGGTTTGGCCGAATCGTCTGATCATCGTCTGGATTGCGCGTATGTTTGATAGTCGCGTCATCGTCCGGATGACGGGATTCAACAATAGGTTGCTTGATAGGAGACTGGATGAGAGCTTTGGAGGGATCGGCGACTTTATCCAGTGCATGAAGTTTAGCCGGGGGGATATCCTCCTCAAAATCATCGTCCCAGTTGTCTGTTTGCTCTTCCGGTGACTGAAGCGCAGGCGGATCGCGCAACTTCTCCATCGTTATAGGATGAGCAGGAGAACCGACCTTGAGGGCTTGAGTGGGCGAATCACTCGCGTGAGGAGAAACCTTGGAACCCCTTCGGTCTTTGAAAGGAGTTGGAGAGTCTGCTCGCTTGCTCTCGATAATGCGAGATATGCGGCGTCCCGATGTTAGGTTTGTGTTTCGTGGCGGAGCTGTAATCAAGTCAACATGCATTCAAAGAGATGGGAACCTTGCATACATTTGAGCGCTTCATTCCACTCCTGTACCTTCTGCACCGCATCTTCAAATCCACCCTCTCCTTGTCGCTCACTCTCCCGCTTCTTCGTAGCTGCCATCATCCATGGATGGCGAAGTAATTTCTTTGCTGAAATGCGGAGATTTGGGTCCTTCTGGAAGCAATGGTAAAGAAAGTCTTTGACAATGGGAGAGATGCCCTCGGGGATTGGCGGACAGTCATCTTGTACTATGCGAAACATGGCCGGCATTGGTGAAAGATGATAGTACGGCGGTTTGCCTTCGAGAAGTTCGACCACGACGGAGCCCACCGACCAGATATCCGAGGCAGTGGTTGCACCTAACTGCTCAATGACCTCCGGCGCCACTGAGGATGGAGTCAGAGCCTAGAGTTCGGCGTGCAAGATGTGACGCACTCCAATATGGTGACCCGACTACCGCAGCGCGATTCTCCTGATTTCCAACGGCAGCGACACCGAAGTCCGCTAACATGACCTTTCCATCCTTATTCGTCAAGATGTTCGCGCTCTTGATATCCCTATGAATCACACCCTGCTCGTGGAGGTAGACGAGTCCCTCCAGGACTTGGGAGATGTACACCGCTACGAGGTTTTCAGGGAATTTCCCAAACTTCTTCAGAAAGTTGTGCAAGGAACCATTTTCGCAGTACCTGTGGGATATGAGTCGTTGAGCAAACTACGAAAGGAGGTATACACACTCAAGAATGATGTAGAGAAACTCTCGTGTTTTGACGAATCCTTTGTACTGCACAATATTCGGATGCTGTAAATACGTAATGGTCACTCGTGTGCGTCCCCTCGTCAAACTGCGTAACTCACATGTAGGTTTTTCAGCAAATCGATCTCAAACTGATTCGCGATTAACACCCATGAAGCGTGAGAAGTCCAGAACGCGCACCATGATATCAGAGAGTTCCGTCTTAGGGATATTGGCTAACGAGATTTGCTTGACAGCGACAGTCTCTCCCGTCGTCCAATTGAGAGCCCCTTCGTCCATTTCAGCAAACATCCGTGGTTAGGAGGAGTTGGGCTCACGATAGACCTGCCCCGACGCGCCCTTTCCCAGTAAGTCCGCCAGTTGCTGAAATCTCTCAGCTCAGGGGCTGTCTCCTGAGGAAAGGCAATGCGCGTACGTAGTTTGCGAGCACCGTCTGACTCCCCATCTTTCCACAAGATCACGTCCAGGATATCAACTTGAGACGTCCGCAGTGAGGGGCATGAATAAGGGCCAGACAATGCTGAATTCCGCAAAACAGAATGGCGTGACAATGACAACAATAATGATAGTGATGATAGTAATGAGGAGGGGTGATGACTAGGAGAGATGTGGTATGCGATGCGCGATGGTATGTATGCGGTAGCGGGGGCGATGTGCGCACCAGGGGCTAGGAGACGCGCTAGCATCATGATGAGATTCTGGAGACGCGTCTGCTTCCGCTCCGGTGATGGTCACGGATTATTTCCCTGACAATTATAATTAATATTGTTAAATAATCTCATTTATAGCGCCTAATGAGCTGGGAGTTGAGATGTTACTTTTCTTCAATTGACAGTGACAGAAAATACCGAGAAGAATGTGTCAATTCCTGCTGGACCTACTGGTTTGGTGCACAGTTCCTCGTTCCCATGCTTTCTCAGAACGCCAGCCAGAAAATATCTAACGACGACATCGAGATACATCAATGTACAGATCGACCCAAAAAGTGATATCCCGAAATGAATAATGAAATACATGAACTCCTCACGATTCAACGAAAGAAAGCACCCTTCCATTTCTAGAACGACGTGACATTGTGCGTTTTCCTCCACTCATTGAAATTATAATACTCATCTGCCAGATGCGTATACACCTTGCTCCAGTCCTTGCACGTGTGTGTGATGCCAACTCCGTTGACGGGCAGCTCCCCAGTCGGGTCGATCCCCAGCTCTGGCACACCCTCTTCCAGGGTAAGATCGGCGTGGCACAGTGCCATCTGTCGTAGGTAGTTGAAGCAGTGATGGACATGGTCCCCGCTCGCCCCGGCTAAGATTGCATTTCGAATTACATTTAGGCAGTGAATCTACAGCTCTCTATGAGTGACACCAACCTTCAAAGGTAATCAGGGACGCACCTGATGGAACATACTCGTCGCAAACCGCCGCTTATTCGGTCCAAGATGGATGAACCCGTATCCTGGGGGCATTATCGAATACCATTCTGCCTCTGCTTCTGGTGTGGCAATTTGAAGGTGCTCTGTATCGTCCACAGTAAGCGCCACTGGCGCGCCAAGATCGAGGTGGAGCTCTCTTGGGTAGTCGTGGCCTTCGTACGCTATTTTGATATGTCAGCCTCGAGGTTTCTTTCGGATGATGACACAAAACGCACTGTAAGCCTTTTCTACTGGTTTAGGCGGGAATATCAACCGGGCTTGGTAGCCCATTGCGATGGTATTGAGGAAGACGATGAACAAGAAGAAGCCCGTTGCGATCTTGATTTGCAGATCGCTGCCGATCGTTGGCGCCAGAAACGGCAATTTCATCTTAGGATTGACCGTTCTTGTGAACCAGGAAAGTGGTAGATAGTGGTAAGATCATAGAGACGACCGACGAAGTTGTACCTGAGGAGGCGGTGTGCAACTGGAATGATGATCGGGCGCAAATGAATTCATCAAGGAATCGCCCTGTTTAGTAAGTCTCTCAACTGTGTTGAAATTGATTCCGAAGAAAAGGTGAGCTGATGTTCGCTGATGTGGGTGAATAACTGAATAAGGAAAGGGGCTCCCCACACGAGATTTTCGGGCTTGGGCTGTTGACCCCTTGGCACTAATAATAACACCAATATACATCAAACGTACAGCTCAGGGTAACGAATCAAAGATGGTATGCCGAAATTGATAGCGATAAATATGAGTCTTCATCCACACCCAAAAGAAAGAAAGCGCCCTCTCAGGCTCGCCGCCACTATAGAGCTGTGATGTTGTGCGTTTTTCTCCACTCCTTGTAGTTGAAATACTCGTCCGTCAGATACGTATATGCCTTGCTCCAGTCCCTGCACGTATGAGTCATTCCCAGCCCATCAACAGGCAGCTCCCCGGTAGGGTCGAGCCCCAGCGCTGGCACGCCCTCTTCCAGGGTGAGATCAGCATGGCACAATGCCATTTGTCGCAGGTAGCTGAAGCAGTGATGGATATGATCTGTGGTCGATCCCGATAGAAGTGCAGTACGAATCATATCGAGACAGTGAATCTGTCTTTACATGAGTAAAGCATGCGTGTCGATGTGGGCGGGCGCACCTGGTGGAACATACTCGTCCCAAACCGCCGTTTGTTCGGACCTAGATGAATGAATCCACGCCCAGGAGGAAATATTGAGTTCCATTCAGACATTGCTTCTGGTGCAGCGAGCTGGAAATGTTCGGCATCGTCGACGGTGAGCGCCACTGGCTCGCCGAGGTCGAGATGCAACTCCCTTGGGTGATCTTGCCCCTCATAGGCTGCACGTATGTATATCAGCCTTATATTTCCTTTGATATGACCAGTGAAACACACTATAGACCCTTTCTACTGGTGCTGGCGGGAAGATTATCCTTGCCTGGTAGCCCACAGCAATAATGTTGACGAAGGCGATGAAGACGAAGAAGCCAATTGCAATGTTGATATGAAGATCACTGTCGATCGTCGTCCCAAATGGCGATCTCATTGTGAAAAGGGTGATCCTTGAGAACGAATGGGATGGGGGTGAAGGGGGAGCAGGAAGATGTCAAATTAAGGCACCCACCAAGTCAACAAACGATCGTAGGGAATATGGAGGTTGACAATTGGTTCCGCGCCAAGTCCCAGGCAAATTCGGTATTTATTGATTGTCACCGACTGGTTATAGTTCTTCCGGCATTAGAGAAATACGACGAGATGGCCGGATTGATCTGTTCATATATTCCAGGCAACTAGCGATACAGCAGCTCCTACTACATTTGTAGTCGAAGTCCAACGACCGAAACAGCATAGACTCATTTGTAATGAGTTAGAATCGTTCAAAGAGGTGATTTATCCGAGTCATAGGGTTCAAAATGAGAAAGGGGCAACGAAAGTCCTTCGTGTATTCGTTTGTTGAGACTTTATGCCTGCCCGAACCAGCCACGGCCACGCGGGGCGAAATCGTGACGCATCTTCATAGGCATAGCCAATGTGGCGCGAGGCACGACGGTAACGCTGAGCGTATTGGAAACAGTTGCAGTAACGAGCGGTGCAGTTGGTAGACCACCGTTGATATCGGGGCTTTCGTAGAGGGCGATCGCGTCGCCGACTGTGCCGCAGACTTGAGTACCGTCACCAGGGCAAGGACCGCATTGGCCAGGAACCTCAACTGCACCGTTCAGAAGGCTGCCGCAGTAGCAGGTGCCCGAAGCGCTTATGCCGGCCAGGGTCTGACCCGCAGTATTGCAGACATTGATACACTCATCAGCCGTTAGGTCGACAAGAGGCAGGTTCTGTGTGAGGGTGCCGAGTACTGGGATGCCGTCCAGGATACCACTAAAACATCCTGCTAGGGTGAATCCCTGATTACCTTGCGTGGAGGTGGGTGCCGCCGAGGTGGTCGTGGTGGCCGTCGTTGGAGCAGATGTATCTGTGGTCGGAGCAGCAGTGTCTGTGGTCGTTGTTGGCACCGAAGTGTCCGTGGTCGGTGCCGAAGTGTCAGTGGTGACCAGAGTTGTCGTTGTAGGGACACCGGTGGGCAGGCCCAGGGTAACGGTGATTCCGTCCGAAACGGTGATAGTTGGGAGGTTGGTGGGAAGATCAGTGGTCACGGTCAGGCTGATGGTTGAATCGATGGAACCTGTTATCGGGTCGGTGGGAAGGGTCTGACCAGTAAGTGGGAGAATGTTGACCGAGGCACCTGGCGCGACGAGGAGGCTAAGGAAGCCAATTCCACCGCAGATTTCCGTGTCGTCGCCTGCACAGGGTATATTACAGTTGCTGGGATCGGTGGCTGTAGCGCCTTCGAGTTCATCACCACAGAAACAAGCGTCCCCGGCCTCGAGACCAGCTAGGCTAAAACCTTGAGTTGAGCAGAGGTTGGCGCAGAGGTTGGCGGTAAGGCCAGCGACATTGAGAGCAGATGCCCCTGTGAGGGCTTGAAGATTGACCCCGTTCTGGTTGGGTTCAGCATAGCATCCCCCGCTCGTGTAGGCGCCAGTCGAGGTAGCAGAAGCAGAGGTTGAGGTAGCAGTGCCAGTAGCAGTCCCCGTGTCAGTCCCAGTGGATGTAGGCAGCCCCGTATCGGTACCGGTGGACGAGCCGGTGTCAGTGCTCGTGGGTGATGAAGTGTCCGATGTTGACGTAGCAATCACAGTACCGGTCACGGCGGGATCAGTAGGCATATCTTGGCCGGTAAAAGGATCGATGTCAATGGGGAGGGCGATCCTAGCAGCAGCGAAAAGTTTGAAGTGGGCAAAGCCTCCACAGTTCTGAGCGTCATCGCCGGAACAGGCGGTGTCGCAGCCATCACCTGGGGTAGCCCCCTCGACCGAGTTGCCGCAGAAGCATGTGCTTCCGTCTTCCACACCGGCAAATGCGAAGCCTTGACCAGCGCAGGTTGAGACGCAGTTGTCCACAGTAAGATCGCCGGCGGTTTGAGCAGAGCCTGTGAGGGCCTGGAGGACAACTCCGTTGAAAGTTGGTTCGGCAAAGCAGCCAACCTCAACGAATCCGGAAGGAAGTGAGGTTCCGGTTGGGGCTCCGTCAGTCGTCGTCGACGTCGGTGCTGCAGCATTCGTGGAGGTGGGCGACGAATTACCACCGGAACTGCCATTATCTTCCCCACCCTTGCCAGTGCCATCAGCACCACCGGTGCCACCCGTCCCTCCATTATCCCCGCTGCCAGAACCCCCTGCTCCAGTATCGCCGCCTGCGCCTGCTCCTCCACCAGCACCAGCACCAGCACCGGCTCCGGCTCCCCCATCGCCACCACCAGCGTCACCGGCACTAGCACCAGCACCAGCACCAGCATCACCACCGGCACCAGCATCACCACCGGTATCAGCATCACCACCGGCGCCACCAGCGTCACCGGCACCAGCACCAGCACCAGCACCAGCACCAGCACCAGCACCAGCACCAGCACCAGCACCAGCACCAGCACCAGCACCAGCACCAGCATCACCACCGGCACCACCACCACCACCACCAGCAGCTCCATCACTGCCTGTGCCGGCTCCTCCTGCACCACCACCAGCGTCGCCGGAACCAGCTCCACCGCCAGTTCCAGCTCCGCCCCCAGTGCCTGTACCGCCGCCAGCACCAGCACCAGCTCCGTCACCAGCGCCGGCTCCGGCTCCGGCTCCTGTACCAGCGCCGCCGCCCCCACCATTTGCACCAGCACCTCCAGCACCGCCTGTGTCGGCACCAGCACCACCACCAGCACCAGCGCCGCCATCGCCACCTGTGCCGGCACCGGCACCAGCGCCAGCACCCGCTCCGACGCCGGAACCAGCACCTCCACCACCACCAAGTGCGACGGCATCAGCCCTAACAGAGCCTCAGTCATTGCGGAAATCCAACAGCGACAGACTCACGTATTGTACACCGTATATGAGTCAGTGGGATAGAAACCGCCGGAACCAGCACCAAGATCGGCACCCGCGTCAAACGTGTCCGTGCAGACGCAAATCGCACCGCCCTCAGCAACGGCAGTGTATGTTGTACCGGCCGCGCTGCAGATTGCAACGCATTGAGGGATCGGGGCGGTCAAGCATGTCTGGAAGGTAACAGTTCCGGGTAGGAGAGCATCGACGAAGACGTGACCAGCGGGATCGGGAAGGTCTGTGGTGATGATAGCTGGGCCTCCAGGCGTGCAATCTTGGGCGTGAATGAGAAGTGCGGTTGAAAGGATCGCGAGAGAAGTAAGGGAGAGCATATCGACTCTCCTACAATGCGGGACAGTCGATAGGGGAGTAAGCGAACGTGGATCCCTTTCGGCTAAATCCCGTGCCAGAGGCATCCGACTTTTATATGGTTGTGGCAGGCACCCGGTCAGCCATTTGCCACAGAAAAGACAAGCGCAATGTGGTTGGGAAGCCATCTTGGAGCCAACGTGATCCAGCTAGTATGCTTCTGCTCGTCATATCGAGACCTAGGCTGACCTTCGTGAAACAGGCTCTCCATACATTTGTACATGCCGAGAAAGCGAGAGCCGTCCAAGACCTTGCGAGCGATGAGCTGAAACCACCCGAAGCAGCTTTTCAATGCGCAAGAGGACCAACAGACTGAGACGTGTTCCGATAACGTGGCTGGTTCATCCAAATGGACGAAAAGAGGCATTGAGGACGGACGAATGGATATCCACTCTCGTTATCTTGCTGAATGGCAAGAGTCAGCTCCAGAATGTGTTTTTACTATTCCCTGAAAGCAGGGTCTTCCCCTCTGACCAGGATGGTCAAACTAGTGACATTAACTTTTCGGAATCGGTGTAAACAAACAAAGCGTACCATCTGTATATCCCCCAAATAAACGATCAATCAAGCCATACTCGATTTGGGAAAGCCCCGCTCGGACCGAGAACATCGAAAGATTGTGCACAGTCACTAGGCTGTTCCTGGTATGTTCCTAGGTTGGTTGAAACAGAACGATGAGCCAGGGTCAAATGAACGGTAGACGTCGTCGACCCCTACCAGCCCCCTCTTTGACCCCATCTCAGTCTAGCCTCGAAGACCTATGGGGTAAATTAAAGAAGGTCCGATGTGACACGTACGTCGAAGCCCACGGCTCACGAGCCTACCCTGCCAGCCATCCGCTGGAGAATGGGTTTCGGAATGTATGTGGTGTGGAGCACAGAGTGCCTGGACAGTGCCTTCCGTACCTTGCCCTGGCGTCCCTCGCTTGGCGGTACGTTGGGTCCTTCCAGCCACCAACACGCATCCCTATGCCACAATGCCCGTCCGATGTTGTGCCGGAACTTGGAGTCATCTGCTGCTCGAGTGATGGGTTGGAACAGAATGTTTTCCTCCGCCCGTCAGTCTCAACGCCAGTGACGAGGATGTGGCACAGGTGGCCAAGCACAAGGACGTCAGAGGCAGATCGAGACTGAAGTAGCAAGTCCGTGTTCGGCTTCCGTGTGGCTTGGAAGGACACTGTATTGCTCGATGCCCGTGGGGGTCGGGTTGAATAAATCGAGACTCGTACTCCGTGCATCGATGAGGAGCGTGCGTTTTAGTCTGGCTCGATGGACTGGAATCTAGGAGGAGCCATTCCCGGCGGACTTTTTTGCAGCAGATATCGTCCATTTAGGTGACAGAACTCGCACAAAGTGACTGTGCACATTGGCAGGCTGGTAGAGTCATTCTACAACCTGGGCGTGAGGGTCATAACAGGCAATCCAGTAATGTTCGACAGAACAGACGGCACATTGCGGCAAGACAATACTGCCGCCTTGTGGACACACCATCCATCTTGTTACGTGAGATCTCAGCCATACGCGACGAAGTACAAAATGGGCTCACAAGGTTGGGTCACTTGATACAAGACTCATTCCGCAAGTTGGAGAAATAAAGCAGCCACCGGGCGATGCTGGTAAAAACAAAGCATGACTCCCTGTCACATGCTTGAGATCACGTGATAATCGTGACTCATCCACGGTTTGTCGGGTTCACCAGGTCACATAACCCGAAGCACATTGGATCTCCAACAATTCAACGCTTTTGTTGCACTAGTGTGCTGGTGGTGGGAAGGAGGTGTGCCGCCACGTACCTCTGAATTGATGAGTGCATGTGAAAGTGCATGTGAAAGTGCGGAATCAAATTGCGGCCCAATGATGACACGTTCTGAGCCGGTGCGGGGATAGTGAACCAACCAAATAGAACAATCAACATGTAACTCAAACGCACACACGACACGTATTTATGATTTCGACCTTTAGGCTTGACTTTGTATCAAAACTCCTTGCTCTACTACAACCTGCACCTTAGAATACATGTCTGACATTGAAGGAGACAGAATACCGACTCCCACTCTTTGGGAAACTGGGCAACTGGGCTCGCCCACCGAACCGCCGCCCATCGTCGTCAGATGGATACACCTGGGGAGCTCTCACATTGCCCTCCCCGACTCGCCCGTATCTTCTCCAACGACTGTATGTTCTGCTTTAGACACAAGTTTGTTTCATGTTTAACTTGTGTTTCAGTCATGGGATGCCCTTACGGTGGAGGAATCACGGCTCTGCGAGGAGGCATGGAACGGACTTCCCGCAGAGGAACGTGCAGCAATAGATAAAGAAGAGAGGGAGAAAGAGACGAAGAAGGATAGCGGAAAGGATAAGGATAAGGGAAAGAACAAGACTGCTGGTGCTGAACCACCAACCCTTGATCGCCCTCGGGGTATTCCAGTCGGTCGGGATGGCCTATTCGAGGTGGACATCAAGACGCTCACGGTTCGCCTTATAATTTCTCACCACTTGGACACATGTTCACTCTTAAGTAGCTCTTCTCGGTCTTCTGGAGACTATCAACTCCGCCTATCCTTGTCCGACGAGCCACATGGATGTACAACACCGTGCGTCGTGTTGACCCTTTCCCTTTCTCTCTCATACTCATCTACCATCCAGCACCAACCTTGTGAATATGCCCTATGTGATGGTCTGGAAGAAGCCTATCGAACGATCAAGCCCTATCTCTCTTCATACGCGGCCGAACTGAAAACCTCCATCTCCCTCGGCTCAGAAGCCCAAGCGAAACTCCGATATCGCCTCCCCTCAGGTCAGGTAGTCCTGTTTCAAACCAGCACCAGCGCATACATCTACCCCGCGGCACTCGCACGCGCCCTCCCGGCTCTGACGGCAATGTTCTCAATGCCTCCTGGTACAAGCGTCGTACATCGTGGTTATGACGCGGCTGAACGTGCTACCAAGACCAACCATTCTCGCACTAGCTCGCGTGCACAGAGTGGATCTCTCGAAGACCAGGCAGCGATGGAGACGCTTGGACAAGCGGTGCCGGAAGCGGGGGATGAGGAGAAAGAGGGAAGCGACAAAGTGACGGACCTGATTCTGGTCATCCATGGGATTGGGCAGGGACTAGCCGCATCGTGGGAGGCTTTCAACTTTGTCTATGCTGTTAATATCATCCGGGGCGTCGCCAGGTGTGTTACCTTTTTTCATGATATAAATCAAGTGTCCAATGGCATTCCCAGGAAACAAGCCCTGAGTCCGGCTCTGTCCTCAGTACTGCGCTCTCACCGCGTTCAATTCTTGCCCATACTCTGGCGTGCAAATATACAAATAGATGAAGCAGAGGAAGAAGCAAGGAAGAAAGATGGACTGGACAACGCTTTCACCGTCGAAGACATCACGATCAAGGGGAGCATACCCTATGTGAGGGACATGACCAATAACGTTGTAAGCAGTCACTTTTGCAAATTTTGCCATTGTCCGATGCTAAATCAAGCACAGTTGATCGACATACCGTACTTCATGTCAGACCATCGGTACAGCATGGTGGACGCGGTATGTACCGCGTCTTTTTTGTCCCTTTCTGGTTGTTTAGCGATCTCCAGGTGTGTGCTCAAGCCAATCGTGCCTACCGTCTATGGTGCGAACGACATCCCGACTTCCTCGAATTCGGCCGCGTGCATATAGTTGCCCATTCACTTGGTGCCGCACTCGCAGCTCATATCCTTTCTGACCAACCGACCTACACCAAGCAGTACGAGTTCGGCGATCCGATCCCCAAAAATCACTTCATCTTCGATACCAGCACGTTATTCATGCTTGGGTCTCCGCTCGGCATCTTGATGAATGTGTACCAAAGCCAGTTGATTGCCAGACGAGGGAGGGAAAGGACCAAGGATGCCGAGCCGGATGTAGCACTGGACAAGGTTGGCAAGTTCGGTTGCCTGGCGGTGGACGCCATCTACAACATCTTCAATGCGCCCGATCCGTACGTTGATGTTGCTCTATATTCCCGAACCATCATTGACGTCTGATAGCGTGGCCTATCTTGTCAATCCCTGCGTGGATGCGGAGTAAGCCTTTCATCATGATTTCAACTTTGACGCCCCTGATGAGAGTGTGTAGTGTTGGTCGCACTCGTCCACCTTCAGCTGTTCCCAACATAATCGGCGGCATCATGGATGGGGTCACGAACTCCCTCTCACGATTCAAGGACTCTCTGCCGACGCTACCCACCTTCCCTCCCCTTCCAACGTTCCCGACGCTTCCATCTCTGAACAGCTTTGCTATCCCCTTCTCTGTCTGGATCTCGTCGGCAGCAGCAGCAGCGGAGGCGGAAAAAAAAGAAAGAGAGCCAGCAGGTGCACAATCAATCAGCGCTATTGATATGGCGCCTTCACCCGAGGTTATAGCACAACGGCGCAAAGAACGGGCGGAGAAGCGGTTCAAGGCGCTCAACCCACACGGGACATTGGATTACGTGCTGCCGCGGCAGAGCAATATGAGCGAGTATCTCGAGATGATCAGCGTAAGCCACCTCTCCTAATGACTGTGTGCATTCTTCTAACAACGCCGTACAGGCCCATGCAACGTACTGGGCAGATCCTAACTTGTCATCGTTCATCTTGACCGAAATTTCAGCATCCAAGGAAGATCTTGTGCGGACTGGTCTGAGCATTGATGAGCCTGTTCCGGTGCCGGTTGAAGGCACTGGGACTGGCGAAGAAGGGGAGGAAATACCTCTTTGAATCCCCAGATTGTGCGTTTTCTTGAAGTTTCGAAGGGTTATTTCACTGCGGGCATGTTATAATCCATGTAGTGTATTGATGTTGTCTCTAACAAAAAGGAATAGGTTTTTTGTTTGATCGTGTGATCGTAGTCATTATTACCCCATTTGGAAATTTCAAATGGACGTTCCCTGGTCAGCCGCACTTCATTTCTCCACAGACACCATCACAATGCACTTCGGTTTCTAACATGAAGGTATCATCGGACACGAATTTCTCTCAACAGTTTCCTCCTCATTGGTCGATGACTGAATTTGTCGGCATGTCGGTGCGACATTAGTCCTGGAATTACTTCGGAAGCCTCCACACTATGCTGGATTTGGCACTCGTCCCTTGGAGCCAGGGATATAAGCACGACCATTTCTCGCCAGCGGGCATACCCAGTCAGTATCCTGCCCCGCATTTGCAGACAATCGTGAAGTTATAGTCCGAAGATGACAACGCCGTTCAATCTCAAGTGGGGCATCCTTGCCACGGGCCGGATCTCGCACATATTCACGAAAGACATCCTCATGCCGCCCTCGACGAGGCAGGTGACCGACGTCTCCCACACCTTTGTAGCCGTCGCGTCCTCCTCGTCAATTGACAAGGCGCACCAGTTTATCAAGGACTTTGAGGCGGACCTCAAGGTCGCACAGTATCAGACGACGGGGGCCGTGAGGCCATATGGGAGCTATGCGGACTTGCTGGCAGACAAGGACGTAGAGGTGGTCTATGTCGGTAGCCCCCACAGCGACCATTATAAGACATGTTTAGCGGCGCTGCGGGCTGGGAAGCATATACTTTGCGAGAAGGCTTGTGAGTCGTCTATGTTCTCATCGTTTTCATAACGTAGTGCTGAGTTTCACAAGTCACGCTCAACGCGGCTCAGACTGAGCACCTCTGCGCCTTGGCCAAGGAAAAGAAACTGTTCCTGATGGAAGCCCAATGGACGCGTTTCTTCCCCAGTATCCTCGACCTGCAGACTCAGCTCAATTCGCCCCAAATGCCCTTCGGACGTATCTACCGTACCTTCGCCGACTTCAGCATTCAAGCTCCCGCTTCGGCAGCTCATCGTCTCTACGACCCCAAGCAAGGCGGTGGTGCACTGTTAGATCTTGGCGTGTATCCCATCCTCTGGTGCTTCATCCTGTTCTATCGAAACCCGGAGAACACACTCACGCCGCCGAGCGTCACTGCCAGTGTGGTCAACTCCCCCCTCACGGGGGTAGATGAGCAGGACACGGTCGTGCTGAAGTGGGATAAGCTGGGCTTCCAGAGCACATGCTGCACAAGCTTGGTCGGGAGGACTGAGGAGTGGGCGTTGATCCTATACGGCGAGAAGGTATGTTCGTTACAATCGGACGTAATCCCATCTGACCGGTCTGTTACTGTAGGGTAATGTCTATATCCCTCACCCTCTGTCCCGACCTTCGTCATACACTGTACACATGCATGGTGAAGCACACGTGAAACATCAAATTCACATCCCCGGGCAGGGTATGCACTGGGAGGCCGACGCTGTTGCCCGCTCCATCTCGAAGGGTGAGCTCGAGAACCCAATCATGCCGCACCGTGAGTGCCTCTACGCTTCTTGTAGCATCTTCTGACGCTTCTCGTACTGTAGAGGAGAGTATCGAGATTATGAAGGTGATGGACAAGGTGAGGAAGATTGGGAACGTATCGTATGGCGAGCTGGAGGATCTCGAGAAGTAGTGTGTGGCCTGTTGGTATCAGTACAAGGGTGCGATGTATCAACATATCCAGGAAACAAAGTGAAGATCAATGTTACTAACATGAACAAGTCTGCAATCTGCTATTATAATTGAAAGTGCTTGGCGGCATGTACAGCCCAGCCGAACTATATAGAGTGTGTGCCGTAGGTTTGGTCGTCTGCCCTTACCACCACCACCAGTCAAGGATGGACCGCATACTCCTCCGAGGTAACACCACCTTACTGGGAAGCGTCAGCATATACCTTCTTGCACTCTTATTGTTCGCGACGCCTTGGGTACAGCGACAGTGAGTCTACCGAAGAGGACGAACACCAACGACTGACAGGAGATAGAGCGTTGTTCTTGCATGCAGCGAAATGGCCGTTATGGGCCGATTATTCTGACCCAGTGCGATACGGTCTAGCACGTACGTCCCTTATATATAAAAAGTACGTTCACTGATCAAAACGAAGCATTCAAGACTTACACGTTTGACCTCACCACCTCGGACAACCACACCATCGGTGCCTGGCATGTTCTCCCCGACAGTTACTACCACAGGTACACTCCATACCCCATCCTCCCCCGCTCCCCGCTCCCTCCATTTGCACAAGCGGAAGCTCTCGCCCAACGCCCAACAGTCATATACATGCACGGCAACGCGGGTTCTCGAGCAGCGCCCTTCCGCGTGTCCCTCTACTCCGCCCTTAGCACGCGACTCCACGTCAACGTCGTGACGATCGACTACCGCGGGTTTGGCGAGAACAAAGGGAAGCCGAGCGAGGCTGGACTTACGAGGGATGCAAGGGCGGCGTGGGACTGGGTGACGAAGGAGATGAGGGTGGATCCAGGGCGGGTTGTGCTCATGGGCCAGAGTCTAGGCACAGGCGTGGTGAGCCAGTTAGCTGCCGAGCTGGAGAGCGAAGGTAAACACTGTTGCATATGTCAAGGGAGCCCTTGTTAACCTCATGTACGCAATACAGGCATTCGACCCCGAGGAATCGTCCTCGCAGCCGCGTTCGAGTCACTCGAAGAGCTCCTATCAACATACACGATCTTCAAGTTTATCCCCCTTATACGGCCCTTACGCCTCTTCCCCGGGCTTGAGAGTGCGACCCTCTCCCTTCCTGGTCTACCCACACTCACAATTCCTCAGAATGGTACCTCTCGCACCTAATCGACAGGTTCGATTCCTACAAAGCACTGCGCGGGATCTCCAGCCCCGTGCTGCTCATGCACGCCAAGAACGATCAGGACATCCCCTACTCTCACTCTGTGCACCTGTTCGACAGCCTCATGGAACCTCTCCTTCCCCCGCGGCCGTTCTCTGAAGTACAAGAACAATCGATGAGCGAGGGAGAGAAAGCCGACTGGGAGAGGAACGATAGAGAACGAAGGGAGCTCAGGAGGAGCTTGGTGAACGAGGCTTCTGTTCCGGGATTCGCGACGATTCGCAGTTTTGAGAGGACGGAAGGGAAGGGGCCGGTGTTTTTCCTTAACACTTTGTATGTGTTCTCCTCGGATTCCTGTGCGAGTCGCTTACTCGAACGAAGGTACGGTGGACACAATCTTGTCTCGGCGCATGAAGGAGCTATGGACGTTATGGGCAGAGTGATGGATCTTGGTTTCGAAGACGATGTCTAGAGCACGCGAGTTGGCCATCTCTGCGGGGGATATCTAGGAAGGTATAGCTCTTTCGTGAGCTAGGAAAAACACGGCTGTGAGAACGAGGTGAGATTGAAAGGGGTCGATCATACAAGGAACAAGACTACTCTTGCTACTAGGAGAACAATGTAGATACGAAAGCGTAAAGAATGTGATAAGAAAGGAGCCGGACAGTGTGCAACACGCGAGGGGACATGTTCGTCCCCACGGAGGCGGCAACGAACAGCTGTGTGCTGGAAGGGTATAGAGGGAGCGTGCTCCCTATCGAAGAAGCTTGTGTGTGAAGAGAAGTCTTGCATGTTTGCAGGCACAATGCCCGCAGACTATTAGAATACTGGTCCTGTCGAGATCTTTCGCGCAGAGCGTCGAGCACCAAGATGGCTCTTCTCCGGTGACGAGAGCACAGGCACGTCAGATAAAGACACGCCCATGCTCTTGATGCGCGCCGACTTCATCCCGGGAATGCGAGGAGGTGAGCTTTGCGGCAAGGACTTGAACAAAGATGTGGCCGAGTCGTGGATTCCGTCGTACTCGTGCGTCAGGAATTTGGGGAATGAAGCCTCCTCTGGTGTAGGCAAGGCGGAGTAGTCTGTCGAACATGAAAGAGAAAAACCGTGCGGAAAATCTTCATATTCTCCTGACGTGAGTGCATAATTGACCTGATTGAGGAACTGGGCACCGTGTTTTTCTCCACCTGCAGATTTCAGGAATGATGGGACGAATGGCGAGGCTAGGGCCGAAAGCAGAGTGCCAGACGACCCGGACGAGCCCGAAGGTGACAAGCCGTCTGGGTCGCTATCCACCATCGTCTGGTCGCCTATATAATCTGAATCGAGTAGGACCTCCACGACCATCATGTCTTGGATAGAGGAAGCAGAAAGGTCGCCAGCCGAGGACAGGGGTGGGGCTGATGACAAATTTTGGCAGGCGGCCATATACTCAGTGTCGTTCAGCAAGTCATGAAGGAGGAAATCCTATCGCACATCAGAGGATACCTTCAATCCTGAGATGCACACTAACCTGATCCTCGTCCATGGCATCATCCCCCGACTCGCTAAAAAGGTATTCGAGAGAGTCCTCGTTCGACAAAGAGAAAGAGCTGTCCGCCGTGCCAGAAAAGTAACACGGCTCGGCAAGCTCTTCCTCCCGCTCAAGCCGTGCCCACATGGCTGTGAGATCTACCGCCTGCTCGGTTCAGCTCAGCAGAGATGGGAGAGGGAGATGCGTACTTTATCAGGCGCATATATGACGCTATCTTGTGCTTGAGGGTCGAACTGTTTTTGCCTGGGTGGGAAGAGCGTCTTCTGCTCTTCGTAGGCGTACAAATCCATGTACTTCAGCCCATCAGAATACCTGTCAGTCGGGCAAAGCTCAGAATGAAGTCGGAAAAGCGTACCGTAGCATAGTCTGCTACCTGGGTGTCTTCCTCCGGGTCTGGCAAGGTACCCCTCCAGCAGGGATAGAGCACCGAGTATCCAGTGTTAAACCGCGTCATCAGTATTATGGAGCAGATGTGGGACAGACGGTGGGAGAAGGAGTAGGGGAAGTGCGAAAGGAGTGATAGGGATGGGCAGCACTGCAAGAGGAAAAACGGGTGCCAAAGAGCGTAGGAGGCGCAAGGAGGCGAAAGAAGTTGGTTGGATACGGGGAGAAGCACGGTTAGGATGAAGGGTGGGGTGGGGTATATGAGGGTGACCAAGGTGTGAAGGGTTGAGCAGAACGGTGTCTCAGAGCTTGCTGTGTCTGGGAATGCTGATCGGCGTCACAGTCAACTGCCAAATCTTCTTCTGGTTCGAGACGGCGTAATGAGCCGTGTTCAACGTGGAGAGCTTACTGCATGCGGTCAGACAGCGACGGTAAACAAACAGTGATTGGATTATGCTTGCTCTACATGCCCTGCCACGTCGCTCGCGTACATTCCAGCCTCACCGTCTCACGAACGGAATCCTGAACGCGCTCATCAGCTGCCTTGCCCTGTCCTGGGCTCCCTTCCCTCGCTGGTCCGTGACGAACTGGACATGGAAACCGTACATCCTCGGGTAGTTGTCAAAGTTGATCTCGATCTGGGGGAACAGGCCCATCGCCGTAGGTGGGAAGCCGACACTAACCGTGCCGGAAATGTTGTTCGGCGTGTTGGGACTGGAGGAGGATGTGGGGAGTGCAAAGCCTTTGAAGTCCCTCATACGAGGAATGACGAATTCGATGAGGCTGTTGAGGAACGCCCACATCTGCTCGCCGCGCATCTCTACTTTGACGCCTATTGCGACGCCCTCACGAAGGCGCCAGGTAGGCAAACTCCGCCGCGAGTAGACAAGCTGTACGCCAGATAGTCCGGGGATGTTGCCCCCCTCCCGGGTGCTCCCGCTTATGGCGCGGGCAGCGGCGATCGCAGGCACAAGTGCGGACTTGTTGTGTGCAGCCTCCTTGACATACGAGTGGAAGACGATCTTTTGCAGCTTGGGGAGTGTGAAAGGACTGACAGGCTTCGCATTTGGTCGCAGGAGATGACCGCCTTTTGGTCGAACGAGATGTCGATTTGCTTCGTATGGGTTGTCAGGGTTGGGTAGTGGGATGTGCACGATTGGATCCGGGAGGTCGGCGGGCATGTGCGGGTCATACAGCAGGTAAAGGAGGTCGGACTCGATATGACGATAGCGCGCCTCCATGCGCTGCGGTGACTGTGGCCCGAGCACGAGCGTTTTGGGATCAATGCGGTCTTCTTTCACTGCGGGAGATGAGGAAGAAGGATCAGGACGGGCCGGGGCGGTGGAGGTGGAGGCATGGGCACGGCTGACTACGACGGGTAGCCGACGCAGATGGGGTATTCGTTGGTTGAGAGCGCGGTAAGCCATGTTCGAGTAAGGCAGACAGCGACGAGGAGAGGAAAGGCAGCGAGGACGCCCCTAAGGATGGTGCGCTCGAAATGGAAATTAGACGGCGTTTTTTTTGCCACGCTGTTCGCCACTCGGAGCTAGCCTCGGAGCCGAAATTCCGACGGTTCTTCCTAAGAACACCGCGGACGTCGCGGCGCTTCTTCACCCTGACGGTAATCCCAATCGGCGGAAAGAGCACACGACACTCTCCTCCTCTCCTCCTCCTCCCTCTCCCCCCTCCTCCCCCCCCCC